TAAGTAGAATGCTTTTTGTATAGAACGGAGAAGCGCCTGTGTTTCAATATGCTCTTCTCTCCCTTGTTTTGCCTTCCCTCATCATAGGCCCAAGTTTGCAGATGTGCCGTAAGTTTAGTGGCAACAGAGTGCCTTCCTTTGCCCAAGGCAATCCTGGGTGAGTGTGCACTGGGAGAGAGAGAAAGATGGGCCAGGGCCTCAGGACCAGCAGCTGTTGAAAGGGCTAGTGTACTGTGCTGCCACTGACAATGAGCAGACAGCTTAGAAGAAAAAGCCATCCTTGGCAGAACCAATGAAATTTTGGAAGCATTATAGAGTGCCATAAATTTCTTCCCTATGAACATTTAGAAGTACAGTGGTTCCGTTCTTTTTAAAATTATATATACATATAAAACTTTTTATAACAATTAATGATACAAATCTCATTCATCATGTTATTTACAATTATTCTCCCTCCCCTCCTCTGGACTTCCCTCAACTCCCCCTCTGCTGAGTTATTTAGTTTTATTAATCGTATCCTGCTTTTCCTACACAACAATAAAATCCCTTATCATTTCTCTAAAATATCTGTTACTCAAATGAAGTTGTGAAAGTTTATTCAAATCCTGCCAGTGAATCTAGTCCATTCTGTTGTTTCTGCAAATAAACTGTAAATGGTTCCCAGACTCTTTTGAAGTCCTTTTTGTCCTTCTCTCATCGTTTGTCTGTTAGCTTAGCCAATTCTGCATAGTTCACCAGCTTTTCTTGCCATTGTTCCTTTGATGATATTTCTTCCATCTTCCAATATTGTACAATCAAGATTCTTGCCACTGTTGTAGCATACATAAATAATGTCAGTTTTTCTTTTGGTAGCTCTTGGTTTGAGATACCTAACAAAAAGGCTTCAGGGTGTTTGACAAAATTCATTTTAAACATTTTTTCCAATTCATTGTATATCATTTACCAATATTTTTTAATGCATTTGCATTCCCACCACATATGATAAAATTTTCCTTCTTTTTCCTTACATCTCCAACATCTGCTATTTTCTTTCCTAAACATCTTTGCCATTTTCACTGGTGTGATATACCATCTATGCATCATTTTCATGTAATTCTCTCTTAATAGTATGCAATCTGTGAATTTTATACTGTATCAACTTTCCATAATTTTTCCCAACTTTCAAATTGGATGTTGTGTCCCACATCCTGAGCCCGTTTAATCGTAACTGATTTAACATCTTCATCTTTGGTTTCCCACTCTAATAAAATACTATATGCTTTTTTTAACAATTTAACATTCTCTTCCACTATTTCTTTTTGAAATCTGGAGATTGTATAACTAAACCCCTTTTTATTGTCTTCCTTAAAAATTTCATTTAATTGCCTGTGATGTAACCAACTTTGTAAATAGTCTTGCAGCTCATCATACCCTTTTAGTCTGAGTTTACTTTCTTCTTCAGTTAACTCTCTATATGTCAACCGGCTTACTTTTTTGGTCGACTTAAGTGAAAATGCTTCAGTGGGTGACAGCCACCATAGTGTTTTCCACTCTAACAGATCTTTATATTTTCCCCACACTCTTATTAATGAAACCTGAAACTGTTCTTAACCTGAGGTACCACTTTAGCTAATGGGGCCTGCTGCTGCTGCCACCCCACCACCAGTGCGCAATTTCTGTTCTCATCCTGAGGTAAAGTTCTTGACCCGAGGTACTACTTCCGGGTTAGCGGAGTCTGTAACCTGAAGTGTTTGTTACCTGAGGTACCATTATAATCTGGTGGCTGTTAGCAAACAGGATCACTGTTCCATGCAAACACAGAAAAGGAGAAATGTCAAGAGCAGGTGATGTTGGGCTAATCTCTCGCTCTCATTCACACACCTGAACCAGATTATCACCTGACAACAGTGCTGTTTTTCGATCAGATGAAAACACCCCCTTGCTTACAATTAGCATGGACACCTGGAAAGGTAGCAGCGTAGAGGCAGCTGTTTTCCCATTTTCTTTATCAGCATAGCCAGATGCTGCAGTGACTTTAGCCAGAGACTGAGTAGAGGGCTTTCCCTTCCAACGGGACTTTGACCCTCAGCAACTGCTGAGCACAGACCGGTTGTTGGCATGACTTCTGAAGCTGACAGGCCCCCCGCTCCAGCCCCTAGCAGCAGAGGAGCACTTTTGTTTTTTTGTTTTTATTAAGCCCCCGGGCACACAGAGCCAACCTCCAAGAAGATTATTCTAGGTTCTAGTCACTATATAGAATACGTACTGAGCCAAAACAGATGGGACTTCACAGCTACGACCCCAAAAGACTTTGGAAACGGATACAGGCTAGAACCTTGGGAGACGGGACGCTATCTGAGGACTCCGTTTGGAATTGTTCTTTCAGTTTGTGGGTTGGGTTACTGCTGGTGGGCTTCAGGAAACAAGAGAATTCGAGAAAGGAGACAGTTACTTCTTAGCACCAAAGTAGTGCATGAGCACCAGGATTTAATGTTGCCTTGGGAGAAGAGCAGAGTAAGCAGGAGGACCAAATGGCGATGCCATTCTGCACAGCACTGAGTTTTCTCTCCGGGGCCAACATGTCTTGGGCCAGCCCCGTCTTTAGTTGTGTGGCCACAGCAAAAGCAACAGAATGTATGGGGTGGCTGATGGTATGACTGACTACATCACAGTGATAGCCCCAGGCAATTTGCTGCCTGAAGCAAAGTCCCAATGCCCCCTCCACCCTGCATTGCTTTAAAAAGCCTTACCACCCCATGCCAACATTAATTCCTGCCTTTCACCATTGCCAGTACTTCCTGAAGTAGGTTCCTTTGTCCTGATGTATGGCAAGGACCATCCTTGCATATACCAAATTGGTGGAGAACCTTTCTGGTGGGCAGGCAACCCGCCTATCAATCACATGACATAATGACGACATCAAACACTCGACAGGCGGGTTGTCCCACCCACCCGTCAAATTCCCTTATGCAGTTTTCCACGGTGCCCAACAGCCAACTAGGCTGACGGGCATTTGGGGTCCACAGTGCAGGGGCTCTTGCCCCAAGCTCAGTGTTTTGCGAAGTGCTGAGCATAGGGGCCAGCAAAGCATTAGGAGTTTTTCTGCGCTATCAATTTAATGAGCACCCAAAACATTAATTTGTGATTTGTATGCCTGCAGGGAGATGCTCCCAGATGTTGGAGGTGGTTTTTGCCCCTACAATAATGCACCAGTGGTTATGTGAGCATATGAGTGCCTTTTGAAGAGCTTATCCATATGTTTGTTAAGCTTATACGAGCACAAATTAGAAGACAGCACATAAGGTAATTGATGTCTGCAGTGCCATCTGATTTGCGACTTCAATTTTGTGCTTGCTATTCATTTTGTTTCAGTTAGTTTCAAATCAGGTGAATGGGCTAGGACATTATAGATCCCATTAAATGCCAACTGCAGGACTAAAGGTACCAAGCGAAGGCCGAGTCAGAATATCCCTTTCTGCACCAATAACAGAAATAACTGTGGCAGCAAAACCAATAAAGAGCCTTGTGGCACCTTCAAAACAAACAGACTTATTGTAGCATAAGCTTCTTCTAGAATCCATCAGATGCTGTGGGACCCTAGCCCACCCACGGCTTATGCTATGATAAACCTGCTCACCTCTTAAGGTGTCACAAGGCCATTTGTTGGCTTTTCTGCTACAGTTCTGTGCATCCCGACCCTTTACCAGTTTGCTTCCTGCTGTCATCATTTCATTCTGCCTAGAAGTTGCCACCCAGAGCTGACAGAAAGGATTTTCCCCCTCACTCAAATTTGGGCTTAAGCGTTGCAGTGGCGCCATCTGGTGGCACATCTCTTTTGTAGCAGGCAATTTTAAAAATCTGCAGTAGGGATCTTTCTCCCAAAGCCTTCAAATCAAGGAGATGCCACTGCTTCATGAGGTTGCTCTTTAAAATTCCATCAGACATTTAGGGAGCCCCCCCACCACACGCTTATGCTTTAAAGCTGCCTTAAACCCATTATCTTCATGTTGGCAATTGTCATAGATATATTAAGAGTCTCATGCTCTACCAAATGAGCTAAGGGTTGTGGGTTTGAGCTACACACTGGGAAAAAGTTCCCTGCATTGCAGGGAGTTGGACTAGGTGACCCTTGCGGTCCCTTCCAACTCTGCAATTCTATGAGGGACGCGGGTGGCGCTGTGGTCTAAACCACTGAGCCACTTGGGCTTGCTGATCAGAAGGTTGACGGTTAGAATCCCCGTGATGGGGTGAGCTCCCGTTGCTCTGTCCCAGCTTCTGCCAACCTAGCAGTTCAAAAGCATGCCTGTGTGAGTAGATCAATAGGTACCGCTGTGGCAGGAAGGTAAACGGCGTTTCTGTGTGCTCTGGCTTCCGTCATGGTGTTCCATTGTGCCACATGACCCAGAAAGCTGACTGTGGACAAATGTCGGCTCCTTCGGCCTGAAAGCGAGATGAGCGCTGCAACGCCATAACTGCCTTTGACTGGACTATGGGTCCTTTACATTTATTTTATCTTCTTCCCTCAGTGTCAGTAAATAATATTCTAAGCAAACATGCCTATACAGTATATTAAAATACAGGGTTATGGCCAAGTACTCAGATTAGACCCACTGAAATTAATAGACCTAGCTTAGTCATGTCTACCAATTTCAATGGGCTTTCTTTGAGAAGGACTAACACTGGAGACAACCCACACACTTCATCTCCCAGGTTTGTGTGGATCAGTTGCCGCAGAGATGTGGTTCAAACTTAAAAGTTACAAAGACTCTTTGCATCCCTCTCAAACAACTTGCGTGCCTCTTATGTTTATATGCTATCCAGAGCAACATCAACAGCTTCACACGTTATGTATCCATACCCTTTGAAAATGTGGCTCTTTTGGGAGGTGGTTATTACTGGGTTACTGCTTTTATTTTTATTTTATATACTGTGATCTTTTAATGTAAACTGCCCTGAGACCTCCTGGTATAGGGTGGTATATAAATTCAATAAATAAATCTAGGAGATATTAGTTATATTTCCCCAAAATTGTAATATATTGGCCACTACACTGCACAGGAAGAAATGCATATGCAAAGGAGTAACAGGTATTATGTTCCAGTACAGTTTATTCTTCCATTAAAACCAGACGCTTAAGTGCCAGTTCACACTGAGCTCCTTCCCAAATGAAAACTTGTGGAAACACAAATGACGCTTCCCTAACATTTCTGAGCTCTCCTTATTGCAGCAACTGACATGCACTCCTAAGTGCTGGCTTCCTCACTTTCTGAGCCTCCGTGTGGCGCAGTCAATTATAGAGACCTCAGGTTATCCCTTTGCCAGGTAAGAGGCCTCTTAGAGCAGAATCCCTTCTCCAAGACTGCCTTTGTCCTCACGGCTTCATGAGACGCGCAACTTGACCCCTCCACCTCCGCTCTCCTGCCCATGTCTTGCTTCTGGTGCGGAACTTGAGCATCTCTGCCTTGAAGTCCTGGTGGCGCATGGGGCAGTAGCTCTGGGGCTCACACAGCTCCTAAGGGGAAGGGAGATGCAGCAGAATGCAAGGTCTGGAGCTTTTCTTTTAAAGCCAAAGACCCAGTGAATTCATCACAAACATATCAAGCTACAACTTAAGAAACCCCAAACAGCGCGTTTCCAGCTCTTTGGCACATGGGAGGAGGAAAACTGAAGTCTTATGGACTTTTTCAGTTAAAGGATGAGAAACCAAGAAACGGTATGGATGGGACTCAAGCAGATTCTTATATGGTTTTCTTTCCCTTCCATATTCTCCTGCTTCTGGGTACAATTAGCTGCTCAACATTGTCCCCTAGAGGAAGCTCATCCTTTCCCCATCTAATTTCTTATGTCACATCAAAGGATTTCAAGTTCTACACAAGAAACATATTACACCTATGTCTCAGGCCTCCTTCAAGGAGCTTAGGTTGAGTCGACCGGGTTCTAGTTTAACATTCCTTCAGATCTAGTGCATTCCTGCCCCATGATTTAAATGTGTGCAATATAGATTTCCCTAAGCTGCTTTAAGCACAGAATTCCAGGATTCCTGCACATCACTCAACAACAACAGTTTACCCACCTACATCCTCTGTGATGAGACCAGGCATAATCATAATAGGGAGATTTTTTTTACCAACCTGCTGACCAGCATCTAGTAAGAGAAAGCCCTGACAGTCTGCCCACAACACAAACATGGGAACTATAATTTTTGAGTTCCAAACAAGGCTATGACAAATTCATTGAAGACTACTTTGTATTCTCATTTTGTATTTTCCTGTTGTGAACCGCCCTGGGATCTTCAGATGAAGAGCAGTATACAAATTGAACAAACAAACAATGAACTTCAACTGGTCCAAAATAATGCAGCTACATTGTCAATGGGGTTCTAGTCAACTGGAACATTACTCACCAGTTTTACACACTTTTTCACTGGCTTACCATGTGCTTTCAGTTGTAATTCAAAGTGCTGGTTTATACCTATAGAGATCTATGTTTGGATCAAGGAATCCAAAGGACTGACTGTGCCCATATTTGTTAAGCTTATTAAGGTGCTCTTCCTCTGGTGTTCCTCTTTCAGAGGTAGAAGAGTGGAGACAGGACCTTCACTGAGGTGGCACCGCAACTGCGCAACACCCTCGCCAGGTTGTTAGTCTGGTGCATATGTTACCTAATTTTAGGTGCCTTGTTACAAGTATTTCATTTGCCTGAGCTTTTTAAATGAACAATAACTGATTCTTGATTGCTTCTTTCTATTTCAGCTGTTGGAATTCAATGTGCTGCAGTATAGAGACACTTTTTACTGATCTTTTTAGGATTTGTTTTTAGTTATTGTTTTCTTGTCCCTCAAAACATGCACAAGAAGGCTGACAAGACATCATTTTTTCCATTTGCTAGGAGAACCCAAATCTTGGAATGAGATGATCCTGCATGGTAGGTTTATGAAGTCAAAGTCTTGGCTGTTACCTTGTATTCTACGAAGAAGTCCTTATAGCCACCCTGAAGGACATACAGTTCAGGATAGTGCAGCGCAGGATATTCATTCATGGCTCTGTCTTCTTCCCTCAGATAGCGACACCTTCAAGTAACAGCAAGGCAGGAAGAGTAAGCAGAAAGGCAAGACAAAAGCCACCCTATCAAGCAAAGGACCTCCAAAACCCCACCTGTTTATCCTGCTCCCAAGAGCTGCCTCACTGAGACCCACACTCACATCTTTGGGCCCCTCTCTGAGGAATATTCACAGTGGAAAACAAGGATGAGGCGCTTCTGAGGCATTGATGAGAGTAGAGGCTTCCTCAGGAAGGATTCAAATAGATCATCTTCCCTGGGGATATTCAGAGCCCCCTATAGTTAGAAATAGAAAACAAATTCTCAGAATGAGGTATAAGGCATCAACATCAGCTGGCCGTGGTTGTCTAGCATTGATATGCAGAAGCCCCACCTGGAGGTGTGGGGGATTTAACCGTGACGTTTTGCATATGCCTTGCCACTGAGCTAAGGCCATCCCATCATGCAGCCCACGAAACCAATCACCGCCCTTAATTAAGCGCATGATTCTCTCACCTTGATATGTCCCCCATCATATTCATAGGGGTAGCGACAGTCAATAATGCAGAACTTCTCTATAAGGCTTTGGAATTGGCCTTGGAGCAGAGCAGCCATCTAAAAGAATAGCAGAAGAAAACCCAAGTTCAACTCGTCGCTATCTCTCAAGCCTTACCTACATCACAGGGTGGTTGTCAGGATAAAATGCAGTTAGAAATGGGGGAAGAATCATCTCTACCACCACCTTGAGATCCTGGGAGGGAAGATGGGCTAAAAATGAAGTAAACAAAACCACAAGCTCTACTATTTCTTCCCCGTCATTACATGGTTACCTAAGGTGAAGGATAGCTTGAGCAGGTAACACTAAGGTAGACTGAGGTATAGCTGGGGTCCTTCAGTTAGTGCACAAAACACAAATCTGTATTGGGGTGGGAAGGACAGCTATATCACCACCCCCCAAGTACTTTCTGGGATTTTTATAGAACCAAGTGTGGGTCAAGGAGCCAAAATTCAGCTGATGTGGAGGAAACCAATGGGCCAAAGACACAGACGCACACAGATAACAGAAGAGGTGATTGCTCACGGTCTCTGAAGTGATGTATTTCAGGTCCTGATGCCTTCCTGCTACTGTTGGCAGTGAATACACCTAGAGACAATGCAGCCACATTCCACTTCAGGCTTTGCAATAGCTCCCAAACCCTCCAGATCTCCTAAGCCTCAGCAAGATAAATTCTAAAACCAAAGCTGTGATCCTAAGTGCACTTAATTGGAACCAAGCCCCAGTGAACTCCATAATCAGACCTACTTCTTAGAAAACATGCAGACATTTGGGCTGCAAGCACTGAATGTATCATCTGATTCCTGGTTCAAAAGCACTCCTTATGCTCTGAAAAGCAACGTAACCACCTGATTGATCTTTATTTGCTAGGCTGCATTTTCTGCAAGATTACAAGGCAGTGTTGAGAGTTCTACAAGAAAAATCCTTTATAGCCTGAAAACTCATACCCTGTTGGCAGAATTACACAAATTGGGGGGAAGTATACATTTTATTGGAATTGTCAGGGGCAGATTAACATGGGTGATGCCACAAAGGGATAACAACATAGGGAAGATGCCTGGAGTGTAGCCCTATACAACCTTGTAAAAAGCAAAACACAGCAGATTGTGAATGGAGATTATTTTTGTTCTTTTCATTTTCCAGTTGGTTTCTTGATAGTATGATTAATTGCATTTTATTCCACTTTTGCATGGAGAAATGTACAGTACTGCTGTTTAACTCTTAAACACCAGAGCTATATTCAGCTTAGGTGCAAGTAACGTTCCAGCAACTAGTTAAAGATGTAACGAAGGACAGCTATTCTGGCAACACTGAGGGGTTGCAAATAGGCTTTTTGGGTAATATGCAAACACCTTTTCTGAGGAGTGATGTTGCACTCCTGTTTGTAAAATGAATCAGGATGATGCAGCAAGAGACAAATGGGATAACCCATTCAGAACTTTCAGCAGACAGTCCCCATATTCTAAAGCTTCCCTGCAATAAGAATAAAAAGTGCCCCCCGTGACATATAATTCTTATTATTCAAAAAGAGAACTCCTATTCATGTGGAGGAAGCTTAAAAGGCCATTAACTGTTAATAACTCATTGTCGAATTGCCCCCCCTTAAAAATCAAATTGCCCCACGTTGGGAACCACGTCCTTAGAGTCTCCAGATTGTGAAAAAAATCTTATCTGATTCTGTGCTACAACAATTGGTAAAACAAGACTTGAGGGAATGAACAGCACAGTGGCATCTAGGCCATATTGTACTATAACATTCAATTCTCATTAATTCTCATTAATAGTTTAACATGAAGAACTGTTTCTCCCACCCTTTTAAAGACAGCTGCTGAAGTTTTGATGGGATTGTAGGAACTGAAAGGCATTTTGATACATGGGCAGGGCAACCCATATGTCAGTCATGTGGCATCAGTTATGCCATGTGACTTACAGGTAGATTCGCCCACCCCATCTATCAAAGTTGGTGCACAGGGTGGGGCCACCAGGGCCGCAAAAGTTCCCCACCCTTGAACTACCCCAATACAATTCTCACACATATGTGTACCAATCTGGTTAAGATCTTCTTGACTCATGTAGGGAGCTGCTTATAGAAATGTATTATTAGTTGGAACCCCACCCAAAACATGCAAGTGGTCTTATAGCTGGGTCACAAAATCAGGCGTGTGTGTGTGTGTGTTTGTGTGGTATATCAATATACACCCCAAGTCCACTTGTAACTCTGTGCCTGCCCTGCTTTGCCCCAAAAAGAGGATAAACTATCAACAGGCAGTTTAAATATGTAGAAAGCTTGCATCTCCCAGCATCGGTCAACAATCAAGGTAAGAACTTCAGCATCATTGGAGAGTGAAAGACAAAAGCCAGCCTCCCTGCCCCACAAAGGTTGAAGAAACCTACACAGGAGAAATCTCCAATTAGCTGCCTGAAGCTGTGGTCTTGATCCAGTGCTCTGACAATCTCCATGTCAGAAAGGGAGGCTGCCTTCTTCAAATGCATTACCTATATAAACAAAGCAGGCAGTCATCAGCAACATGTAAGCAAATGAATCCCTGCCCAGCTACCTACTTGCTAGTTTCTCTCTGTTCACACAAGTGTGATAGTAGAAATTATATGCTACCACAAGATAGAGTGATGGCCTCCAATTTGGATGACTTTAAAAGGGTTGTGGAGAAATTCATGGCTATCAATGGCTTCTAGGGCTCTGTCTAGGCATCCTTTCTACAGTGGTACCTCGGGTTAAGTACTTAATTCGTTCCGGAGGTCTGTACTTAACCTGAAACAGTTCTTAACCTGAAGCACCACTTTAGCTAATGGGGCCTCCTGCTGCTGCTGCGCCGCCGGAGCCCAATTTCTGTTCTTAACCTGAAGCACTATTTCTGGGTTAGCGGAGTCTGTAACTGAAGCATATGTAACCTGAAGCGTATGTAACCTGAAGCATATGTAGCCTGAAGCGTATGTAACCCGAGGTACCACTGTACTGTGCATGCATCATGGTTTGTGCTCATGATGCTATCAGGACAATTGTATGCAATCAAACTTTCAATACCATTTGCGCACGCAAAAGTTCTGCTGATACTGCCTTGGCTGCAATCAGTGCACATCCTCAAGTTTCCAGCTAAAACCCCATAACTTTTTACACTACAAATGTTACGGTTCATCCTTTCACTCTTGCTGTTAATGTACTATCACACAAAAGTGCCCTGGCAATGTGCCAAAATGCATCTGCTCCTTTGTGACGTAGCCACTCTCCTATCCCTCCTGTTAACGCCCAAAATTGGCATTCCTGTGGGTGTTTTCCTTTTAATGGAAATGAGCAAAACGTTTAGCACAGCAATCGCAGCCCGTACATAAAAACTGAAAAGGAGTTGAAATGAAAGTGTAGTGGCATGGCGTCATGGCATGACTAATTTGCACAGCTGGGAATTACGGGTAGCCGGAACACAAACAATGGAATGGGCAGAGTTGAAGTGTGGCTGCAGTGACGCAGGTATGTTGGGGAAGCATCGCAAAACAACTGAGAAAACGGGATGATGTTTGGATGGCTCAGTACAAATCCATTTCAAATGCACTATGAATCAGAAACACTTTGCTGCATACATCCACAACTAAACAGCGGTCTGATGGGCTGCTAAGTTATGATGGCTATATGCTGCCTCAAGCAACAAAGAAATAACTGGTTGCTGGGGAAAGCAAGTGGGGAAGGTGTTGCAACACTCAGGTCCTGCGTGTGACACCCCGCCTCCCTGGCATCTGGTGGACCACTGCAAGAGGAGAATGCTGGACTAGATGGGCTTATTATCTGCATCATCAGGTATGCTCTCATGACAGCAGCTATGCCCCGATAGCTACCTGTTGATACAGCACATGGGACTGCCATTCTGCTGTCACTACTTAGACCCAGGAACTCATACTTGAACCAAGCAGGATCTTACCCCATCTGGCTCCTCTTGGGTTGGGCTGTGCTTCTGTTTCACCTTGATGGGTGCTTCGTCTTCATCTTGGCTCTTTGCTGCCTTCTTCAGCACGGGGCTGTTCAGTTTCTCTGGCAGTGATGGGGATCGGAAGAGTCGAGTCTTGTTCATAGAGACCTGCTCAGAGTGGCACATAGGCAGCGATGAAAGTTGGGGAGCAGTGGGGAACTCCCTTGCTTCATTGACAAAGTTTCAGGGCTCCTACAAAAAAGGCTGATGGTGAGGAGCACCAGCCTCATCATCAGGATTTTAATTTTTGGTAATTACTAGAAAGATCAGGGATGGGGAGCTGAAAGAGCAGATTCTTATTTCCCCTATTCCCACCCCTGGGCCCAAATTTGACAAGTAGGAATCCACCGGATGCCACAATGATGTCAGGTGATACAACATTCTAAAGCACAAAGGTCAGCTGTTTGGGGCAACTTCAAAGCACCTGTCTTTTTACCTGTGCACACCTTGTGCCATTATTGTCAGTTTGTATTGTCAGAATGTATTCATCTGATGTGTAGAGATCTTTCCTGTTCTGCTTAGTTCAAGAGGGTTCTGGAAGGTTTCTTCTCTGTGTGAGAGAAGGTTCTTGTTTGGGTTATTTCTTCTGAAAAGCTGAGTACAGCTGGTTTAAACTGGTTCTATTAACTTTCTGTCAAGTTCATGCTGACTATAATAGGCCAGAAGGAGCCTAGGTTTCACTTACTTTCTACCTCTTTGTTTTGGTGTGGTGTTCTGTATATAGTGTTTAGTTTAGTCTTATTACCGTATTTTTCCACGTATAACACACCCCTGTGTATAAGACAAATTAGCCAAGTCACACCTATTTTGGGGGACTCAAAATTAAGAAAATGGGAAAGATTGCCCCTGTGTATAAGACTACCCCCTTTTAAAAAAACCTAGTCTTGTACATGGAAAAGTTTGGTATAAGTTATTATTAAGTTTAAGTTAAGTCTGCTGCAACTGGATTTCTGATGAACTGTGTCAATCCTGAATGTACTGGATTTGTGACCATTATGCTCATTTTCCTTCAGTAGCAGTAAAGCTCTGCTGGATGAAGTACAATTGCCTCTGGTCTATTTTGGGGGACTCTGCAACGTGTTTAAGTCTTTCCTTCACACGCATGACAATTATGACATCAGGTGGTTGGCAGATAGGTGTGACTTGGCTAATTTGGCCTGGCAGGCCTGATTAAGCATGCAAGCTAGAGGTTCCCCATCTCTAACTTCATCTGAAGGAACATCACAGCTTGGAGAGGAGGGCTAAACCTCTGCTCCCTATGGGCTGCATCCTGGATTACCTATTCAGCCTAAGATTAAACATTAAGAAATTGTTTAATAAACCCTGATGCAGTTTCTAATTACATTTTCAGGGTTCTCTCTAGTCTGAATCTTACTTGCCATAGGCAACCAAGGAAGGCTAGGTTTGCTATATGCTACTTGCCTCACTGACATTGATGTCCTGAGTAAGAAGTGGTCCCGAGAGCAAAATCGCCATGCTGGAGAGATGCCCAGAAAGTGGCTTCTAAGAGAAACATAAAAGAAGAATGCAGAACCCAAGCAGTATTTCACAGCATGAAGACAGGAGAACTTAAAACTGTTTCCTCTGCCCATAAGAAGAAAGAACATGACCCTCCGCGTAATTCAACTGACATAGTATTTTTGTACAGAAAAAAACAGCTTATTAGTACTACAGATGCCCGAAAGCTTTACATACAAGCTTGCCACAGGGAGGAATAAATGCATATGGTGGTTCAGCTTTGGGGACAGATGACCAATAATAGTAGATGGAATAAGGGAACCTTGAGTTTTAGGGGTGGACAAGGAGTGTAATTCTGGTATGATAGAACAAAAATGGGACAAATAATCAGAACCTATTTTTGACAACCTTGCCTATAACTCCCATTAAGCATAATGTATGAAACCACTGTGTGATGTTTTGAGCCTTCCCCCATATAAAAACTACTGCACTTGGATCAAATATCCCTGTTGAGATCTCACAAGGAACTTTCGCATTTCATCATTTTCCTACTCTTAACCATTTACTGCAGACGGTTGGATGACTCTTGCGGAAATGACAATGGATGGAAAATAAACTGAATTGCATCTAGGTTTTCAGAAGTCACGATGCTGAAATCAAGACTAGATCATCTTTAGGGTAGTGGGTGAAATACAGAAGCTGCTCAGCACAGCTATGGCAACAGTGTGAAAAAATTCAGTGCCCATTGTGAACGCTTTACTATTACAGGTGTTGGGACACTTAAACATATACTTTTGAGCAAAATACCTACAAGTCTTCTACTGCTTCATGATGTTTCAGTGCAATAATACACAAGTCCATGATTTAGCCATTACCAAACCACACTTCTCAAAAGGCTCTAAGCTCTCTCTCCAACCACATTGGCAGCTTTGTAGTAGGAACAGATCCAAGACCACTGTGTTCTGGCAGCCCTGAGAATCATAACTGGTAAGATCTACTTTTCCATCTTCTAAGATTTCTTGCTTTTCACAAATGCCAATAATGGAGTGAACATATCACATTTGTCTCACCTCAGTCTCTTCCTGTTCAGGGCAGAGTTCTGGAAAGTCACCCAAGGACTCTGGCATTCCTGGTGGTGTCACTGCAGAAATTGGGCTGCCAAGATCTTTCATCTCATACTCCTCTAGATCACCTGCTTCCTGTCAAGAGAAGAAGCTCACAGCTGGCACCTACTGCTTCTCCGGCATGATATATGTGTGTGTATATATCTTTCCCCTAGAACTTTTATATATCTGTGGTTGGGTAATTTGGGTTTTATATTAGTTTTCTGTACTAGGAAATATTTGATTGTCCTTAACTGTTGAGATGAAAGCACTTGTTCTGTTGGTATGCCTTTTTGTCCCGATACTTGAATATTCCTGTAAATGCACGTGCTATTTGTTAGTTTTGGCAATTCAAAATGTAACCATATATATAATTGCACATAAACTGATTCCCTTGGTGAGCCACACCTCCCTTGTAAGAAGGGACAAACGATGCACCCCACAATGATAGCTGGCACCTAAAAATGACCAGCATATGGAGGCCAGCATCCATCACCATTACATGCCTTGCTGCTGGGAGATTAATTCTGAGTTCCCTAACCAAATGCTTTATCCCCATTCATGTCCAATGGAGAAGTTCCCTGCACCATGAAGCTTGAAAGACTGGCCTGAACTGGACATTTAAGTGGAGTACTCTGTTAGACTAACACTCCCAATGAACAATGATTTTTGTAGAGGAGAAAAAATATGTAAACCCGCAATGCATGGATTCCCATGTATCAGTAAATCAAATTATAGTGTTGGCATACTGATAAGTGGTAGGTCTGACTACTACTTAATATCTATACCCACACATAGCTGAAAAGGTCCAAACCTAGTTCTATTTGAACAGCAAGTAAGCAGCATTAACTTACCAGCATAGTAGCATAGGTCTGCTGTGCATCTCGTGGTTTTTTCCAGAACAGCAGGGATTTGGGCATGCTCCACCCTGGGCGCTTAAAAGGGCTACCCTCCTGGAAGGAGATAAAGAAAGGAGGTGGCTTTTAGAGTTGAGAACTCTCTGGAATCAAGAACCTGGGGAAGTTTCAGGGAAGTTAAGCTAAGTATTATCACCATGAAGTGAAAAGAAGGGCCTAGCTTTGGTAAGCAAAGACTTCTGCCTGCCTGAAAACCTGGCCTGCAGCTTACTAATATGGCAGGAAACCCCAGCTTGCTGCAAAAATAAATAAATACTCACATTCTCTTTGTTCATGGAAGGACTGCTGATCACCCTGCTAATGTGTCGGAAGCAGCTCGGAGTGTCCGGTGTGCTACACAGTACCCGGGACTGGAAGACCATGCAGAGAAACACATTTTCAGTAAATTAATGTTGGTTGTGAATCTTAGAACTGGGGCCCCAAGACCTCTGACTCACAGTTCTCTGGCAGCAGAATATTACAAAGAGGTGAATGAATTCCACCTCACCAGGCAGGAAACACTCACCTGGAGCAATTGTGAACACTGCCTCCCTGAAAGTCTGCTGGGAGAAAGAAACAACTAGTCAGAAAGCCTTCTCATTGAAAAAGAGTGGTCAATCTGTCAGTCCCAATCTGCCTTGCATACACTTCCTAGAAGTCCACTAGGATGGTAACACTTGTCCAGCAGCAGGAGATTTCAGCCAATTTTTCAGTCTGAAGAATTGAGGCAAGGTCTCCTGGCCTTCCTGGAAATCACTTTAGAGTTCACCTCCTGGTTTATTCACAGGACAGTTCCATATTTTATAAACTTGGTGTTAAATTCATGCTACCCACTCACTTTTCATATTTCCAACATCTGGGGTCAACTTTCAGATGACACACAAAACTAAACCCCAACGTTCTCTTTATTCTCACAATAAACTAACCTAGCAAAGACCAAATCTTAAGAACGCTGGTGTACAAAAGAAAAAGCAGTGTAAGTCCTTTGTACAGCCATTTTGATTATGAATCCTGATGGGCAAAAGATCATCAGCTGGACCAGCATCTTATAGATTCAGCACCCTCAGCTCAGGGACAGGGACTTACTGATGTGGGTGCATGAAAATTAAGCGATGGACCAACCACTCTCCACCTGCATTTGGGTTAGAATTTTCCAACACAGAGAGACAGACATTCAGAGGGTAATGCACCCTTTCCCTCTACTGATAAAAACCCACATTCTAATCATGTAAATGAATCCAGCTACAGTACTTCATCTATATTGTAAATAAATCCATCTAAGGCTGAAAAGGTCTGGCTTGTATTTCACTACAGTTTGGGTCAAACTATTGATATGAATGTTTGGGACTGCAAATATCAAGAGCTTTGGCAACTCAATTTGCCTGGTAGACCCAGATGGTGAAACAGGCGCATCTGCTCTACCTGTGTCCACCAGGCATGAAAGTTACGTCATATGCAACTAAACCATGCAAATTAGTAGCAAGCTGTTCCCCAGTTTACAAGGCATTTCCAATGCATCTTCTTTAGCAATGAACAAATAAGTTGTCTTAAGGAAAGTGAGAAGAAAGGAATCTAGGGCCTGCCAGACTGTTTGGTAGAAAAGCAAAGAAAGAAAAAAAGAACAAAAGCACAAAAGCCTCCGCAAGCATCTCTACAGTTTTCTAAATATACTTTGGCAAACCCTAGAAAAGGACAATAGTGGTAAGCTATAAAACATACTAGGGACGTGGGTGGCACGGTGGTCTAAACCACTGAGCCTAGGGCTTGCCGATTGGAAGGTTGGTGGTTCGAATTCCCGTGACGGGGTGAGCTCCCGTTGCTTGGTCCCTGCTCCTGCCAACCTAGCAGTTCAAAAGCACATCAAAGTGCAAGTAGATAAACAGGAAGGTAACGGCGTTTCCGTGAGCTGCTCTGGTTTCGTCGTAAGCGGCTTAGTCATGCTGGCCACATGCCCTGGAAAAACTGTCTGCAGACAAACGTCGGCTCCCTCAGCCAGTAAAGCGAGATGAGTGCCACAACCCCAGAGACGTTCGTGACTGGACTTAACTGTCAGGAGTCCTTTACCCAAATATGTCTGTGCTTTGCTCAGGTTCACAGATTTCTAGCACTCAGGGCTCAAAAAAGTAAACCACCTAATTGGGAAAGAATCTTCCCTCTCTCCTCCTGTCATTCTCGGCTTTATCCCCCATTATTCTCAGCTTTGAAAGCAGATCAACATTTTAAACACAAATGTGTGTGGGGGGGGGGAGCTAATACTAATATGCTATAAGAATGTGATGGCATAACTTACAGCTTATTCTGGACTCCCATTGAACCCTTCTGACCTGTAAAAGAATAAAGAAAAATCAGCAAAAGACCAGAAAAGATTGAGGCTTGAAATGTAAGTGACAAGATAAAAGCCAGAAGCTGTTCTTCTGTAAAAATGGCTTAACCACTGGTTCCCAAACTTTCCCCCCGTGGACCACTTGAAAATTGTCAAAGGTCTTGCCAGACCACTTAATTTATTTTTCTTCCTTTTGTAGCAATTGTAACAGCTGTGCTAGATGCTGACTTTTAACTGCATTTTTAATTGCTTATTTTATTTAGTGCATTGTATTTTATTGTACAGTGGTGCCTCGCAAGACGAAATTAATCCGTTCCGCAAGAGTCTTCGTCTAGCGGTTTTTTCGTCTTGCGAAGCAAGCCCATTGACGGATTAGCGCTATTAGCGCTATCAGCTGTTTAGCGGCTATTAAAGGCTTAAAGGCTTAGGGGATTAGCTGCTAAAAGGCTATTAAAGGCTATTAAAGGCTTAGCAGATTAGATAAAGGGGGAAAGCGAAAAAAATCTCTAGACTCGCAAGGTATTTTCGTCTTGCGAAGCAAGCCCATAGGGGAATTCGTCCTGCGAAGCAACTTCAAAACGGAAAACCCTTTCGTCTAGCGGTTTTTCCGTCTTGCGAGGCATTCGTCTTGCGGGGCACCACTGTATTACAATTTGCATTCCATATAATTAAAATTGGAATACAATAAAATACAACATAAGAAATAAAAGAAGCAATGAAAATACAACTAAAAACCAATATTAATATTTATTGCAATCATGCCACAGACCGCCCAAATGAAGCTTGTGAACCACTGGTGGACAACAGACCAGTTTGGGACCCCTGCCCTAGACTAACCAGAAAACAAATCACAAAAGCCTACTGGAAGCACACAATGAGGGGTGCGGCTTGGGAAGAGAGCTTTCCCAGGGTTCTAATAGAATGGCAGTGGGAGAGTCCAGGGCACTTGTTCCCACAAGTTGCCTGGCATGTTAATATGTAATCAAATTATCTGAGGGGGCTTGGTTTACTGACAATTTTATGCTGCATTTCTTATGGTTATTTTATTTTAGTGAGCCATTCAGAGAAAGTTGTCATTGGGCAGCCCATATAAATGCCCTAACACATTAGCCATTTGAACAGAGCTACAGGAATAAAGACAAGCAGCAGCATGCAGAGAATTGTGCTGCTGGCAACAACTATTACCAGTTTCCAATGTACCTGGGGACTGGCTGAAGTTGAAGGCAGTTTCCTCTTCACCATTGCTGAGATTGGACAGATCTAGGCAGCGTCTTGGTGTATCCCTGCATAAACAAAGTAACAGGAATGCTTGGGAGAAACACACACATCTTATACAAATTAATACAGGACATAAAAGACTGAATTTCTGATTGAAATATAAAGTTTGTGAGTGTTTTCTGGTCTGTGTGCTTCTCTCCTAAGACAGTAATCACAATTAGTAGACAAACTGCATTCAGCTGCCATTTCATCAGTTTCTACTACACTGCATCAGAGAAATAATTACTAAGGACTTAAGTCAGATTAGCATTTAGATTAAGCGAGATGCATTTAAGACTCACCGACTACCTTAAGCCCCATTTGCCAACTTCCAACAGGAGCTTAACCATGTCTACTCAAAAGTAAGTCCTATTGAACTCATTGAGGCTTAATTCCAGGTAACTGGGTTAAGTTTGCAGCCACAGTCTGGCTCCAGCACTACATCACTGCCATAGGGACACCATTTAGAGAGCACTTAAGTTGTTTTTATTATGATCTGCTTTTTGATCTAATTTTTATTATGATCTGCTTTAGAATTAGCTGCTGTGTTTTGATTAATTGCAGCCACTACTTTTTTAAAGTGGCTATCACCTGTGATTCTATATACTATTGCTTTGCTATGAATATTTTGGGTGGTATTCAATGCACTCATTCTGTCACCACAAGGACTCAATGGATTTTTCCTCTTCCTTTCCTCATATGCCCCCAAAATCTGGTCCAGGTCCCCCACCCAAATCTCCAAAGCAAATTTGGGGATGGTGTGGGACACACACAAAGAAGAAGGGGGCGTGTTCTGTTGCACCAACAGAACAAGTGCGTTGGATGAATTTTCTCCACATTGCCGGTGTCATTGCCACCATTTGTACTTTTCATGTACAGAGCAAAACAGCATGATTCAATGCAAATAATATTTTATAAATAATGAAAGAAAATTTGTGACTAATTAGCGCAAGCCAGATTTAATTATGGAAGGGCGGGAAAATCACAATGTATGCTGCTCAGCACTAAATACAAACTAGGTCAAATGCAATATGGTTATGCTGTCAGTTCTCAATACAGTGGTACCTCGGGTTACATACGCTTCAGGTTACAGACTCTGCTAACCCAGAAATAGTACCTCGGGTTAAGAACTTTGCTTCAGGATGAGAACAGAAATCATGCTCTGGCGGCGCAGCAGCAGCGGGAGGCCCCATTAGCTAAAGTGGTGCTTCAGGTTAAGAACAGTTTCAGGTTAAGAACGGACCTCCGGAACGAATTAAGTATTTAACCTGAGGTACCACTGTAATTATTTCACCAGTATCCATGAAAAAGACAGTCACCCAAAGTACTAGAGATGAAAATTGACATTTGTTTTTATGCCTTTACCACAGCTTTCAAATAATCATAGTTGTTTGGGCTGTAGCCTATTTACCTGTTATTTCCCTAACAAATGACATACTTGCCAAGGCCATTAAAATTCCAGCAGTTCAACTGATTTATCCCTCTCCTTTTCAAACCCCAGTCTTACAATAATAAATGCAGGTTCTGCTATACAAAAATTCACTTATGTTCATGTTAATACTCAAACCTTACTATACATACTGCAGATTCAGATTTCCAAACAGTCAGACCAGTGTGTAGCAGTGTAAACAGATAAAGCCTTAAACAAGCCTTGTGTTTTGCTGGTCCCCACTGGCCATTTTGCCAGAGACAATAGTGGGAGAAGAGATTGGACAAACAAAGCATTTTTCCTTCCTTGTTTGTCTTTTGCAAGGTTTCAGAGTTTTTTGTCATTTAGGGGTCAAAATTCTGTGGTTGGGAACACATTTTCCCATAGGAATTAATGGAAATTGTTGACTCATTGTGCAAACACTCACCTAAAGAATGATTTCCTGTGACTGCATTGTGTTTGGATAGCGATAGCATGTAAGTTATATGTGCATGCATACTTCGCAGAGATAGTCATCTGAAAAATGAATTACACATTTGAAACTACCTAACTTGAACCATATTGTATCCACTCATTATGCTGCTAAATTAAGGAAATTGGGAAAATGCAATGTTTTCTACCTCATTTCACTATTCTGAAAAGAGAAACTTACCCGGTTAATGTGCTAAAGGTCCTGAAACCATGAGTTAGGTTAGAGATTGGGGTAAGAGGTGCCTCTGGAGTAAAGGGTAGTGAGAACTCAGCATCCTGGAACATAATCATCCTGCATCTGGATCGGAACCCAAGACACAAATGAGAAGCATCAGCCTCTATGGGGGCAAAGTTCTCAGACATGGTTTGACACAGAATCCACTGAGCAGCTGCCTGCGGAGAACAACAATTACTATTTACATCCTGCTTTTTATTATATCCAGACTTACAGCATAAACACAAAAACTGCAATATAAACAGTACAGTTATCACTGAAAATATTAAAACAACATACATAAAATAAACTTGACAGCAGTGAGGTTCAAAAGAACCACTCAAAAGTGGTAGCGATAAGATTAAAATAAAATACATAGTAAGCCTGCAATTTATGCACATTTAACTTGTGTGCATTCAGCTTTATGCATTTGGCAATAAAAAAAAAATTAAAAAGGAGGGAGTAGAATGGAGGTGGGCATCCAGGAAAAGCCTTTGGCAATCCCACTTGCCATTGCACTCAATGTGTTTTGACAATACAGAGTTTTGGCTTTGGGAGGAACAGAACCCTGGAACAGAACCCTCATGCAAATTGAGGGGTTATAAAATTAAAAGATTATAAACATCAATATACAGTACACATCTTCCATTTCCAAAGCTAAGCAAAAGTCAAATTCCGGCAATTTATGATTAAAGCCAATTCTGTCATCCATGGCTTGAATCAAGCTTATGGGTTTGCGGAGGAAAGCATCCTGCTGTTGGTAAATTATCAGCAACGCAGCTGTGTGTTCCTGTTGCAATTTGTCACCCAGCAACCTCACTCTTCCCCGGCCCCACGCATGTAGGAATATCTGCTAGTTTCCTGCACCCATCTGTCCATGGAAGTTTAATCCCTCACAAAGCTGCGTTTCCTCAGGTCGTCTGAAGACTCTTTCCTCCAGTGCCGGATTTACAAGCTATAGCTTAGGGCCCCACTCTCTTGGGGGCCCCCAAAAGATTTAAAGGGGGAAAACTGGATGTACCGTATTTTTCGCTCTATAGGACGCACTTTTTCCCTTCCAAAAATTAAGGGGAAATGTGTGTGCGTCCTATGGAGCGAATGCAGGCTCCTTGGCTTCAGCAATAGCAATGCAAAGCCTCCGAAGCGCAGAGGGGGCGCTCCCTCCGCGCTCCAGAGGCTTCGCGTTGCTTTCGCTGAAGCCTGGAGAGCAAGAGGGGTCGGTGCGCACTGACCCCTCTCGCTCTCCAGGCTTCAGGGATAGCCGCCTGAAGCCTTTGGAGCGCAGTGGGAACTCGCGCTGCGCTCCGAAGGCTTCGGGTTCTTTTTGCTGAAGCCGGGAGAGCAAGACTCTCCTGGCTTCAGCAGAGAGGGAGAGCTGCGCAGCGCCCCTTCAGCCAAGCAGGAGGAGAAATGGAAGGGGTTCCGTTTCTCCTGCCGCTTCTCTGAAGGGGTGCTGAGCAGAGAGGGAGAGAATTTTTTTTCCTGTTCTCCCCCTCCTATGGTCCGGGGCGTCCTATGGTCCAGTGCGTCCTATAGAGCGAAAAATACGGTACATTTCAAAAATATAAGATAAACAAATAAAAGAAAACCTACATACAGCAACAGTGTTTTGTGTTGTGTAGGCTCCTATGATGTAAGTAATGGGCCCTGTCTGCTAGCCTGCTCCCTAAAATATCACTGGTTTGCTATTATTATTTCATGTTATAGCAAGTTTCTAGAGACTAGATTATGAGTCTTTGTAAATTGTGTTTCTAAAGGAACTTTTGTTATTGCCAAATGCCAATGTGTTTGCATTATTAAGTTTGTTATGAATAAAAAATCATTTTAAGTTAGAGCTTAATAATTATTTCACTATTAATATACTTCTTAATTGTATTTCAGTTCAACAATTACGTTGATAAAATACATATTTTGTTATGTGCAAATGGCTTTAGATACCTATTAGGTCCATATTTTACAATAGCATATATTCAACACAAAAAACAGCGACAATTTGCTGTTGACAAAGGACAGCTGGACATATAAAGGGCCTCATCACACCTAAATCCGGCTCTGCTCTCCTCCAGACTCCCTTGACTGCAAACTGCAAACATACAGTACAAGGGCAGCCAGAACCTGCTGCCCACGAAGGGAATCTCTCCTCCCCTCGAGGACCGCCACTCCGAGCAGAGCTCATCCCACCGCCCCGCTCCCGTTCCCCCAAACCCACCTGCCGCCCATTGACGCAGCCGCGCCGCTCGCCCACTCCTTCCCTCGCCAGGCTGAAAAGCGGACAGCCGTCTGGGAACTTAAACCTGCCGCCCGAGCAGCCAGCCAATCCCAAACGCCGTCTTCTTCGTCAACCAACCACCGAAGCGCGGAGGAAGAGGAGCCCTAGCTACGGCTTGAACAGCTTTTCAATTGGTCAACGTAGCCACGGGCGTCAAAGGGGCCCCGGAGCACCTATTGGGAGAGCGTAGTGGTGGTAGGCGGGGCTTTGCTTACCACGCTTGTTATTGTTCCGCAGCGGCTTTCCGCCTTCCTTTGTGCTTTTCGTGCAGCCAATCGCTTAAGGAGAGCCCGCCCCCACTACCACGCGATAGGTCAGGAGTGTGCTGCAAGCCCCGCCCTTCTGAGCTACTGGAGGGAGATTTAAATCCCGGGAAGATTCTGCTCTGCACCTGACAGACACGCTGCTGTTGCATTTGAGTCATGCACTTTGGGAGTGCTGTGGGTGATGGGTGGGCTCCCGTGAGCGACAGGTGCTTGTTCCTGGATTTCTGGAGTGGGTGGAATGCGAAGCTCAGTTTTCTTCCTCCTGAAATGTAACGAGAAGGGAGCTGCTGTTAGTTGGCTGCTTCGTTCTGTTCTGTTTCTTTCCACCCGAGTATTGGTTACCAAAGCTGGTAGGAAGAGTGCTGCAGAGCCACGGAATAAATGGTTTCCTTGTAGCACAACATTTTAAAAAATATTGTTCTAAATTTAACTGACCACTCACTAAAAAAAACTAGGCTCAGCACCATGTCAGTTTGTCTCCCGCCCCCCATTTCCCGGGCTCAGTTTTATTTTGTGTTGGGACTAACTGTAACAGCTCTGATCCTCCTATTTTCTGAACTCGTATGGAAAGGCTAAATGCGGATAACTAAAAACCTCTTATGCAAACGTGTTATGTTTTGCTTTGCTCTGCAAGTGTGGTTTCATGCTGCAGGGGTTTTGCTGTTTGCGTGTTATGAATGAGATGAGAACTGATAAGAGCGTAAGTGCCTGGAAACAGTTTTCAGTCCACTCTCGTTAGCTAGAATATCCGTATAGGCTAAGATCTGTTGCTCCCCTCTGGGAGGTCTTTGGGATTAGTAATAGTCTCGTCTGTAGAATATTTATAACAAATTACTGTCTTTTAATCTGCCCTCAGTTCTCTGTACTATGGGTCATTGGTTTTCAATCATGGGGCACTTGCTGCTGGGATGTCGCCTGTGTATCAAAGAAACAGGTAGGTAACAATTCAGTGGGAGATGGGATGAAGTAAGATATACCTTATTAGCAGCAATGAAGAAACTTTTTCCAAATAATAAGAGTCAATTCATTAGTTACGTGGATTATGATTCACAAAGGAAATCAGTTGGGAATTCTGGTGTAATGAAGGCAGCAGTTTGTGATACAAATCAGTAACAAATGTCTTGGAAGAGGGTTAATTGTTTGATCTCAGCCAATGTCTGATGCTTTAGAATGGAGCTTGAGAGCAGGATGAATGTAATATTGAAGGGAATGAACCAGAAACCTTTTTCAGCCTCTAGTGGTCATATTAAATCATTTAAATACAAATGAAACAGATAAAAGCAGCAGATACCGCATTTGCTTAAGCGTTTAAAATTTGTTTAAATTAAATCATTTAAAATGTCTGGATATTTTTTAAATTTTGCCTGGTGCTCCAAAAGATAAGTGTTGGTCTCAGGCAAGGAATGTGAGGGACCATTGGGGACCACATTCCCTTGAATGAGTGTCACTATGAGAAGCATAAGATACTTAACAAAGAATAAAATTGTTAATGTTTTCCAAGGCATTGAAAACTGTCCAAGACTTTTGTGTTATGCCTTATTATTTTTATTTTCTTTTGTCATTCATGGTCATGGGTTTACTTATTACAATAGTGAACAGGTTCCTTCTGGGGGCAATTCATGACTGCTGAGCTGGAAATAAACACAGCAAGGAGACTATATAGCTCATGAACTAGGGTATGAAGCTGGCAGCAACTTGTACCTCCTCTAATTATGGACAGCCAGTCACTGTCTTTTGAACCAGTTTATTTTATAGGGTTACTGTTGTGATTTTTTAAAGTGTATGTGTGAAGAAAACTGAGAAATGCACCTTGATTCCCATGAGGAAAGGTGGGATAGCTGTCATAAAAAAGGTAAAGGGACCCCTGACCATTAGGTCCAGTCGCGGACGACTCTGGGGTTGCAGCGCTCATCTCGCTTTATTGGCCGAGGGAGCCAGCGTACAGCTTCCATGTCATGTGGCCAGCATGACTAAGCCGCTGAAATGTGAGGGAATGTGTGGTCTCAAGGTATAAATGAATCCATATTATTAATAAAACATTTCCCTTCTCTCCCCATTCAAGGCCACAATGTTGCATAGAACAAGCATTCCCAAACTGTGGTCCACAGGTAGTCTGTGAGCCTCTTTCAGGTGGTATGTCTGTAAAAATATGATTAAAAGTTACACAGCATCTAGCACAGTGCACTGCAATTCCTACAACAGGCAGAAAAATAATTAAGTGTTCTTCCAAGAACCTCAGTAATTTTCAAGTGGTCTTGGTGGTGAGTTTGGGAAGCGCTAGCATAAAAGATGTTGTAATAATATGTAGCACCTGGATTCCTCAGACTGGCAGGCAGTGTTTGGTTTAGGGAATGTATAACGCTAATATTGCATGATTCAGGTAGCTGCACACAAAACTTGAGGTTTAGTTATGCATGCTGTGGGGAGAGTAGCCAAGAGATTGCTCAGACACTTGGAAAATGATAAAATTAATGGGAAGGTTGGGGAGAAACAAAACAGAGCATATTGAATTGAGCATTGGTTTAGGTATTTTTAGTTTGGCATGAAGAATGTCAGACATAGCATGGGTGGTATCAGACGATTATTGCAGGCTAGCATGTTGTACATGGAATGTGACACAAAATGGAACAATAAAAATGTTAACTTTCCTTCACCTCTAACTTAATGTCCCACATTATGAATCTGCACATTTAAAGTCCATGCTGTCCAGCTTTCAACTGGCACAACATTAAGATTGATTTCAAAGTTTATGGGCTTTCTCCATAGTGTGTGGTTCTGATTTTGAACTGGGTCTGAAAGTTGTATGGCTGCCTTGCTATTCAGTTTCAACCATTATTTCCTGGAGACAGAAACCTTTTGCAGAAACCATTTATTAAGGGGATCCTGATGCGTCGGCTCCATTTCCAAGAAATAAATGCCATTTGTACATTGAGACATCCTGTTATGCAGCTCTTAATTGAACAAGTGTACCCTTTAGGCTGCTTCTGTGGCTTCAGATGGCAGTAACTACTTAAAGGTACACTTTACTTTACTGAATAAAAGATCCTACTGACTTTCAGAGGCATGTTTTAACCTGTGAATACCTTTCAGTAGTGACCATGGTAGATTGGGGGTTGTGGGATCTTGCCATAGTTGGCTCTAGCCTATTTTTCATGCTCTGTAATCAAAACAGATGATAAACAGTGAAGTCTCATATTTGAAGGAGACCCACTTAAGTGAATAGATTTAAGTAACTTTCAGTGGGCCTACTCCAAGTATGACTACCATTGGATATCGTCTCTCATTTTCTTGGAACAGGCCTTCATCCCAGGTCTTTCCTGTTGAAATGGTGAGTGTGTGTGTAGGCACAAGCCCAGAAAGGACAACAGAATCCAGACCAGAATCCAGGTAAGTTTTAATAGGACTGTAGCTATAGGTTTTTGAGGATGTTTTAAGTGCTTTTATTTGGGGGTGGGGTGGCTTTTATGTCATAAACACACTTACTACAAACTTAAGCCTATATGTACATCCATTGATATAGTTTACATGTTGTTCACATTCTATTTTTTTCACCTTTGTATCCTGATTTCTTTGACTTTTAGAAGACATCTGAAAGCAGCCCTGTTTAGGGAAGTTTTTAATGTTTGAACTTTTATTGTGTTTTTAATGCTCTGTTAGGAGCTGCCCAGAGTGGCTGGGAAAACCCAGCCAGATGGGCAGGGTATAAATAATAAATTATTATTTTAAATATTTTATTATTATCATTATTATTTATTTTATTTCCTAGTTCATATTGATTTCATATTAACATATATACATCTCTGTTCCCCTAACCATCTAATAATTTCGACCTTATCTCATACTCTTTGTAATACAGTGGTACCTCTGCTTCAGGTTACACACTTGGCTAACCTATAAATAGTGCTTCAGGTTAAGAACTTTGCTTCAGGATAAGAACAGAAATCGGGCTCTGGCGGCGCGGTGGCAGCAGGAGGCCCCATTAGCTAAAGTGGTGCTTCAGGTTAAGAACAGTTTCAGGTTAAGAACAAACCTCCGGAACGAATTAAGTACTTACCCCAAGGTACCACTGTAATTCTGCTTTATAAAGCTTCCACTTTCCCTACGATGTGCACTCATTTAAAACCAATTTTCCCTATATTGAGCTGCCATTGAGAAACAAGACCCACGAACCTCTTGTGATAAATAATTTCAAAATGTCATCTGGGACCTCCCTCTGTCAATCTCTGCACCACTTTCTCACAGGCACTTTTCTTTATGGGATGCTACTGATTAGTAAGAAAAGATATAGTTAGCTTATTTGCTGCTGCTAATTTTTCAGTTTAAATAAAAACACAAAATTTGCTTTGATTCCTCAAAAAATGTTTATTTGGATATGCTGAAAATACGGCATTCTTAACTACATCAACTCATTCACCTCATGTGTTCTAATATTGTTTATTACTGATGAAGAATTTGCATTGTTTCTGTTGTCTCTTTAGCATTGCATCTCTTCTCTCAGCAGGTCTGGCGTGGAGACAGATGTGGCTGTCTTGCAAAGGAGGCAGAAGCAGATAGACTATGGGAAAAACACCATTGGTTACCAGTGCTTTATCCAGCAGGTGCCCAAGTGAGCAAAGCTAGTTGTTCATCTACCAAGTCCTTATCTTCACATAGCAGGGGCTTGGAGTCCACAGCTTTCCTTTCCAAATGGTGGCTGGCAGCTGTTCTCTAAACCTACTTCAAGGGACTGGCATTTGAGACATTCACTTTGGCATCTGCTCCTGATGAACCATTGGGAAAGGTTACCACTTTTTGGGGGGCTGGGGACTTAATGTGGTCTTAAACGGTAGAACCTAACAAGTGTTCATGCTTTGTTCTAGGGCTGCTCGGCAGCCAGGTGTTCACCCAAGAACTCCAAATAAATATAAGAAGTACAGTCGCCGCTCCTGGGACATGCAGATCAAACTGTGGCGACGGGCACTCCATGGCTGGGACCCGCCTGGACTTGAGTTTGCAGGAACTGGACAGGGAAGTATTTGCTAGTTTCTCTTAGCTATTCCTGGATAATCTGGGGGAAGATGCTTTTGGAGATGAAATATGGACATGTGTGTCCAGTTTTCCTTCCCAAATCTTTTGCTCTAGAGAACTTGCTAATGGAATTCATTCTTTGACATACTCCTGTTGAACCTTGGTTCCATATTAGAAAGTAACTACCTTTTCATTGTGGAGCATTCACTGCCATCAGCCCCGTGACCCATTTATAAAGCAATCTTAACACACTCTTCAGGAATTGCGGGCCTAGTCTATGTAGGCTCTCTCCCTGGTATTCCTTATCACCATGGAGACAGGGTTAATTGTCAACACAGCTCTTGTGCTCCTTGCTGAGAGCAAATGGCTCTTGGGCTTATCAAAGTCTGGGAGTATTTTTGTACACTGTTGTGTGAATGCCTATGTGGTGGTGGTCACATGTGCATTGCTAAGAGGGAGAAATACTGCTGTGGTATAGAAGTGAGAAAGATGTAGCCAACTTTATATTTTAGTGGATTTCAACCATTGCCTATATTTTGGCAGTTGGTGATCTCCCCAGAAGTGTATGTGGCAAAGAGGAATTTAGTCATTTGAGTTCAATTACCATCAGTGATGAAAAGAGAAGCCATACACTTCTCTTTCAGTATGGTTATCATGGGGGGGGGGGGAGATTTCATCCTTGGCGTCCAGGGCAACGTGGGACTTCTAGGTCTTTAAATGTTACTTCTTATCAACCATGGTTCAAGTTCGAGAATTGTACACAGGTTCCTTATGCCTGGTCTGGGATCTAAAGACATCTAATGCTATCTGTTGCCTGGTTCAGTGTGAATGAAATTCTGTTTGCTTGCAAGGCAGGAGCTGGTGGGTCCTCTGCCTGCTCTTTCAAATGACTGGCTTGTTGCCCAAGGGACCCTGGAAAAACTTTGTAAAGAAGTCTTGCATGGGCAGGTATTTAACATTATTCAGTTGTGCTCCTTATAGCTTTATTTTGCCATAGTTAAAAGCAGTGCTTTTCCCCCTGGGGGTACGCAGGGGTACGCATATCCCTAATCATTTTGTGAATCTAAGTTTGGCCTCACTGAGGGGCAGTATTTCAATATGAGTAGGAAAATGAGAGTACCCCTAAACATTTTTAAAGAAAAAAAGCACTGGTTAAAAGAACAAAATATTTTGACTTGTATTACAAAAATCATTCATAGGCTTTGGGGGAAAGCATAATTTCCTTAAACTACACGTTCTCTATCACAGTTCTGTACAAAATCTTCACTACCGTTGAAAACCCTTTGGGAACGAGATATTATTGGTGACTCTATAGAGAAGATCTCTTGGAATAAAATATTGGACATGTTCTCCTATCGCCCCTCTGCTAGAGTTCACTAAAAGACCCACAAATTAACTTACTGGTGGTGCATGTATTCTTCACTACTAATAAATGCAACTTGCCCAGCTACCTGCTGCAGCACCTGTGGCCAGCCTCCTTTTTCCACATATGATAGATAGGCTCCTTTGTGTCCTCCTTTTGGGAACTGGTCTTTCACAACCAAACAACAAATAGCTATTGCACCTGATAGCCTTATAACCGATGGCTTACCTGTTTAAAGAACTTACTATACAGCTTATGACAGCAGCTAAAAACTGGAGGACATTGAACATGGACTTGTATGAAATGTGACTGGCACAGCTGTGGAAATTAGCCCTAATGGACAAGTTAACTAACAGAATGAGAGAACACAGGAGTAACAAGAAAAAAGACACTTTTAAGAGAAAACGGTTTGGCTTTATTTCATGCACTCTCAAGGAAGGATGGATTAGACCACATGACCATTTATGGACTGATACACTTATATGAAGTTATAGTTAAGGTGGAATTTACGTTTCTTCTTCCTATCCAATAAGTGCAACTGTTCTGTTTTACTGATAAAATACAAATAAACTTGGTGTGTGGTTTTTTAAAAAAGGAACATAAACTGTAGAGTTCTAACTGTTCATGTGTGAGTCAATGACAGGTGGGGTGGGGTGGGGAAAATAACCTTTAAAGGGGGGAAAAGGTTTGTTACTATGAAATCTCATTTTATTAGACTACTCATTTAACACTGTCTCTTCTGGTTTTAGTTTGCTGGTTTGTCATCTTCTGACCACTCTTCTGCTTTGCTGTGTCATGATGATAACTTTATGGAAGATACAGAAGTTCATCCATACTGCTACTGGGTGTGAATCATATCTTCTGGAAACCCAAAGCACCTGATGCCCTAGAAGAGGCAGCATCTTTAAAATGAAATAAGAAGTGGAGAGTGGGAACCTGAGCTATCTTCAAGCTTTTTTCCACTGTGGCCAACTCTTGCTTCCCTAGATTGCTGCAATATTTTGTAATACATTAATCTATTTCCATTCTTGAGTAATTTGCTCTATGCAGTTTTCACACAGAGAGCACTTGTTACTGCCTCTGCTTCACCCACTTACTTTGAAGAAGCCCTGTTTGTATCATTGACATTTCTATTGTTGAAGCATGGGTGGAGGATGTAAAGTCAGTAAAGTACATTCCAGAAGTGGAATACTTGGTGACAGTACGTTGCATTGGAGGGGGAAAAAGGGGGATATGATAACCAAAGATGAAAAGTTTGAGCATGAATTACTTTAGAAGGTAAGCACCCAGGATCAGCTTATCAGTGAGTTCCTCATTGGCCTGGCCTGTTTAGATCAACTTGACACAAGTACAGTGGTGTGAGGAAAGCCTCCTTTGTACTTGTTCTCAGTTAAGATCCTTCTGTTGCTTAGGTGAGAACATCATCCCCGAACCTTGGGTGGGAGGTAGAGAATTCATAAGCCTGAAGCTTAGTAAGAGACTAAGGGTTGTTGGTTTGTTTTTGTTTTTTTGGAGGGGGTCCTATCAAATGCATAAACCTTGGCCTCTTTCTGTTTAAAATGGAAAAAAGTGCACCAACAAGAGCTACCTGCTTCCCCCCTGCCCCACAGCAGGGAAAAGCTGTAGAGTAGGGATGGAAACCTTGTGGCTCCTTATATATTGTTGGACTAGAACTGCTTCGTCTCTGACCATTGCCCAAGCTGCTTGGAGCTGGGAGTCCAGCAGCATCTCATGAGCCACAGGTTACACATGCCTGCTTGTGACCTAAGTATATGACTGTCCCTATTCATTTATCATTTAGTCATGAGTGTGGCTTGGTTACGAAAACATGACCTTTACTTTTCTGATTATGCACCTCCAGCTGGTCGCTCTCTCAGTATATGCCATGCTCTTCTCTATATGTGTTGCAGCTGGTGAATCAGGGCACAAAACATGTTTCATAGGTTTTATCAGTTGATCTTCTGCAGCTACAACCTGTCAAACTTTGCCAAAAGTTGTTCAGGCATACTTAGGTCTAGGTAGTTCCAGAAATACTGCTTGTGTTATGAGGGGCCAGGGCTCGATGCAAGCAGTGGCCCCAGCAGCGTTATTGCTCAGTTTCAGGTGGCTGGCCAGGTTGGCTAATAAAGAGCTCAGGTGGAGAAAGAAAGGGACTCTTGACATCATTGGGGTATATATATATATTTAGTAACAATATATTTCACATTTTATGAGGCGGAGCCCTCTCGCTGAAAGGTATTTATTCTGGAACCGAGGCTGGCTTAAATTAAGAAGTGGAAAATGCCTCTGGGCCATAGAAGGAATGAGCCAGAGGAAGGGGTAAAACGCTATTCTCCCAGAGCCTCACTTCGAACTACATATCCCGCCATGCTTTGCCACTTGGTACGGTCCGTAGAAGGGGGAGAAGAGGAGGCTAGCGTTGGGGCAACCCAGGACGACAGAAAGCCGAGTCCCTGCGTTGCTGCAAGAGGGGTTCGTGGTGGGTTGTTGCGGAGAGGCGAGCCCCTTTCTGAAATTCCCCTGTGGGTCGCTGCTGATCTATGGGGCTTCACCGCCCCCCTTGTGAGTTGGGTGGTTTGTCCTGAGCAGGTCGATCCACTCCCGACCGAAGGGGGAGCAGAGGCTCCTGGCGGGGTGGTGGTGGTGGGGCTGGGAGCCCTGGCCGCCGGGTTGGGGGCGGCAGCTGGACCAGGGAGGGCCGGTGGATGCTGGCGTGTCGGGGGAGCCCAGGAACGAGGTCTCCCCACACACACGGCGGGTGGGTGGTCTCGGGGCTGTTCAGAATCGGGGGTGGGGGGCGCGAGAGAGAAAGGGGGGCGCACAACTGCCTGGCTGCGGGCCCCGCGAGGAGGTGCTGGAGCCGCCGCCGCTGCCGCCGCCTTCAGCTGGCGCGGTGGGTATCGCGAAAGGTGGCAAAGGGGGGGGGGCTGCGGAGCTCGGGTGGGTGTAATGCTGAAATTTGTGGGGTGTGTGCGCGCGCGGTGGGGGATTTTGGTGGTTCCAGGTGTGTGTGTGTGTGTTTATGGGGTGGGGATCTTGGGAGTCTCCGGCGAGGGAGGGGGGTTGTCTTTGTGAGGTGCCTTGGTTACAGTCGTCTCCTGTTGTCATAAAAGAAAAAAGGGAAAAAAGGAACCCTGCAAGGCAGAGGTTGTTTTGTTTTGCTACGTTATGGGCGCTTGCTTCACTGGATTGGATAACGTTGGGGTTTCGGCGGAAGATGTGGGTTCAGGGGCTTGCCTGGGCGTGCAAGGGAGCGCGTGAATCTATGGGAATTTGGGGTGGAATGGAGGGCCTTGGTGGAGAAAGGGGGGGGAGTGGTTCCCTCCGCGGAGGCTGGGATGGTTCTGCTTTGTTAGGTATTGCGTCCCCTGTGGATGCATTCCTAAAACTAGGTTGACGGGACCCATTCTTAAAAACAGCAGAATCGCACTGCATGGCACAATCCTGTCATGGAGTCTCGCGCTGTCTCCCTATCGCACAGGCTCGAGGTTGCTTAAGGCCTGCTTGTGTTTGGGGTTTTTAAAAAATAATTAGATCGCTATATAAACGAAGGAATCAAGTCTTGGGCGCATCATGTAGGACTGGAGGAGGGGAAGCAGCTGCAATGAAAACCCAACACTTTGCTAAGCTGTTGGAAATTTTTCTACACTAGTTTTAAGGTGTCTGGTAATGGGGCTTGGTGGATCAGTGTTTTCTAAAGGCTTGTGGCCTGAAGCTATTAGAATAAGTAGGCGTGGAGGAAGATGCATAGCAAAGTATTATAACTAATTGCCTGAGGACAATACATGAAGGATAAAAATAATTCTAGCACGTCCTTTACAGTGAAAAACAGCCACAAGATTTTGGGCACATCCTAGGAGACTTGTTCTTAGTTATTCTTGCAGACCTCTTCCACCCTATCCTTGAGGCCCAGGGTGGATTACAGTTCATCTTTTTATCTTTTCTCATCACAACAGTCCTGCAGTTAGGTTGTTACTGAAAGATACTGACTTATCCAAGGCCACCCAGTAGGCTTCATGACTGAGCAGGGGCTTGAACTTCCGTCTTTCAGATGCAAATCTTTTGCATGCTATCAGCTGCTAAATTAACCAGGATTAACGTGGGGAAAGAAATTGTTCCTGGCAGAAGCTCTCTAGAACAGAGTCTATGGAGTATTTTAAGTTCAGAGAAAGTTATGAGGAGCCTTCAATGTATGCAGTGTATGCCAGGGGAAATATTAATTGTTGACCAAGTTACTTGTGTAAATTGAAGTGCCAGAATTAAGCTATTTCTCTGTGTGCAGTGTGGTCCTATGCATATTCACTTAATCCTTAGCAAAAATGCATAGGACTGCATCCTTACTAGACTTATGGTCAGAAAGTGCTCTGGCATCTGTAAAAAGCAGCAGAGGTAAAAGTACACCCCGCCTTATCAAGAACATATAGAAAATAATATTGTGAAGTTTTGAAAATGTATTTGTTATTTTGCTTGGAGAGCACCACTGGAGTATATTTTAGATTACTGAGTTCCATAAGCAAAAATGTAGATAGGCCTCAGCTCCTGCCCTGAGGAATCTTGCAGTGTGGAACAGATAATGGGGAGGACAATAACTGATGAAGAGGCAGAGACAGGACTAGAAATGGATGAATGTGTGTGAGCAGCTTGGTAAATCCATGGAGCCTCGCTCTTTCCCCCAATTATTGTAAATTGTGTTTTAATGCTTAATGTATGATTTCAGAAAGGGTAGAGTGGAAGACAAAGGTGCAGCAAGGAGGCCCTAGAGAGGCAATTTTAAAATGAACTTCTATTTTGAGGTAACAAAGAAGGGATGTAATACAGTACTTAGAAAAACTAACATTTTCAAGGAAGCAAGCCACCTGCCTTTTCTCAGCTTGGTTCTTTCTGGACTAAACTAAGAAATGGACTGCCAGTTCCTTTCACCTGAAACAAATACAGCATAGTTTTTGGTGAACTACCCCCCCCCCCCAGCAAGTCCATCTTGTTGAATTAATCCTTTTCACACATCGTCTTTGGAGTCCTCTTTTCTCTTTGGTTTTAGGACTAGTTAGTTCTCCTAGTATTTTTGGGAAAAGTAAGAGTCATTTGTATGTGTTTGTGTGTATGTATAAATATGCATTGAGACTGCAATCCTATACCCACATAACTGAGTGTAAACCCCTTTGAACTAAGTGGGAATTACCACACTGTGAAGATTGTAACCACTTATACTGTAATCCTATACATATCCAGAAGTAATTTGGACAGTTTAATGAGTTACTTCCAGCTAAAGTGTGTGTAGAATTTCAGTCTTCACATACCAAAAAGTGCTATATAAATTGGTATGCATATTAATTTGCCTTTCCTAGATGATGAATGAACATCATAAGTAGCCTTGGTTGTAGTCAACATTAGTCATACTCAAAACTTAAGTGCATTAACTTCAGTGGGTCAGCTCTCTGTAGAACTTATTAGGCTGTAACCTCTTATCTTTGTTGCCTTATTTTACTCTATAGTAGAGCTTCTGGGCTGCTGATCTTGGTTTTGTAAAGCACATTGTGACAGTGTTTAGGAGAGGTATAAGTATTAACTTGCACAGAATAAGAGGTGTTCGGTGAAATACCGTAGTTAATTTGCCTTATCTGTTTCTAGTAAGCTATTTACAATACAGCCATCACTTCAGCATTCTGAGATAAGTTAGCAAAGCTTGAACATTAGGGATTGGTTATCCACATCAAGAGGGAAAGTTCATGCTGGGAGAAAGGTGGCAGTGGCAAATGATCAAGCTTGCTCAGAGTAGATGTTGACTTTTAATGTACTGAGCGCTGATAATGAGAGATTAAATTAGGTAGGCTTTGCATCTGATTTAGATTTTGCTCACAGTACTAAGCTCACAATACTAAGTTCTGTTTCCTTATTATGGAACATTGCATGTTTTACTACAATACATCTAAGAATCCCAGACACTAGCCTTTAAGTATTGTAGATAATTTGAAGAATAAGGTAAGGCATCAATTTATTCAAGGAACCAGAAGGAAAAACTGAGGATGGAGTCCTGACTCTTTGTACTACAGAAATAAGGTATCACATGGTTGGGGCTTTCTGAGAGTGCTGAAATAAAATCAACATGCAGGGGAAAAAAGTTGGACAGCCAGTGTGATGATATAGTCTCCTTGGCTTAAGTTATAGAGTTCGAATTAGATCTGCACACCAAGAAGCTCACTAGCTGACATTTGGTCCATCACTATCTTGCTGCTTTCACCTACCTCACTGGGTAGGTCTGAGGATAAAATAGAGTAGGGGGAACAGACCCTATATGCTGCTTGGTGTTCCTGGTATCAAAAGCAGGGTAAAGATGTAATGTTTTAAAATATGATGCTAGCTATGGAGGCTGGGAGCCTTATGTATAGGCTTAAGCTTGTTTAACTTGTGTCTTGGTCATATACAGTGGTACCTCGGGTTAAGTACTTAATTCGTTCCGGAGGTCCGTTCTTAACCTGAAACTGTTCTTAACCTGAAGCACCGCTTTAGCTAATGGGGCCTCCTGCTGCTGCTGCGCTGCCGGAGCACAATTTCTGTTCTCATCCTGAAGCAAAGTTCTTAACCTGAGGCACTATTTCTGGGTTAGCGGAGTCTGTAACCTGAAGCGTATGTAACCTGAGGTACCACTGTACATATATTGCACACATATGCATGTTTGCTTTTGAACAGCAGCTCTGGAGAGAGTAGGGTGGTTGTATGAGATGATATAATATGCCTTCCTTAATTAATGTCTGTCTTTTGCAGGATTCCTGAGTATGAGAATGGAGTATGGCTAGCATGTATGAAGACAACAACTTAGCAGATGTGATGGTGATGCTTGAATGCGGCTGGACTTGCTGAGGGAGGCGAAAGGGTGGCAGGTGGCAGGAGCTGGAGTCTCTCAAGGGTTCTGGTGCCTGGCCTCTGTAAGAAGCCATGATCACCTTGATAACTGAACAGCTACAGAAACAAAGCCTGGAGGAATTGAAATGCACATCCTTCAGCATCAGCCTGGTAAGATTTGCCCTGCCTTGCCTTGCATCTTTATAATTTTCAAATTGGTTGAAGAAATACTGTTTGCTTTTATCTTGAACCATAGTGCCAGATTCAACTAACTTGTTCTGTTAGTGGAAACCAATTCAAGAACTCCTGCCAGTGCAGTGAGGCTCCCCTTCCCCCATGCTTCTTCCAAATCCACTTTGGAGGTTGGGAGAACCCCCAGAACAGTACATGGGGTGGAAGAGAGGGAAGATTGTTCTGCTGGGCAAGCAAAAATGCTTGCATTGGTGGAATGATTTCCTCAGTGACCTTGAATTCACCCGTTGCCTCATTTTAATAGATGAAAGATTGGGAGAGATTGCTACGCTGTGATTCAAGCTGCTGCTGCTGCCGCCTATGACCAGGAGTCAAATAACTAATTCTGATTGCCTAAGTATACTTTGGGTCTTCCCTGCCCACAACAGTCTTCTGCCCATACTGCATGCCAAACTGCTTTTGAAAGTGAGGGGAGGTTCCAACAGAGCTTTTGATATGGCATGAGGATCTGCTATTCAAAGACTGATTTTATTAAATCTGTTGGGCTAGTACAAGCACTTTGTGACAGTCTAAGCCGGGGTAACCAACATAGTCTCCCCCAGATCTTCTTGAACAACAGCTCCCATTATCCCTGATCATTGACTATGTTGGCAAGGGTGAATGGGAGTTGTAGTCCCAACAGCATTAATTTTGTGGTGAACCAGCAGCCTGCTATATTGTCTTTGGAGAGAGGGGTGTTCTGCAGAGCTAGCACTGCCAGTAGTACATATATTTTGTTTAGTGCCCTTCCGCCAATCACCCTTACAGATTTTCTGTTTCGATCTTTACCCTGGCAAAGCTAAAACCAGCCCTTAGGAACACGACTAACACTTCTACAATAAGTAAGAACACTTATTCTGGGCACCTCTTGTTATGGCCATGGTTGTGACCCATGAAAAGGCTTATATTCCCCACCCCCACTCCCAAGTTTCCTTGCTTCTCCATGGCCAGAGGAGATTTGGAATTTTTAAAAAAGTTCTTAAGCAGATGAACAGATGAGTAAGTATTTATGCAAATATGAATGTGGTGTGTTGGGGTAGACATCTCAAAGTGAGGGTTCTGCTTCTTTCAGCAGTACCCTGGCATTCAAGAACATCATCTTTTCCTTAGCAGTAAAACCGAGTAGACCAAAAGCTGCTTCTATTCTCCTCAAAGTCAATTTCACCATTCCAGTGATGTGTTTGGGGTTAAAGAAAAGGGCTGTGATTTTACACTTATAAGAATTGATAAAAATAAGGATAATTGCTTCCTTCCCCCTCTTACCCATTACTTTTCTACAATTGTTGAGCTACTGTTGCTGAGTTGGAGTTATTGCCATGGTAGTAGCTAGTAGGCAGTCTTTCCTCTCAGAGATTATTATCTATACACTGTTTAAGAAGAGAGATTCCATTCTGCGTTTACATGTAACTAACCTATGGAACTGATCTCCACATGATAATGTCTATGAAGGTAAATTGGTAGGCTGTCATTGGCTAATAGTTTCATTAGGCAGGAGTGAAGTCTCCATATTTATAGAGATGTTACAGTAGAACTGAGTACCTGACACCAAGTACCTTAAGGGGAAGATACTGCTTTTGGCATGATCTGTGTGTTCACCACACCTGGTTTGGGACTTTAAAGGTAATTGCTGGGACTTTAAATTGAGCCCATAAATGCACTATTAATCAGTGTAACTGGTGCAATATAGTTGTTGCTTGCTCTAACCACCTGACCTTCATCAATACTTGGGCAGTTGCATTTTGCACCATTTGAAGTTTCTAAACTGCCTTTAAAGGCAGCCTAATCTAGAGTGTATTACAGTAGTCCAGCGTGCAACCTTCTGAATTTCATACTTCAGGGTGAGTGCAACCCTGTTAAATTCTCCATCCAGATTATTCAGGTTCCTCACTCTCATCTAGCCCACAATTGCCTCCAGATATTGCCTCAGGAGTTTAGTAGTTCTAAACGTGGCTTTTTAAATAGTGGCCTCAACGTGGCCTATTTCAAGGTAGCAGTGACCACAGTATTCCCTGATAAAGGTGTTAATCACCTCCAAGGTTCAGATTGCATAGCCAAGCCTTGGCAAATTTCACTAGCTAAAATGGGCAAGGGTTAAGGGAATATGTGGTGGGCCTCAACTCTCCAAGCAGCTTGTATATGTCTTCAGTTTGGTGCGAGGTGGTGATAATCATAGTATGACTCTCATAGAGGCTCATAGTCTTGGACTCTATCACAGTTATTACACCCAAGTTGGCACAGGTGCAAGTTACTTTATCTACAAAATAAGCAGCAGACTCAGCCTCTAGATCTTGCATCACTGAGCCTCCACTGAGTAGTCTGCTCACCACCAGAAACAGCTGTGGTGGATGATGTTGAACAAATGTAGTGGTGGCAGAGAAGTAAATTAACTCTCACTTGTGTTTGGTCATATTTGTTGAATGTTTTCTGTCACTTACACGCTAATTGTTGGTTCAGATGATTCATCACCATTAGCTTCTTGGAATACCACAGAGCTGACATGCTTCTACGATCAGGTCAAGGATATTTGGGAGCTATCCCATCAATTGCCATTGTTATTTCCTCATTCCAAGCAGATACCAGAGCCTTGGCAGGACCATCAGCTAGACCTTTAAGAAAATCTCCAGTGATGACAGAAAACCATTGAAATTAATCAGGTTCTGTGGAGATTACAGACAGCCTGAATGTCAAATGTGATCATGTAATGAAGCGGCCAACACAACAGAACCAAGAACGACTCCCTCACCTGCAGATGTTTCCCTCTTTGTTTTGTACAGAAGACTAGCTTCCAAATTTGTCATCCTACGTGTGTTGAATCAGCCTCAATTAGGTTTGGTGGGGTTATTAAAGTTCCCCCAAACCATAAACTGTGCAGTTCTCAATGCCACACTGACCACCTCTGTCAGCTCAAACGGGGAGAGTGTCGGGCAGCTAGGTGTCTGGTACACGGACAGAATCCCAGTTTGTTATTGGGTCTTCAGTACCAGATGTAGACATTCAACTCCGGCCAACTTTTCCCATCCCAAATTGAACTTTGTGCTGTACTGCGAAGTTTGGTTGGACATATTTGGGAGATGGTAACTCTCCTCCCCTCACCCGGTCAGATTTTGGTGATGCAAGCCAAGTTGCATATATGGCACGCCTTGTCATTTAGTGTTCAGAAGGTTACTGTTTAATGCTAGAAGAGTAAGAGACTTGGGACCCCATCATGCAATTAGGTGCTACAGTAAAGTGATTTGTGAGTAGTGCACCAAGTTATACCTTTTCCACAGGGGCCTTTACTTCCTGGGTGCTCACCTGGAGTTGTTGAGCAACATGTTTTATCCTCAGAACAATCCTATGAGGTAGGTTAGGCTAAGAGAAAGTGACTGACTCAAGATCACCCAGTGAGCTTCATGACTAAGTGGGGGTTTGAATCCTGGTCTCTCTAGTCCAGTACTCTAACCACTACATCACATTGCCTATCTGGTGTTTTCAAGGGGCTTATCAAAATTACCCACATATTGATTTTTCTTTCTTTGAGACCAAGAGAATTGGTGGGGTTTTTTTGTTTTTTCCATGCTAGTTCCATAATTTCCTGTTTTCAAGGACAAGTGAGGGACAGGTATGGTCTGAAGTTATTGCTACAGATGACTACAGATATGCCTCAGATTAGCATTATATCTGTTGCTGCTCTGAACAGGTAAAGGTCAAAGGCTCGTTTGCCATTGAATGACTGAGGGTAAAGGTCACTCCTTTGGAAGGTGATTTATTTATTTACTTACTGAATTTCTATGCAGCCCTTCATCTGAGGATCACAGTTTGGTTTACAATACATCACAGGGCAGTGATGGAAAGAGTAAGAGTATTGGGGAGGAATCAAGAAGATACTGGTGTATTTCTTTGCTTTATAGAATATTACTCAAGCATTCTGCTACGCTGGGAGCTTGCCTTTTTTTTACTATTACCTCTAAATCCCATATTATTTTCTTCTTTTTAGCATGTTACTGTTTGAGGACTGTGGAATACCACTCACAAGGGAAACTGACCCACCAGTTTCTCGCTCATGTGCATGTGTTCTATCGTCCTTGTTTTCCAATCACCCCAGCCCTTATTAAATGTAAAGCGTTTCCCAGTGCACTTTCTCCATATTTTTTCTTAATGGGGATAAGATAAACTGTACCAAGGGATCCTCTCTTTAACCTATCCCTATCTAAGGAGAGTTGGCCTGACTTGGAAAATGAAAGGGAATGTGCTGCTGTAGCAAAAATTAATTAAAAAGAGAATGACATGGTGGAATATGAAGCATGTGTTTCCTGATTTATCTTGGATCTGGAGCCCATGGAAATAAGTTTTTTTGCTTCAAAATGAGTTAAAGATGTACTAATCTGTTGCCTAGAAAGATTGCTCAGAAGAAAAGTTAAAACTGCACAAAGTTGCTGCGGTTGCAACCAGTTACAGAACTTGACTTTTCTGCAACATTGAGGTGTGGACTTCTAAGAATGGGATGTGTGGCCTAATGAAGCTTTTGCAGGGGAAGGCACAGTCCAAAAGCATAATGATGTTTGTGTAGAGGAAGCTCTGTAGCAGAGAGTCAATGGTTTGGAGAACAAAGGGACTTCAGCCTTTCAAGTTTTAAACATGGATAATGTGCAGAGGCATTTTACTCTATTGACATTTGGAAACAACCCATGGAGGCAAAGATGACAAGAATTAATCCTGCCGTAACTCTTTCCTGTGGTGTTTTGTTAGGTATTTTTAATGGGTTATTGTCAAGCAAGAGATTTGGGAAGATTGCTCATTGCTTTAGGTAGAAGTGGTGCATCTTAATTTATGGTGGCCTGTGGTATTTAGTGTCTGGTTCTCCTTAGATTAAGGGAGCTGACATACAGACAAATAAATACTACATTGTCCTTGTCTCAGAGGGCTTCCAGTCACCAAAGAACAGTGAAATGATGGAATGAAAGAGGAAAATAGTGGTAAGTGCAAATTTAGATTATTTCTGTGGCCATAATCTTAAACATTAATTTCTTGGTGTGTCTTCTCACATTCTTTCTAATAAGAGTGAAGTATCCTCGGGCTTTTGATACTGAATAGTTTAGGCATGGTATAAAGGGAGCAGTTTAAATCTGTGAAGAACAGGCATAAGCAAACTCCAGCCTTCCAGATGTTTGGGACTACAATTCCCATCATCCCTAGCTAACAGGACCAGTGGTCAGGGATGATGGGAATTGTAGTCCCAAACATCTGGAGGGCCGGAGTTTGCCTATGCCTGGTGTAGAACCTCTGTAGCATAGTAGCTTGTGGATGACTGTAAGAGCAGCACCATGGAAAGGACTGGTAGTTAAGCTTGAGCAAATCAGAGTTTCCATTTGGTTATTTTGCCCCTCTGAACTTTGATTTCAACATTCAGATTAAAGCAAGTTTTGGAAGCTTTCCTTGGGGAAAGCTTGAAGATTTGCTACTAATAATGGCTGGGGGGGGGGTCATAGGATCCAAGGAATTCAGATAGGTCCAGGAGTGGGAGACCTGTGGTCCTCCAGATGTTGCTGGACTCCACCTTGTATCAACCCTAGCCAGTATGAGTAATGGTGGGAAGTGAATGGCATCATGGTCCACCAATATCTGAAGAGCCACAGGTTCTCCAATCCTGAGATACAGCAAGATATCTGAATGTTGGTAGAATCCCACAGCTGGTACCACTCTTCTGTTGTAGGCCACATGTTGGGAATTAGAGATCCAGAGGTGCTTATGAGATGCTGGTCCTTGCTGTGATGTGGTGACTCCTTGTGTTTCCTCCCTAGCCTTTGCCTGATCATGCTGATGTGGCCAGCTGTGGCAGCCCCTTCCAGATAGCGCCTGGTAAGAGCGTCTGGCTGGACTTCCACCTTTTGTGCCTACATCCATTTCTCTTTTGTCTGTCCTTTTTATCGTCTGATGTCCTTTATATGCAGCTCACAGTTAATAAGATTAGCTTGCTTTCCAGGTCTCCTAGAGCTCATGTATTTTGTGATACCATCTCCACTTTTAAGTGAAAGCTTGGTGCAAATAAAGGGCCAGCTGTGGTTTAGTTTTAATAACAAGAATTCAACAGAGTTAAATGCAGGAGGATATCCCAATAAATAACAGGAATGGCTGTTTTCAGTAAAGAAATGTCATTATGCTTCTGACGAATGGAAGGAAAGATCCAATGAAGAAGTGGTGTTCTATTTAGTAGTTTTAAAAATTAATCCTGCTAATACTCCCATTTCATTTTTCTGTCTTTGAACTGGCAACCATCACCATTTTATCTAAGATGTTGCAAACCACTAAGATTCTTTTATCTAAGATATAAATTGTCAAAACAATCAAATCTAATACAGCTTAATATTGCTATATGCATACTGGGTGCTGCCTGTGTTAAAAAGTTATTTATTTACTTATTTTAAAATGTATATACCGCTTGATCAAAGCAGTTTACGTATGTGGCCAAGTACCACCACTGGTCATGTAAACACTTCAGGATATATAGCGCTAATAATTAACTCTTGATACAAACTACGTTGTAGCATAGTTACATTGGCAGTATATGTATATACTGATAAATACTCTGATAAATAACTTGATTTTGGCACTTGAATTATAGATGTGCTTGATTATGCATGGAGGAAGAATGGATGCCAGGTGGATAAGAGAATAAAACCCATAGTCTTAATTTAAAAAAACAAACTAGCTGCTGTCTTCATCAGTTCTGTTGACTCTTACTGCAATTGGCCCATATAGAATTTTGGTACGTAATTAATCTCAGCTGTATGTCATAAAACTGTAAGCTATCAAAGTGTATTCCTGGATCCTTTGTAGCTCTTAAAATAAAGAACTGTGTTTCCGATCAATGTAGGAAACCTACATTGTACAATCAGTGTACTGAGCCTTAAGTAGAATAGCTTCTAGTCACTTATTTTAAAATAGCATTTTTGTTTGCAGCACGTTTTCTTTGCAAGGCACATTAAAGAAAGTGTGTGTTCCCTGCCAAAGTGAGTCATTCCTGTGACTGTTCTGGTCACTTGTACTAGAACCATATTGTACAGCAATCTGACTGTGACTCCTTTGTAGGCTTAGAATTAGAATATTTTCCACATAATAATGACTTTGTGGGTGTTGGTGGCGAGTGTGTTTTCTTGGTTCAGCTATAGCATGATGGGCCATTTTATTTATCTGATTTATTTATTACAGAAGTTCCCACCTTATCCTTTAAGCAAGTTTCCAGACTGGCTTACAAAACAAAGTACCTTGGCTTTAAACTTGTTAGCTTATACCTGCTTGATACGGGATAATAATAGGCTGTCAGGATTTTCAGCTGGATAACCTGAATTAAAAGAGCTTTATCTTCTGCATAATAATTGCTCTAATGGAATGTCTGAAGAAGGCCATTTCAGAGGCTACAGACTTCTAACATATGTATCGTGGCATAAGTCTACTTCAGCTGCATCAAGTGGAGGATGAAGATTTAAATACACATGCACACACACACACAGTGGCGTAGCGTGGGGGGTGTAGGGGGGGCCGGCCGCACCGGGCGCAACATCTGGGGGTTAGGGTTAGGGGGCGCAAATTACTTGCCTTGCCCCGGGTGCTGACAACCCACGCTACGCCACTGCACACACACACAGGGAGATCTGCCTCAATGAGGTACAATTGGTTTCAATAAAAGGTACTGCTCACCTGTAGATATTGGGAGTCCTAATGGACCAGCATGGTTATCTTTGCTTTTTGTTCTACACAATATATTGGCACGCTGTATCCTAAAACTTGATGCCATGATAAATTTGTTGGTATTTAAGATTCAACAGGACTCCATATTGCTGCTACAGACTAGTATGGTTATGCTTTTGGAGCTCAGATTGGCTATGTGAGTGACTTCGTGTAGGATTTACAGAATATTTAAACTTCTTTCTGTCTTGTTGGAAAGCATGGTTTGTGTTTCTCAAGGTTCCTGTCGTGTCTGCTCCTTTCTCTTCTTTGTGCAGCATGTTTGGTTCTAGCTTTTGCATATTAGTCCTCTTATTTCAGTTTGCAATCAGTATTATTTTGAATGAAATGAGCCATATTAGCTCCTTGTTGTTTAAAAAAACACCACCTTCTATATATAGGCAACTTAGGGTTTCTTCTCTGGATTTACTTCAAGACAGCTTGGATTTTGACTTGGAGGCTAACTCATTTGATTATTGTTGCTACCAGCTTTGACCACCTCTAAGAGACAAATGAGTCTCATAAGAACGATGTCATTAAATGAACACAGCCTTTCTGGAGGGACTGCAGTTGTGAAACACAGGACTGCTTCTTGCTTTTCTTAAGGCGTGACTAAGAAGGGAAGTGGCTGGAAGATCTTACTATGTGCTGATGTTGGAGAGAGAAATATTCCAGCTATTTTATTATATGTGTGTTAAATATGAATGGGGGTGGGGCTGTGGACATGAAAAGCACCCCAAATTCATCAGTTGTACTAAACATGGAAGAACTTGGAAAAAAGCAGGAATTGTTTTCTCCAACTGTTCTTCAGTTTGAATTAAATTCCTTTAATTGGTTCCCACAGTTGAACTGCCCCAACTGTAGTAATCAAACAATGAATAAATTGTAGATTCTTTTAAGGTAGGATATCTTAATCTGGCTCCCCGCCAACATCTTGCTCCAGCTGTAACAGGGGTGTAAGTATTAAATAAAATTTATGTTGTCCCTCACTCGTTTTACTCACTTTCTCTGATCCACAAGTGCCTCCTATCTAACACTGAAAGAAGAGAATTGCTTCTTCAATGTGAAGACCTCATGCATCACAGGAGAAGGGGAACCAGGGGCATCATAATCAGGGAACTAAGGGGAGCAAATGGGGAATGTTTTCCTGGAGAACATTTCCCTATCTTGTTGTCATTGTGGGTTCCTTCTTAATTGAGAGTGATGCACAACAAAGATGATCAGACCAGATCTTAAATCTTAATCAGGTATAGTAGAATAGTTAGGGCCGTTTCTGATCTAACAATTGCTTGGAATGGTTGTTTGTTCTACAACTGTTGTTGTAGAAGGTTCTGAAACTTTGTATGTGTGATGGTGCTAATAAAAAGTAAAAATAAGGCAACAAAGGGTGCTGATTGCTCACATATCAAATGATAAATTGGCTATCTGGCTTGTGGCGCTAATTAGAGCCTTCATCTTTAAAATTCTGTCTTGTGATATTTCTTGCAGAGGGAACTTCATGGAGGGACCTAGCTCCCTGTCCAAAGATCCATCTTCAGGACAGCACAGGTCTTTACCAACACTCCAGCTTGAGCCTTCCCCTGCCCCCCTGCAGCTCAGACAACCGTCCTCAGAACAGCCTCACATCCCAAACACTGGCCACCAACTCAGTAGTCTCAGAAAAGGCTTCTGTGCCCCCCACCAAAAGACACTGCCGTTCACTATCAGTGCCTGAAGACCTCTCCCGTTGGCAGGCTGTCTGGAGGCCCCTGGGCTCCAAAGTCTGGACGCACGTCAAACGCCGGGACAACAGTGGAGGGGACACTTTGGCAGTACAAGCCCAGAACCTGGCCCAGGGAGCCAACAGACCTTGCTTCAACCCTGCCCCCAGTGCCTCTCACCAGTGTGTTCAAGATGGTGCTGGTGGTAGCGGCGGCGGCGGCAGGAGCCCCCCTTTCTTCAGCCTGGCCCTATCCCGAGAATCGCCAGCAAGCACATCATGGGAGACTGGAGAGACTTTGCAGCCCTACCCTCTGCAACGACGTTTCTCCCTGTCACCTGTCAGATTCCTTCCCTCCCCGCGAAGCTCCACCACCTCCACTCCAGAGTTGCTTCGACACCAGCACAGCCTCCCTCGCAGCCGCTCACAACCATGTGACTTGGACACCAGGAAATCTGGTCTCAAGCGGCGCCACGATGAGGATGTGAGGTGGCATAGGCCCTCGCTTGATTTCTACAAGATGAACCAGGTAGGGAAGGAAGCAAGCAAGCAAGCACTGTTCCCATCTGAGTGCCTTAAGGATACATATGAAAGGGAAAATGTCGGGGTGCAGTGAGATTAAAAGGGTAATCTACTGAAGTAAAGAACAGAATTTGGCTATGTCACAAAAAAATAGCACACACACAGAGCTTCTCTTGCCTATGTCCTTAACCTCTGACAACAATTTGCTGTTATGAGATAGTTGAGATTAGATTACAAGCACTGGGCAAGGGGGAGAGCTGGGAGCCACACCAAGATTTCTCTGACTGATGCCAACGAAACATGTTACTCCGTGTTTATTTATTGGTAATGTTGGGTCGGGTGCTGCACAAAATACAGAAGTGATAATAGACCCTGCTCCATGGGCTCCTCCATTTACATTACCGGTTTCCAGCTGAAACTACTGTTGTTTTATGTCCCAATTGCTACAGAGTTCACATTTGACCAGCAGTAATTGGTTGTTCAATTATTGCTGGAAGATCCAGCAACCATTCCATGTTTTTTTCAGATTCGAAACATAGAGTTAGGGCAGAAATGTTTGGGTAGAGCACCCATTCCTATTACAGCATCCTCCATACGCAGTGTGGGGTATTCAGTTATGGCCACTGCTTTCCCACTCCCTCTGCCATGGGCAAAGCAAATATGAACACTGGTAGCTTAATTACTGTATTATTAAAGTACAGTTTAAACACCATTCAGGACTTTAGCCCCATTAACTTCAACAGTAGTCTACTATGGTCTGAGAAGACATAGATTAAATTAATAATTATATTGTGGGGAAAGTAAGGTGGCTACCAGAAATACATATGTGAAGCTAGTGCTTCAGGAAGGCTTTGTTAGAATAGCATTGCCTGTCTCACACTCATCAGCTTAGGTCAGCAATGAGAGCAGTTAGTTTTTGAAAATTCAAGTCTGTGTCCCATCTGCTCAGATCCATAGCCAACGGTGAGCCTTCAGAAGCTCGCGTCATCTTCAGTTTATTATTTGTTTATGACAATTATTTATGTCCTGCCTTTCAGGATACAAATAACTTCCAAGGCAGCTTTCACAAGAAACATTAAACTACATTAAAAAAAAAAATACAGTGCTAACAACATAAGGATCCTTTGCATGTGGTAGTAGATGGCACTGCAGGTGGGGCCCTGCATTGTGCAGCCTGGAACAGGCTTTGAGGTGGCTTTTCATGCCTTATCTGGAATCTGGCCCACAGGTAGATGACCCAGAGCAGGGAAGGGGAAGTGGTGTTTTTCTTTGGCAAGTTATGACTTAAAAGAGCTCTAGTGCAAGTGATTATTAATATGGTTATAAATTGTCAGTATTAGAATAATGTAATCTAAGTATGGAAGGTGCATTGGTATATAAAAACTTGTTTTGTTACATTTGACAGAAACCATTTGCAGGAGGCGTCTGTCAGCTGGACAAATCTGAAGAAGGTGGCTATTCATCATGGCTCTTGGGCTGCAGCCCACAAGCACCTTCAGCTCCATGTAGTCCCCTCAGCAACTGTGTCCAGGTTCTTAGTGAAAGTGAGGAAGAGGAGGAGGAAGAGGAAGCAGCAGTACAAGCGGCACGGCGACTAAATTGGAATTTAGCAAGCAAAAGGACACTCTTCCAACCAGACTTTAGCGATCTGGATCTAACTTTGATTGAGGAGAACTAGGGGTTGGATGTCTCCACAAGAAACTGACTCTGGGATCAGCCACAAAGGGAGGCTGCACTCCTTGATGAGGGAAGTGGGGTGGGTGCAGAGGGGAAAGTGGCGGTGGGACTGGTGGGGTTTTGTCTGCTTGTTTCTTTTTTATTAAAAAAAAAGGAAAAATGGCTGTATAGATGCTGTATGTCTCTGGGATGGAGTGATGGAGTCCTGCCAGAGGGGTGTGTCCATATGTGGGAAAAACAGAGAACTTTGCCAATAATCCTCCCTATTCCCATATCAGTTTTTTAGCAAGCCCCTTGGGCACCCACGTTTCAAAATGGACTCCATTACCCCAAAGGGAGATAATAACATTAGTCTCTAATACCGTAAAACTATTGGGGGGGGGGGTGAATTCTACTGTGACCTCATTCCAGTGAAATTATTCCACAAATTTGGTGGGGAAAATAGGAATCTCTATAAAAATGCTGGACGAAACAAGCAGTTGGAAATTAAATTTTGTTGCAGTGCTTTGTAATACTCATTCCCTCCACCCCCACTGGTAGTACCTACTTCCTTTCCGGTGGTAAGTATAGAACTCGAGGATTTTGCTGCTGTCCTCCTTCCCCATATCAGCCAATCCAAAAGTCAAGACTTCAGTTTAATTTTAGTTTCGTTTCTTTATGAATATTAACAAGGAAATAATAATAATAATAATAATAATAATAATAATAATAATAATATTTTATTTATACCCCACCCATCTGGCTGGCTTTCCCTAGCCACTCTGGGTGGCTTCCAACAGAACACCAAAAACAGAATAAAACTTCAAACATTAAAAACTTCCCTAAACAGGGCTGCCTTCAGATGTCTTCTAAAAGTCAGATAGTTGTTTATTTCCTTGACATTGGATGGGAGGGGGTTCCACAGGGCAGGTGCCACTACCAAGAAGGCCCTCTGTCTGTTTTCCTGTAACCTCACTTCTCGCAGTAAGGGAACTGCCAGAAGGCCTTTGGAGCTGAACCTCAGTGTCTGGGCTGATCAATGGGGGTGGAGATGCTCCTTCAGGTATACTGGGCCGAGGCCATTTAGGGCTTGAAAGGTCAGCACCAACACTTTGAGTTGTGCTTGGAAGCGTACTGGGAGCCAATGTAGGTCTTTCAGGACCGGTGTAATATGGTCTCGGCAGCCACTCCCAGTCACCAGTCTAGCTGTCACATTCTGGATTAGTTGTAGTTTCCAGGTCACTTTCAAAGGTAGCCCCATGTAGAGCACATTGCAGTAATCCAAGTGGGAGATAACTAGAGCATGCACCACTCTGGTGAGACAGTCTGTATCTTGGACTTGTCTCAATTCAAGTAATGCTATCCTTCTAGCAGAATCAAAATTTCTTACACTGTAAAGATTGTATGTTTTGCCTGACTGTTGGAAAAGCAGACCATATGTGAGTAACTGGAAAACATGCCTAAAGGGGAAGTGTATAGAGAAAAGGGAACTATTGAACAGCTGAGACTGGATTCATGTTTTATAGTGAAGGGAAGGTTTTGCACACAGACGCATACACTTTTTATGTAAGTTATTTTGAGAGACCGCAAAAAGCGAGACTAATATTTTTTAAAAACAGCTTTTGGACAGGGGCAGAACTAGGCTTTATTTCACCTGGGTCAAAGACCCAGTTTGGTGCCCCCCCCCCGCACATGTGTGTGTGCAAACTGGCACCCCTTTGGAGGCTTCATTGGGACAAAAAAGATTTTATTAGAATATATGGAGCTGAGCTTCAGGATGGGAAACCTAAGGCTACATAAGCAGAATTTCAACAAAATGCCCACTGCCATAGCTTTATTGCGCTAGGACTGTTTTTGTTTGAATTCCTGTATGGTACCCTTCATGAGCACTGGTGACCTGGCTAATGTTTTCATGCTACATATACCGTAGCTTGAAGAAAGGCGGGAAGTGAACACACCTAATAATAAACTGCTATAGCTGTGGTGGTTCTTTATAGCTAAAACAAACCCAGCGGGAGCTTTTCTCATTGCTGCACCTCAGGAATTTCCGCTTTGCACAAGGCTCCTAAAGAGGGTGAGGGAAACACATCCTTGTATCACTGCTTCAAAGTACATACTGCCGCGACCAGAACCTTTAACCACGCCTCGCTTTTACTTTTAATTTTTTCTGCCTCGCCGCCCCTGAATCTCTGCTGCTCCAGCCTCGCGCCTGGCTCGACAGGACTGTGGCCGGCGCCGCGGGAGAGCCCAGAGGACCGGAAGTGATCATTGGTTTCCGGGGGCCGCTCTGGGCGCGCTACTCTATGGCTGCGCAGCCCGTTGCGCTCCGGCTTCGACGGGGATCTTGCCCTTCGCGGACCCAGCCGAGGCCTTCCGCTTCCCTTTTGGAGGCCGGTGGCGAGCGACGTGCGGTGGGGGGAGGGCCGCGGCAGGCGAGAGGCAGGAGGACGGCGCCCGGAGCGCATCCGCTGAGCTGGCCTGGCCTTTCCTCCCCGCCCTTTTCTCCTCCGGCTGTAGGCGGGCTGCTCGCCGCCGCCTCTGCGAGTCTTTGGGCGGGGGCGAGGCCGCCGCCGCCTCCGGTCCCCGAACTTGCGCCTCCCTAGCGCCCGCCTCTCCCGGGCTCAGAGTCGCGCGGGCCTGTCTCGGTGTGTCCCATGGACAGGCACAAAGTGAAGCGCCAGAGGCTCGACCGCATTTGCGAAGGTAACGCCCTGGGCGGAGGGCGGGAGGCGTTCGCTGGGCGGCGGCGGGGAAGGGGAAGGGGCCTGGCCCCGGAGCGAGCGAGCGAGCGCCTTCCTTTCTGCCAAGCGGCGGAGGATCTCGTCGCCCTTCCGCCGCAGTGACAGGCGACTTCAGGCGGAGGGTTTATTCGCGCTCCCCACGCCCCTTTCTATTATTGGGGTCTTGGACGTGGGGGCCCTTTCGCCATTCAAAGCTTAGATCCTGGTAGCCTTGCCAGATCCGTCCAGATACTGAAGGTGTACACGAGCAGGATTAGCCCAAGTGCAAATGCCTCCCTGCACTTTAGGGAGCCATGAGCAAGGCAGCCACATCCCGTTTCCGGTCTTGCTACACATTCAGGTGGCTACACATGCTCCCGCCTCAATAAATCTTAACGGTGTTCTGATCAGGTAGCCCAACAGTATTATCCCTGTATTGTAGATGGGAGAAAGAGCCAAGGCCAAGAGAACGGGGGCTTTCCTTTTCTGGTCATGAACTCTTAACAAGTTCGGGACCAGAAACCGAAAGGGCTCTTAATAAAGTACTGCTGTTTTTATTATCTGCATTTTAATAGATTTGTTTCTTATAATGTTTTAATCCTATTAGAGCTTAATTGCTTTTTAACAATTGCCCTTTATATGTTTTTAGCATTTTATAGTTTATCTGTGTTAATTTACATAAGCCACTTTGAGTTCCTGTCTGGGAAAAAGATGGGATACTACTACCACTACTACTAATAGCAGTTCTACTCCCATGGTGTGCTAGACTAGGAGTAAAGTGGATTCAAATTTGTGGGAGAAATGGAACTAAAAGGTGACATAGTGTATCTTGAATTTTCAGACAAAGTAATTCCATAAAAGCAGGGTGTGGAAACAGCTGTCTAATGTTTCAAAGTGGAGCAGAAGAGATTGACAGCTTTTATCTTGGCAGAATCTGGCAAAAGCTGTGCTGTGGTGGTAGGTCATTAGAAGCTCTGGCAGCTGGGTTGTGCCTGATGGGAGAGTCCAAGTAAACCTCTCCCAAGTAAACCATTGATGCTTCTGACAGGTGCTTCCTGAGTCTTCTCGCATTGTGTGGGAAATTGGGGGGCTAGTCTAACTGAAAAGTACAGAACATTGTATTGGAGCTGGATTAGGTTAGTTGAAGTGAAGTCTCATTTATTCAATGGGACTTAAGTTAGACTAAGTCTGGAATCACTCTATTATTCACAGCCCCCTTTTAAGACTCTTTGTCATTGCCCCTTTTTTCTTAATTGGAGTACTGTTAATGTGGTCTCTGGAGCCACCGCCCACTTCTCCAGACTTCCATATAAATTTTCAGCTTGTCTGCTTGCCAAAGTAACCCAGTCTGATCTAAGTAGTGAGGCTGGAAGGTATTGTTCTTTCCCTGAGTCAAGAGGCCATCTGCAAGACTGTTCTAAAGTTAGAAAAGAGAGTAAGGAACTTCATCTGTTCCGCAGCAGATGTGTGGTTACTTGAAAGTAAAGAGAATTGCGAAGAAACGGGTTGTGTTGCTGGCTCAGCTGTTATTTGACATTATGCTTTCTTAATTCTTATGCAGTGGTTGCCTCATCTTGTGACTAATTCCTTTAATTGCCTGACAATGGTTTCTTATCAGGATGCTTTAATGTGTGAGCTGGACCATTCTTAGGTGACACTATGTGTATAATGCCCCGTGGCCTAACACTATTGCACAAATAATCCTGTATCTGTGTAGCATCCTAAAGAGACATGGGAAGATGCTGATGCAAGTGCAAATGTCTCCTTTGTTCCTCCTTTCCTGATTATATTGTGATTTATCAAAGCAGCGTGCTTAGCTCTTCACTCACTCCTTCATTATCTTAGATTTTTACTGACTAGACTCAGGCATCAACTGTGCTGTCTCCATACTCTGGACACACACATATACACACAATGTCTTAACTAGGGAGGGTGGGTCCAGTTTTTCAAAAGGTTTTTGGATTCACCCTCACAACATATTGTCAGTTCCCTTCCCTTCAACTAGTTGCATGCATGGTTGAAGTTTGATCTCGGTTAGATAAACTGTCCTTGCTTTGTACTGCAGCATGATTCTGTGCATGGTGTTTGGCAATGTCTCTCTATTGAATTTACTCCTTTGTAAGGCTTGATTATCATTATCCCTGTGAATAGCAAGATGAGCCTGAGGCTTCCTCTGTTCACCAGAACAAGCAGATACACTTTTCTATCTCTGGACTGGAAGCTTAGCCACAGCTTGTGCCATCCTAACAGACAAACTGTGGTTAACTATGGTTTGTTTCAGACTAAACTTTGAAACCATGGTTTTAGGTTTGCATGTTTCAAACAACTGCATGCTTCCTGAAATGAGCACAAAATACAAAGCGTCATTTTTGTGGGTTGTCATCACTTTGTATAGGTTACCTAGAGACACTGCTTCTGTTCAAGAAAAGCTGTTTGCCTTTTCTCCACACTCCTCTCAGATTGCTTTTAGACCTATTTCCTTCAAAGTAACTTGTGAAAAATAGAGCTCTTCTAATTTTATTTTTTCTACAGATAACTCCCAAATTGCATACTTTTGTGAACGAGTTATCAGTATCTATTATATGATAATTGACTTTATAAAAGGTCTGTGAATAGCCAAACTTCAGAACTGGTTACATAGTTTGCAAGTATCTCCGGGCACTGTCGCATGCATCATGAATTCAGGCAATGTTTGCATGCTGGTATGACACAAGTGATTCATGGGAGCCTTTGCATGTAAGAAAAGCAACACAGAAAGCTGCCTGTGCCAGATCAGACCACTGGCATACTAGCTTTATAATGTCTACAGTGGTTGGCAGCAGCTCTCTAGGGTTTTAGACAGGTGTGTTTTTCAGTTCTGGAAATATTTGGGATTGAGTCTGTGACCTTCTGCATGCAAAGCATGTGCTTTAGCACTGAGCTATGACTCTTCTCTGATTCCTCCCAACCCCTACATTTGTTTTCACTACGAATTCTTGGTGATGTTTGCTTAGGACTGACATAAGAATCTTGTCATGCTCACATTTGCAGCTCATTAAGATGCTTTTTCCCTGTAGGTATAAGGCCTCCTATTGGTAATGGCCCAATGCAAGGCCGTCCGCTGGTTGCCCTCCTGGATGGCAGAGATTGCACTGTAGAGATGCCCATCCTGAAGGATGTTGCCACAGTGGCTTTCTGTGATGCACAGTCAACTCAGGAAATCCATGAAAAGGTAAACACACTTAAACAAGAATATCTTTCATTTTGTTATTGCTTTGATAACTAGCTACTATTTGTAGTTGCTTCCAACCCCCTCCCCCCAAATTCTGCAGAAGCCCAATGAATTTGCAAAGAATTTAGCAGAGAATTTGTGGGAGGGTGATGCATTTTCTTAGACTTCACACTGAGCTTGTGCAGAAGCCACACTCTATGGCTTGCTGTTTCTGTCTACTGCAGAACGCCATGGGGGAGGGAGAGAAACAACTCCTCCCTTGAATTCACTGTGAGAACTCAAGACAAATTGAGGGAAAGTGAGTGGTTTCTCTTCTTCTGTAAAAGCACTGAGATGCTGCTTGTGCCTTCTGCAAAAACCACTGCTTGACAGAACTTAGGGGAAAGGATCCTTATGCTGGGTGTGTGGGGTGGGGCAGGGAGGGGCATTGCTGCTGGCAATCAAGTAAGTGGGTTTGCAGAATCCTGATCTGACTAGTTCTAATGCTGTGGAGCAAGCATTATTCTGTTGTTCTGTCTTCCCATAGGTGCTAAATGAAGCTGTTGGGGCTCTGATGTACCACACCATTACCTTGTCGCGCCAGGACCTGGAGAAGTTCAAAGCTCTCCGGGTCATTGTGCGAATTGGCAGTGGCTATGACAATGTGGATATCAAGTCAGCTGCAGAATTAGGTATGGTGATCCCAGTGCAATATTTTCTAAAAAATAAATGAATACATAGAGTGAAAACATGTGCACTGCCTCTTTGTGTTCAGTTTACTGGGTCTAAATTGGGGGCTAGCCAAAATCAAAACTCCTAAGAAGCGATGAAGTGCTCACTATTGCAGAGAGAGAGAAATTTGCAAAGCGTGCCACTGTTTTATTTTAATACAATTGCTCTCCCCTATAAGTTAGGCCTATTATGGATTAGAACTATTTTAGGAATTTTATAAAATGTAAGCTGTTAAATAGCTACTTGTTGCATGTAGTGGCAGACCTATGAGGACATGCACTAACAACATAGTACTTGTGTTTGCTTTGAGCAACAGTTTTTGCAGGCTGCTAATGTTCTGGTTGCTATGTTGGCTAAGGCTGTAATTTTCTAATTTTCTGGTCCTAAGCCGATTTATGTGGAGATAATTTACTTATTTCAGTGGGCCTTTTTTTCACACAAGGATGCTTTGGTTCAAGATGTAAACCATTTTAATAAGTAAACTTCTTCTTTCTTTGGCAATCACTCGTAGCCAAGTAAGATTGTCTTCCATGAACACGGTCTTAACAGTGAGTCCATAAGTGACTGTGGAGGCCAATTCTGGATCCACACATCCTTTCACAGTGAGGACATAGGTTTCTGGATGGGAGTTGATCACGGTGAGAGTTTGCCAAATGTGCCTTCCTCTTAGCACGTTTATCCCTTTCGTCCTGAGTTCAAGCGTCTTCAAAGTCCATGACACCTAATTACCGTATTTTTCGCCCTATAGGACGCACCGTCCCATAAGGCGCACCTAGTTTTTTGGGGGGGAAATAAAGGGATTTTTTTTTTATTTCCCCCCCCCCAGGTGCTGGGCTGGGGCGGGGGAAGCCCGAGCTTCCCCTGACCCCAGCCCCCAGAACAAGCAACTCTCCGCAAGCCGTGGGAGCCCGGCGCCGGGCTCCCGCGCCTTGCGGAGAGCCGCGCAAAGTCTGGCCGCGCTGAGCTCAGCGCGCCCAGCCTTCAGCATGCAGGCAACTCTCCGCAAGCCGCGGGAGCCCAGCGCTGGGCTCCCGCGCCTTGCGGAGATCTGCGCGAAGCCTGGAGAGCTAGAGGGGTCGGTGCACACTGACCCCTCTCACTCTCCAGGCTTCAGCGAATGCCTGCATTCGCCCCATAGGACGCACACACATTTCTCCTTCCTTTTTGGAGGGGAAAAAGTGCATCCTATGGGGCAAAAAATACGGTACTAATTAAGCAAACACAATACAAAAGTATAGCATAGTTTGCAAATTAAACTCTAGGTATACGTCTAGCTTAAAAGCAGCAAGTGTTCTGCTACTGATCTCAACACCTGTGTGAGAGCCATCTAATGGAGTTCCTATAGATTCTGCAGTCCTAGCCTTAAATTATTGTCATACTGAATAACCTAAATTCTCTTGAGTTTTGGTGGTGGTCTGCCTGTATAGTCTTCTTGAAGTGTTGAAATTTAATGCCAAACTGAGTATTGTTGCGCTTTTAGACTATAGCATCTCCTGAGCTATGATTTCCACAAGGACAAGTATTTTCAAGAAAAAAATTACCGTATTTTTCCATCTATAAGACTCCCCCATGTATAAGATGGCCCCTATTTTGGGGGACTCCAGTTTAAGAAAATGGGGGGTATCTGTGTATAAGACGCCCCCAAATTTTTGAGATTATTTTTTAGGAAAAAAACCTAGTCTTATACACGGAAAAATGTGGTATATAATCGAGTCCCTTGTGGATAGATCATAGCTAAATAGTAAGTGACATGTGTTGTGAATAGGAGGTTCTCTCAGGTTTAGTCACTGATATATACCGTTTAATATCTTTTAGGTAGCAGGGCTGGGGAGAACCTCTGCCTCAGAAGTTGGACAGCTAATATCAGATAAAAACAGGACTAAATTAGATAGCCTACTTACCTGATTTGGTGCAATGCAGCTTCTTCTCTCCTTCATCCAACTGCCTGATTGTGACAGAGAGTTTTCCTGTCCCCAAAATTATCATGGTGTTGATAGTGGGAACAGGATTTTGCTGTATGTTAAAATGTTGGACAATGTGCTCGTGTCAGTATCAAATATATTGCCTTGTTTGTAGCTCTGGAGTGTTGGGGAATCCCTTCTTTTCTTCATCTGTATTGAGATTGTTTGGGAATTGTACTAGCCTCTTCTTCCTATTTCCTCAGGCATTGCAGTGTGCAACGTCCCTTCTTCTTCTGTGGAAGAGACAGCTGATTCTACCCTTTGCCACATTCTAAACCTTTATCGTCGGGTTACTTGGCTCCACCAGGCCATGCGAGAAGGAAACAGAGCCTCAAGTATGGAGCAGATCAGAGAGGTGGCTGGAGGTGCTGTGCGTATCCGTGGGGAGACATTGGGCATCATTGGCCTTGGTAAGAAATTGGCTGCTCCTAGAGATACAGACATAGTTTAGACCAAACTGTTCAGAGTTATATGATCAGACATTCATTTATTCATTTGTATACTGCCTTTCCACAAAAAATAATGCTCCAAATGGCTTGCAACAAGGAAAACAGGAATGCATTTCAAAAGCAAAGAGTGCAAAAACTATTTCATAATAACATAGCAAAACAATACAGTAGCAAATATAATAATCTGATCATCATCATCTTTGTGTGCCTCCTCTATGAGAGGGTGGCAACCCAAGAATGGACCTTTTTTGCAGTGGCTCCTCTGTTGTGGAATTCTTTCCCCAGGGAAGCTTGCCTGGTGACTTCATTACATATCTTCAGGCGCCAGGTGAAAATGTTTCTCTATAACTAGGCCTTATGGCCTTTAAATGTTTTTGTGGGAGGCATGGCATTATTATGTATTTTGTGTTCTCATTTTGTAGTATTCTCGGTAGTGGTGCCCTCCCTGTGGAACGCCCTCCCTTCAGATGTCAAGGAGATAAAGAATTACGTAACTTTTAGAAAACATCTGAAAGTGGCCCTGTATTGGGAGGTTTTTATTGCTTTGATATTTTTATTATGTTTTTAGATATGCTGTAAGCCGCCCAGATGGGCGGGGTATAAAAAATAAAATATAATTATTAATAATGTTGTCAACCACCCTGTGATCTGGATGAAGGGCAGTATACAAATTTAATAAATAATAGCAACAGCTAATAAACTTTTCAGTACTAGTAATATATCCAGATTACATAAACAACATCAAGCATCCAATAGCAAAAATAACAAGGGAGCTTTACAGTTTCACCTTGGTCCTAGAGTCATCCCTCCCATGATGTTGCTCACAGTCCCTCTCCTGTAGTGAAGGAGCCTTGCAGTGTGGCAGCTCTCTCCCTCTTTTCATAGCTTGAGGCAAACCATTGCTATGGTTTGTGCTTCTACTGCAAACCAGGATCGGAGAGGCAAAAGACAGGAGTGAGGTGAGGAGGGAATGTCTAAGCCCAAAACATCCTTGACTGCTTCTTTACATATGTCCTCTTCGGGCCTTGGGGTGGGTCTTCTCACAAGGCCCTAGGACTCTCCAGGGTGCTCCCCGTTTATACGTGTTTCACTGACATGCATGGAAGTCTGGAACATAACCCCTGTGTAAATGGGGAGTTACCTGTATGGAAAATTTACTAGATGTGGAGAGACTTACCTAATCGTTAAATTGAAAGTTTGCAGAAATGGGTGTCACATGTTGAATGACGCTCCTGCTCGTTCACCCTTTCTGCCTTGTTGGTTGTGTAGTTCAACTTTGTTGCTCCTAGTGCAAATGGGAGGTTCCCACTGATAGATTTGGGGTGGTATTGGTATCTGCCTTATATTTAGTTAGGCCAGTAGTTCATCTGGTAGAGTAGCCCTCCCCAATTTGGGGCTGTCCAAGTGTTTTGGCCTATAACTCCCAACATTCGTGACTATTATCCATGCTGGCTGGGGCTGGTGGGAATTGCAGTCCGAAACATGGAAGGCTCCAAGTTAGGGAAGACTAGTATTGTGAACAATCAGGTAAAATTGAAGCTTCAGTTGCTTTCTGCAGGTCTTATTCGGAATCTCTCAGCAGCACTTGCAAAGAACCTCAACTAGTCCATTGATCACAGCTGTTGCATATATGTGGGGTCTGTTTCCTTGGGGAGAATACACAGAAGACCTCAGCGCCCACCACCAGTCTTCCCTCCCCTTCTCCCTAGCCCTAAAAAAAGAGTATAGTGTTTCTTAGGTCATTCCAAGTCTCCTCCCAATGACTTAGCTCTTTGGGAAGAATGTGTTGTGCTGTTATTCAGGTGAATATGTGTTCATTTTTTTCAAGGTCGAGTTGGGCAAGCAGTTGCTCTGCGAGCAAAACCCTTTGGCTTCAATGTGATTTTCTACGATCCATATCTGCCTCATGGAGTGGAGCGTTCCCTGGGGTTACAGCGAATGAGCACCCTGCAGGATCTGCTCATGCACAGTGACTGCATCACATTGCACTGCAGCCTCAACGAACATAATCATCACCTCATCAATGACTTTGCCATTAAACAGGTGCAACATTGCATTGTGCTAGGAGTATAAGTTGCTGCTGTAGGGTGGTTTCATGAAAGCTAGAAATGTGTGGATCTGGTGCTTGCATTTCTGCTGAGTGTGGCTTCTTTTGTTGTGAATAGATTGATTCTGTGATTAGAAACTGCCTGTAACAAATGTTTGGCTTCAGTCTATATATAATAAACTCTGTAACTGGCAGTGCTGAGTAAGCAAAGAACAGTGACAGCACTGAACTGTTTCAAACAACTCTAGATTCTTTTAATGTCATGTTCTTCCCGGTTTGCCCACTCAATGTTCTTTTTAGAGCGAGTGTGGTTTTATACTATAGTGACTCAACGCTTGTTTCATTTGAGTTCTAATTTTTGTACTTCTGTTATATGGGTTTGCAGTAATGGTTCTCCCCAATTGTTGTCGCCCCATGATCCAAATGTTGGCTGTTCTCTTCAACTACTACTTAAAAAACCTTGAGAGGGATCCCAACAGAACCTGAAAGCAGTTGTTCTGGTTGGTGATGAAGGACTGGTTGGGGGAGGCAGGAGAGAGTGCAAAGAATGGACAGATGATGAACCTCTCAGGCACTATTTTCAATGTCTATCCCCCCACCTCCAAGTTTCTGCTGTTAGATTCCCCTTCTTTTCTCTTTTCCCTGATCCCTGGGCACCTTCTGAAGATTTATGTTACTTTTTGTGTGATGCTGTGCTGAGCCCTAAGTGTGTTTTTGAGTAGGAAAATTGTGTATTTCAGAATGTATGTGAGGGAAATACTTCAAATCTATTCTGTTCTGATTGTCCCATACTCCTTTTAAACTGTGCACCATTTAAATTTTACTAACAATAATGTAATTTGGACTCAATAATAGGTTATTCAAGCTCAACAGTAGCCTGTATTTATTTTTTTGCAGATGCGCCAAGGCTGCTTTCTGGTGAATACAGCTCGTGGAGGACTGGTTGAAGAGAGAGCCCTGGCTCAAGCCCTAAAGGAAGGGAGAATCAGAGGGGCAGCATTGGATGTGCATGAGTCAGAACCCTTCAGGTAACAACTCCACTATTGCCCTGTACTGCTGCCAGCCTATACCGGTTTTCACCTCTCCTTCTCCAAGTGTTAGGGCTGCCAGAGATCATAATAAAAAAAAATGCCCCTTTCTCTACATCACAGCTTTGCGAATGGACCCCTCAAAGATGCTCCCAACGTGATCTGTACTCCTCACACAGCCTGGTATAGTGAACAGGCCTCCATTGAATCTAGAGAGGATGCAGCTAAGGAGATCCGAAGAGCCATCACAGGTAGCTCTGCTTTTGCTTCAGAGATTGTTTCACTGGGATAGGTCTATACAATTGTTGTGATGGAGCTCCTTGCCTAATTGGTGGAGGTGAAAATTAAGTCACTGGATTAGTTCTTTATCTTTTTAGACCACTTAGGCCTGGCATCCCCAACCTGCGGCCCTCCAGATGTTTTGGCCTACAACTCCCATGATCCCTAGCTAACAGGACCAGTGGTCAGGGATGATGGGAATTGTAGTCCAAAACATCTAGAGGGCTGAAGGTTAGGGATGCCTGAATTAGACTGTTCTCCTACCCTGGTGTTTGGGAGATGTTTGGTGCTGTTTCAACATGGAGTGATGCCTTGGAGGATTTTCTTGACAGCAGTCATGTCTAATGACATTGGTGCACCTAGAAACTGCAGTTGAGGGAATTGTTTCTCATGAACACTGTGGAAGTACAAGCAATTTTTTCTTGCACTACACCATTCTTATTTTTCATATTATATTTGTGGATCTATCTTGCATCCTATATACAAAATAGAGAAGCAGTTAGGGTATCTTTCCCCTGTGACATTTGGGTGTAAATAACTTTGGCATTAGCATCTAATATACCTCTGTATATTTTGACTTTGTTTTAGGTGTCATACCTGATCATTTGAGGAACTGTGTTAATAAGGAGTACTTGCTTTTAGCAGCTCAGTGGTCCAGTATTGACCCTGCGGCTGTGCATCCAGAGCTTAACGGAGCTGCAGCTTACAGGTGAGATGTGCATGCATTCTTACCAATAGCTTTTTGCACAGGTTGCGTATGCATCAGGTCTCAAAAGGATTGTATTCAGAAAATTTATCTAGCTTTGTGAGACTGACCCAGCCTCCCTGTCCACCTTTCTGGCAGCAAACTCCTTTGAAATAAAGCTGCATTGCTTTGTAGATTGTAGCTCTTGAACAAAGAGCACCAGCCCAGGTTAGCCAGAGGGCTTCAGGACCTTTGTTCAGATGGGTTACTGGCTAGGCACCCTTGTAATGATTTTAATATGTAGCTCTACCCCTGCAGCAATTAAGACAAACCTGCTTCGGAGGATAGTGGCCAGAGGATTGTGTCCTGATAAACACCAAGTTAAAGCTGTAATAGAATTTACTGTAATGCCATTTCCTACTAACCTTCACTTAATTACTTAATTTCTGAATGCCTTTTATATAATGTCAGTGGAAACTTCAAGGAAACACTCACCCTGGATTGTAATCACCCTGTGCTTTCTTTTTTGTGGCAGGTTTCCTCCAGGAGTAGTGGGAGTAGCAGCCACAGGGCTCCCAGAGCCACCAGTAGAGGGGATTGTACCTCACGGTATTCCCTCTGTGTCTCACTCTGCACCCCATACCCCTTCTCCGGGAGAGTCAAGCAAATTGGAGCCAGACAGAGAAATCTCCACTGACCAGTAGCATCTCTGTTCTCTTTATTCCCCCATGAGAAAGCAGGGAATGCCTCCATTTTTTTTAGGACATATTGTGATCCCTGTGGACTGTTTCCTGTTCGCACCGGACAGGAGAATGCATTTCATTGTTGGCAAATTCTAGCTCTTGCCTTTAAACAGATATTTTATATCAGATTTAGTTTAAATCTTTTGGTGAATCTTTTTCCTTATCTGGGGCAATGAAGCAGTGACTTTTCACCCTCTTGGTAATGTTTAGTTTTAACATGCAGGTTTCCTTGCCCCTGCCTCCACTGTGTGATATATGGGGAAACAGTACCTGAGTAGAATACTGAGGATTCCAGAACAAGACTGGTGTGAATTTAAGGTGGTTTCTTAGGTTGAAGGTCAGCAGAGTTTCAGGTACAAGGGGCAAAGTACACTGTAATGGGGAGGGAAGGTGCGCATGTAGGTTTGCTTGGTAGGAAGGGGAGCCCTGGCTCAGTTGTGGGCATTTACTGCTTTGGCCTGCCTGTATGCTGTTAACTGATGTGCTTGGTGGGTGATTTGCTCCTAGGATGCTGGGGGTAAGTAATTATACGAACCAGAGTGAATTGGAAATTCTGCCTGGAATCTTATTTGTGTTTCAAGACGTGCAGAGAATTTGCATCGACCGCCAAGATGCTTGTGAAGTTACAGGGAGGAAGATTCAACTGAGATTTGGGCCCAGCTCAGGGAATGAGGAGTCAGCTCCATATAGGGAGGCAGAAGGCGTTTCAGAACTCAAGGTGTCAGGTTACATAAATGCCTGCTCTTTGCACAATTATTAGTGCAACTTTGCTACAATAAGATGATTATGCTGAAATCCTAGAACTTAACTTGGGACCTAAGTCTCGTTGACCTGTCTCTTAACACGCATCAAAGGCCAAGCCAGGATTGTTCCCCCTTATTTTTGTTTAGTATGAAATGTCCCAGGTGTGTGCGTGCTGAATTTTCAAGTTCTTTACTTCAACCCCTTTCTCTGAATTGAGTCCTTGTCTTGCAAAAACACCAACCAACAGAATTCATTCTCAAAACCTACGGATGGCCACACAGATTCTTCTTGGGGAGAAATAGTTGGTCTGTGGCAAACTATGGCAGTTGCCTTTTAAAAAACAACAACAGAGGTATGTTTTAACCAAGGCATTTAAACCAGATTTAAAGGCAGAACTAGTGCTGTACATTGTCTCTTATGAGGTGAATAAATTCTTATTCCCTGGCACTGTCCACACAGCATATAGTTCATAATGAAACAAAGTATTTATTATTGTTGGAGGATAGCCTTGTCATGTTGCTTGGACTTTACAGAACTCTTTGACTAGGAAAATGTTATGGCTTATAATCAAACCGCCTAAGTATTAAGCTCAGAAAACAATTGGGGGTGAAGAATAGGATTTTTTTGTTGTAATCAGAATTCAACTTTCCCTTGTTTTCTTCCAAACAAAATGCCAGCCAGGCAACCTGGGAACTGGGTGGAGTAGAAACCTCATCCTAGATCTTGCTTACAACTGAACATTGATAATGGGCTAGCATGTCCCCAAGCATCCCAATTTCCCAAGACTGCCTGCAAATATTGGCAGGATGTCTTCAATGCCAAGTGCTAACTGACAGGTGTACAGAGAATCCCTTTAAAGTGAGGGAAGCGCTGAGCAAGAAAAATCTTACTTTTGTATTGTGAGATGGTATATGGTGCCCTTGTAGTGTGTGCTTTGTTAGAATGTGAGTTGGAAGTGTTTGGTGTAATGTAGGCTCTGGTAGTGGGGGAGGCACAATAGCTTTATAATCTCTTGGATGATTATGACTTCATGTTTAAAATTCACATACCTCTTGGGTCGCTCAGGGTTTTTAGCAGTCTGTGCACGGGGGGGCATGCTAACAGATGTTAGTGCTAAGTGTGTGGCAGTAAATGTGGGGAACCTTTGAGTGAAGGCTTCACCTCTGAAGCAATTTAACTTGGGGCAAAAATAACAGTTTCAGCTTTTTATTTGATCTGCATACTAATTGCTCTAACCAACCTGAAAACTGGAATGCATTGCCATTTGGGTTGTTGCAAATGTAACACAATGCTGGCCTTTAACTTGGGTTAAAGAAAATGGGAGTAGCCTGTGTGACAAGACACTTCCTCACCCCTTCCTTTCTCCTGTGTAAATTTCCTGTGCCCGCACCATTCCCCACCTTCAGTTCCAAAATCTAGGTTCACGTCTGTGTTAATCAAGATTAACATTGCTCAGACCTAACTCTAAACAAGGGCAAAGAGAGCTAAAGGAATGTATCTGTGAGAGGAGACGGAGATGTGATCTTATTGTTTGCTGTTGATCTGTTGGCCTGAGCCAAGGGCCAGAATTGTGTCTGCACCAGCCCTTGAAAAACTCTGCTCTCTGTAGTGGGCAAACTAGCCAGCTGTGAGGTGGGCTGCATGTATTACATTTCACAATCTGTTGAGGAGAAAATCCCAATCTACAAAACATTCACACATTGCTGATGTGCCTCAGATAGCCATAACATTAGGTGCTACTCCAGAGGGCAGTTCAGGGTTGTGTGTATTCTCCACCAACCTCCCCATTACACAGCACTCAAAATTCTGATTCATAATAATATAAATGTGCATATTCTGCTTCCAATAGACCATCATGTTTAGGGTATTTTTACAGAAACGGCAGGGAATTGTAGAGAAATTGGGATTAGTGAGAAAGACGGTAGGAAATAGCCATTGAGGAAGAGCAGGGAATTGCAGGGCTCTGGTGCCCTGCCACTCTGCCTTTTAGTTTCTTGTACTTTACTCAACATTAGTTATGCATTGTCAAGCTGTTGGCTACGACCATAAGAGCAGGAATGTGCTTTAAAAAATGAAAGCTGAAATTCTCAGGATACCAGGTTTGATTAGATTTCATACTTGGATAGGAGATACTGATGTATTTCACTGTCCTGTTGCAACCCAACTAATAAGTTCTGTCAACCCATGGGTTGAGCATTCCTGCAGTGGAGAATAGGATGCCTATTGCCCCAATGTCACATTGTATTACAAGCAGAGAAAATCAGCAATGTCTTTTGCTCAGCTTGCTGCTGGCAATTCCTAAATTCTGTTTGTAAGATTTTTTGATCAAGGTCCCCAGTTGTGGGATTGCCCAGAGCCTGTTCATCTTGCCTGTTTCAGGGAGTAGTGTAAGATACACTTAATTAAAAGTGGCAACCATATATTAGTAAGCAAAATTATTTTTTACACATGAATACCTCTAAAGACTTATCAGGTAAAAACCTCCATAAGGAGAGAAATTGGGAAGATCCCAGCTGGCTAGCACTGAGCCTTTTGTTTTGTAGAAACCGTGCTGATTGGCATACTAGAAATAGATAAATGATAAGGTTGTGTCAGTCTCTGAATGCTGGTGAACATTGTATAAGCCTTAAGCCCTCAAAGATAGCCAGTATTACCTAGACCTACATTTGGGAATTAAAACAACTTTGAAACTGCCAGAGTGGCATCGCTTGAGGATCCAGATCAGCTTTGAGACTCCTTAGCTAATCAAGGGGTTTTTCCCCAGAAAGCAGGATGGGCCAGGTGCTGATGAAAGTGCTCCAGTTGCACATCATGGTATATTTTTGGTTCAGACTAGCAGTTGCCACAAGAAAGGGTAATGCTAAAGTGGAGTCTCTCTCCTGACACTACACATTGGTTCAGTGACCCCTTCTCACATGTATAGATGTGAAACTCCTTGCTCCAAGTTTTATGCATGCTGGAGGAAGTAGACTTCCTTCAGAATTCATGTGGAGCTTAATCCCAAAGAACATTTGTTCCTAACGTTGAGGCAGGAGTGTCCTGGGTCATGCCCAGCTTATCTGCAGGAGGAGCTCACTCTGTCCTAAGGTATATTCTGCTTGTCAGGTTTGCTGTTGCTGACCAGCTTTTTTTATAGAGGACTCAGAGTTTCAGAAATATATTTTTGTAGCCAATAACTAAACTGTGAAACTTAAACAATAAAGCATGTAAAAGCATTTCCAATGATGTTTCCTGTACAGATGTTTCTCCCTTCAACTCTCTCCTGGCTTTTGTTAGAAGTTTGACAGTTTCTTTGATTATATTTTAATAAATATTTCCTTTATGGTCATGTGGGTTTTCTCATTTCACTGTGTTGCTCCCTTTACAATGTATTTAACTAATCGTTTAGTGTCTGCATTACAACTTTTGCAAATCTGTGCAACTGGTAAACTTGATGGGTTGGCTCTAGAGATTAACCTGCAGAAGTGGGGTGGGGTGGAAAGTGACTAAGTGGGGCATTATGGGGAAAGGGAGAAATAACAGAAAGTTAGTGAAGGAACTTCTGTAAGTATAGTTTCTGCTCACAGGAGATGCATCTGCCCAGTTTTACACTATATCCCTGTACATCACAGTCTACCCTATTCAGAAATGTCTCTTGACCCTTGAAATAGCTGGGAAGAGAAGGGGATTGGGAAAGTTACCTTTGACCTGCCTCCTTCCATAGGCAGATCCGGATCCTGGGCACTTGGTATGTGGTCTCTTAAAATTTTAAGATTTTAGATAAGAGAAATCTGGTAAGTCTAAAATGGTAATAAAAAGTTGATGTGGCAATGGAAGGCAATTTCCCCGTAGCTGCTGAGGTCCTCTCACAAATCCCACAAAAACAAATTGGAGATGAGCTTGCAGTATGTCCAAATCTGGGCGAGTTGTGTACAGCTATTAACCAAATGAAAAACAACAAAGCCAGCAGACCTGACGGGATACCTGCTGAAGTCTTCAAAGTGGGTGGAAGTGAACTTACACAACAACTTCAAGAGCTCATCAAAAAAATATGGAAGAAAGAAGAGATCCCAGCAGACTTCAGAGATGCAAAAAAATCTATTTTTTTAAAAGATGATAGAACGGATTGTGGAAACTACTGAGGCATCTCTTTATTAGCTGTGGCTGGAAAAATTCTTGCAAGGATCTTGGCAAACGAGGATATTCTTCCTGAATCCCAAAATAGTTTTTGACGTTCTAGGGGGACAGTGGATATGATTTTCACTGCTTGGCAAGGAAAATGCAGAGAGCAAAACCAACCCGTGTATGTGGCATTTATTGACCTGACTAAGGCCTTCGACACTGTAAATTGCACTGTCCTGTGGACTGTCCTTCTGAAAATCGGCTGCCCAGATAAATTTGTGAACACCCTCCATGATAATATGACTGGAACAATTGTGGATAACAGTGGCTCTCAAAATGAACCATTCACAGTGGGATCAGGCATTAAACGGATGAGTTAGCACCCCAACTCTATTATCTTCATCGCCATGATCCAACACATTGTCTAAGGGAAACTCCCCACCGGAGTAGAAACCATATAACGAACAGATGAAAACTCTTTAAACTGAGTAGGATGAAAGCAAAGAGTAAGGTTACCATAACTTTCTTCACAGAGCTTCAGTATGCTGATGGCAACGTGGTTTGTGAACACTCAGAGGATGACCTCCAAACCATCTTAAATAGCTTCACAGCTTATGGAAAGCTTGGCCTATTGCTCAATATCTGAAAAACCAAAGTACTGCACCACAAGCAAACAAAAAACCCTATGCAGTGCCACAAATCCAGCTTAATGGTGCAGTGTTGGAAAATGTCGACCAATTTTCCTACCTGGACAGTTATCTTTCCACAAGGGCCAACATCGATGCTGAAATCCAGCATCGCCTGAGCTCTGCGAGTGCAGTTTCCTCCCGGTTGAAGCACTGAGTGTTTGAGGACCATGACATTGGCAGGGAAACCAAAATGCTTGTTTACAAGCCATAATGCTACCAACTTTATGCTTGTGAAACATGGACAACTTATAAATGCCATCTCCAACTCCTCGAAAGATTCCATCAATGGTGTCTCAGAAAATTTTTACCCATCACTTGGGAAGACAGGTGAACTAATGTCAGTATACTGGAAGAAGCAAAGATCACCAGTGTCGAAGCAATGATACTTCAACATCAACTTTGTTGGACTGGTCATGTTCGGATGCCTGATAATCGTCTTCCAAAGCAACTACTCTATTCCAAACTTAAGAATGGAAACCAAAATATCAGTGGACAACAGAAGAGGTTTAAAGATGTTCTCAAGGCAAATATTTTAAAAATATAGTATAAGCATTGGAAAACACTGGCCTGCCAGTGTTCCCATTGGAGAATAGCCTTTACCAAAGTTGTTGTGGACTTTGAAGAAGCACAAACTCAGGGCAAAAAGGAGAAATGAGCTAAAAGGAAGGCACATTTGGCAAACCCTCACCGTGATCACACTGTGGAAGGACGTGTGGATATAGAATTGGCTTCCACGGTCACTTACAGACTCACTGTTAAGACCGTTTTCATGGAAGACAATCTTACTCGGCTATGAGTCATCGCCAAAGAAGAAGAAATGCAAAGCCTTCATACTTAGACTGGAGCCTGGGGAACACCCTATTTGTAAATTGTAAATGACTACTGGGGAGAGCAGACTGTCCTTAAATGGAGCATTTTGCAGAGTGGGTAACAAAAACCTGGCCTAGGTTGGTTGCCAGTTACTTTATTAGTTCAGTTACACTCATCAGATGAGCAAAATCCAAGGCAGGCAACTAAAACATTTTACAACTTGGTAGTGTTATAAGAATTTAAGGCCTCAAATATATAAATTAAATGTTCATAAATTTACAAGGCAAACACATACATAAGTATATAAACCATGTGTCTGAAATAGTACAGGAGAGCAACCATTTTGACTCCTAAGTTGACCTCAAATGTTTCTCTGCAAGGAGGAAGGAAATGGGAAAGCCTCTCCATTGTCTTTTGCTTACCTGTCTCAAGGCCATATTTGTGTATGAATAGGGTGCGCCTGTGACCAGGATTCAGACATTAAAGTACTTACCATCACAAAAGAATGAAGTAAGAATTCCCTAAACATGCATGTTGAGTAAATCATACTCAAAATGATTTACAACTTTAGCTGGTGAAAGCTCCCTCCCGCACTGGGAGTGAGGGCTGAGACCACGTCAGTACAGTAATATCACTCATAACACGCGAAAAGAAGAGGGCAGCCCTTCTTGTACCTCAGGTCAACCAAGGCACGGTAGGTGGCCATTCCACTTTCCCCATCAGCTGAGAAGAGGGGCGGAGGGAGAGGCTTTAAGGTTCTGTGCTGCGTGTATCGGGGCCTATGAAATGAGTCCCCTGCAGCGCCCCCTACAGGCAAAACTGAACAACAGGCACCTAGGACAAGAGCGCGACGACTGCGGTGCATGCCGGGAGCGGAGGAGTAAATAAATAAGGGCGCGCGCAGGGCACGCTGGGAACTCGAATCAGGGGCGGGGCCGGCTGGCTGGCCGGCGCGGGGCACGCCGGGATTGCTACGGAGGTTCTGGCGCGGGGCACGCCGGGATCAGGGCGGGCTGGTGTTCGGGGGGCCCAGCGCAGGGCCGTCGCTCACTCGGTGTCTCCGGCGGCGGCTGTTGGGCTCGGAGGCGCGACGGAGGCTGCTTCTGCCCGGCGGGGATGGCGGACACGGCGGCCTCCCCGGTGGGGAAGCGACTTCTGCTGCTGCTGGTCGCGGGGCCGGGCGAGGGCGAGGCGGCGGCGGCGGGGCCGGAGCCTGGGCCTGCACTGCCCTCTCGAGCCTGGAGGAGCGGGACCGTGCGGGCCATGAGCGGGGCCGTGCCTCAGGACTTAGCGGTGAGCGCCTTCCTCGGGGGCGGGGAGCTGGGGTCCGTGTGCAAATGCGTGTCCTGCGTACGTGTGTTTATGTCTATCGCTCTCTGTGCCTAGGTGGGGGTGGGGTGTGTTGCTGAGCTTCTGCTTGGACTCCGGAGGGGAGGGGGAGGGGTTTATCCGCTTTCCTTCTTCGGCCGAGGTAGCTCAGCCTCCCTGCTCCGCCTCTTCCTTATCTGGTGGCAGCTGCCGCTGCCGCTGCAGGATCTCTTGTTACGCTTGGATCTCGGGTTTCGGTTGCCGCATCTATGGCCGTCCTTGGTGATTCCCCCCCGTCGTGAGACAGCGCGCGGTGCTGCACCCGAGCCCGTTTCCCTCGGGGGTGAGATGTGCGGAGGGTTGTACTGAAGTGGCGGGTGGGAGAAGGAAGTATGCTGTGCGTTCCTGCTAAGGAATGTTTATTCATGGTAGTTAGGATTAGATCCCTTAACGGTGGGTCTCCTGGTCTCTCTCTCTAGCTGCAGCGCGTTTGAAGTCTGGGAGCTTTAAACGTTTCGTCTTTTCCAGCTTGGATCCCGTACTTTCCTTAGTTGTTGGGATCGCTGCCTATGTTTACTTCAGTGCAGTGTTGTGTTTTCCGTATGCCTTGCAGTTTTATTAGGTAGAAAGGATAATCTAAACTTCGAAGATGCTTCCACAAAAGTACCAGGTCGAGTGTTCCAAATAGGGAAGGTTGGAGCTTGTGCGTTCATTTCTTAATGGCATGCAGCCTTCTATGGGATATATATATTTGTGTCACTGGTCGAAAGCCAGCACTAATAATGGGTACCAGTTCAGTGCTGTTGCTATTACGATTATGCTGTTATTGTCTGTGAGGGATAGCTGCCAGTGTGATTATTTTTGAAAACCCCATATCCACAGCACTTAGCTCTTGATTTCCAAGATTCAAAGTACTTCAGCTAAAGTGCCTGAGGAAGTTGTGTTCCAAACAACTATGTAGCAACTACTTTTTTGTACCACTTTGTGCTATGCTAGTACCATTGCCTTTTTACATCTGCCATCATACCTTGGTTGCCTATTCTGGCACTGTAAAATAAGGATAGGATGTTTGGTGAATCCCTTTAGGCCCTAAAAGCAGAGTTATTTTTCAGATTACCCCCAATTTTTAAAATTTAAGGTGACTTAACTATTCAGAAACTAAGTACACTGAAGACCCGGAGAAGGCTCTTTCCCATCTGGATGATAGAATCAAATCGATTTGTCATTCCGTTGCTCTGTTATTAAGTAGGGTGCAATACAGTTTGGAATAAATTATCCTACAAGTATGAAAACATTGAATTAGTTGCAAATAATTGCCTAGGAAAGAGATCTTGGGAGTTTCAAAAAAAAATCCTGAAAATATCAGCTGAAACTGTTTAAATAATCGACAAATCATGTGGGCTGTGTTCATATATGAAAATAAGAACTCTGCTGGAACAGATCAAACACTAACCTAGGACTCAGCTATACAGCTGCAAATAAAACATTTAAAGTGTGTTTTAAGTGCAATATACCATGTGGTACTAGATGGCAATGGTGAGCCTTATGGAAAATTCAGTGTATTTTTAAAAACGCTTTTTAAAAAAGCATTTTCAGAACGGTTTTTATATGTGTATAGTTTCCACCCTTGACTAGCACCCTATGTCTGTAGTGGCCATTACTTATGAGATGCCCACAAGCAGGGCATGAGAGCAAAACCCTTATGTTGCGGCTCTTCCCAGCAACAGGTATTCAGAGGTATACTGCCTCTTATGCTGTAGTTGTATATAGCCGTTAATAGCCTTTTTCTCCCATGAATTTGTCTCATCCCCCTTTCAACCCAAATTGGTGACTGTCAACATCTTGTGGAAGTAAATGTTAAACTAAAACAAAACTGTTTGAAGAAGTCTGATTCTTTTCTGTTCTTATTCTCCCACATTTCCACTTAGATGGATTCCCTGGGTTCTAATATTTTAAGAAGGGCAAGAGAAACATTCCCCTCTCTGCTCTATGTCGTGCAAATTTTGTTCACTTCTGTAATCTGCTCCCTTGCTCAACTTTTTCAAAAACTGAATAGACCAAATCCTGTTATCTCTTATGTATATATTCCAGTCTCCTGGTATATTTTCCTCCTTTTCTGTACTTTTCCCGAGCTCTACAATAACTGGGCTTCTGAGCCCCACAGGGGTGCTGCAGAAAGAAGGTAGTTGGTGAAGGGAGCCGTGGGCTCATAGGGCCTCTGCCATATGAGTACTTTTAATTTAGAGATAAGGCGATTAAATGGTGACACGAAAGAAGTTGATAAAATTATGCATGGCATGGCAAAGTTTTTATCCTTTCGTAACACTAGAAATAATTGACATCCAGTGAAGCTGAATGTTGGAAGATTCAGGAGATATGTGGTGCCATTTGGTGATTAGCTTATATATTTTGAGTTTATAACACTGTGTAGCATCCTCATTAAAAGTCCCGGTATAACTGACTAGATTTTCCAGGAAAGGCATGGTCAAATACAGATATGATTGACCTCCCCCTTTCAAGATTTCTGTCCACATTTTTACACTGAACAACCAGGGGCATCTGTACATGCTGAAAAAGAAGTAGCAGTAGATCCCTGTAGCAGTTTCTGCCCATACTGGAGTGTAGAACAGGGAATGGCCATAGTTGGTTGTGCACATGCTTAGCATGCAGAAGAACCTAGAGGTTTATTCCCCTCGCTGGGAAAGAAAGAAAGTCAATGTAGACAATATAGGGCGGCTAGATGGACTATACAGATTTCTGTGTCGGCAACAACTAGGCTCCTGTATGATTTTTATGTGCAAACATGCTATGAGTGATGTTTTGCACTGTGTTTTGCAGATTTGTTTCAGTGGACCTCTGAGGGTTCCTCTGCCTGAGGCATTCCCAAACTGTGGTTCATGGACCATCAAGCTTCAATCAGGCGGCCTGTGGCGTATCTATGAATTTTTGGTTGAAGACACAAGATGGCAGAACCCTTGCATTAAATATTCATATTGATTTTATTATTGTTGCTTTTATTAGATTGCATTTTAATGTATTACAATTTTAATTCTATGGACATAAAAGAAATAAAAGCAGCAATTAAAATGCAATTAAAATCATATAGCATCTAGCATAATCATAATTGCTATAACAAATTGAAACATAATTTAAGTGTTGCACCAAACCCTTGGCAATTTTCAAGTGGTCTGTTTTATAATTCTCTCTTAACACTTTTCAGAGTTGTGTTGGTGGGAGTGATAGTCTGAGACAACTGGAACCAGGATGAGAAATTAAGACTTAGATATGTTCAAGTTTTCAGAATACAATGATTTATAATGGGGTGTCATCTAGGTATTGTTACATTGGGCAAGTTACTTTAGTAAAAATGCTTTCAAAGAGACTTCACATGCTTAGCATGCCTTGTCATTATTTAGTGACAGTGAAAGGCTTACTTAATATGCAGTTGGCAAACAATTTGTTTAATTTCTGTGCATGGTATGTTATAATCTAAAAGAGGACATGTCCCTTTCCAGGGTAACGGTGTGCAATGCAGTTGCAGTGTGGAAGATCTGCTGGGGAGACTCTTTTTGTCCCATCAGCAGCTGAAATGCAAGTGAGGATGTGGGAGGGTTCAGCTTAGACTGAGGAGCTCCCTGCCTAGGGAAGTCAGTCTTGCCTGCTCTCTTTCTGTTTTCTGCCATCTGGTTAAGGTGTTCTTGGCCTGCTGGGTTTTTTGCTGATGCCCTGACTTTGTGTATCTTATCTTCAAATTTTTAAAACTCTTGTTAGGATTATCAGTAGCTGTTTGGCTATTTTGAAGATGCTACCAAGTGCCTTGATTTTTTTAAAATGGGAAGGTGGGATATAAATACATTTAATTATTAAGCAATACTAAATATATAATGTAATCAGTATTAAACAATTAAAAGCCAAAACTTTGCAAATTTTTCATCAAAACTCAGATAATACAGTAATTTAATAACAGCTCAGGATACAGAGCAGGGCAATATTTTTAAAATAATGTAACATTTGCATTAACAATCCATTACAGACACTTCATCAAATAAAGCTAAACATCAGGAAACTAACCACTAAGGAATCTAAACATAAAAATCCAAGCAAAAAAATAAAATGAAACAAGATTGGGAAATGGCAATATAAAGCACAAAATATGAAATTTGAATTGCCCTCAAAAGCATTCTGATTCGCCCCAGAGATCAATATTGTACGAAATACAATAATAAAGTACCCAGCTAGCTCCTTATTTGTGTGTTCGACATACACCTATTAATTCCTCCTGTCTTCCAGGGGCAAAAATAGAAGTAAATAATGCTTTATCTCTCACTAGAGGTAGCAGGTATTAGAGCACCTCTCCCACTTTTGCTTCCACCAGCTTCTCATTTACTGAAGGCAGAACATCTTAACCCACCCAACAGAGAGAGGTGAAGGCCTTCCAGCTCCCCTTCATCCAAAAATTATAGTACTTGCTGGTGACAATTTGTTGAGATGTGACATGATTTCCAAAGGGGCAGAGTCAATTTTATATTTATGTTGTGAACTGCCCTGAGATCTATGGATGAAGGGTGGTATACAAATTTAATAAATAAAATAAAATAAATACAACGTGGAATATCTCTCCTAGAAAATGGTACGTCCTGGAGAACAGGATTTCTCCTGGGTGATTGTTTCCCTTCCAGCTTTAATACAACCAGACTGTTATATAGCAGCTCTGGATCAGAGAGGGGTTGGACCAGGGCAGCTGCAAGCCTGCACACAGGTTCAGACACAGATAAAGACATGATCATGAGTGGCCATGGTAGTGTCCAGGGAGGTCTGTCAAGAGCTGGAGATGAAAGACAGGAGATGGGAGGGAGCGGAGTAAGAGGAATTATCAACTTGAGTGTTAAAATCACCAGGAAGAAGCATGGAGATGATGTTAGAGAGGAAGAAGGTATGCCAGGCCTCAAGTAGACTCTTTTCCAGAGTGAACTTCAAACAGTGTGACAGTGGGCAAACGTTAATGTAGCTTGAGGAACTAAATTGCAAATAAATATATGGCATTAAGTTATTGTAATCTAAGATTGGACAGATGAGGTTTCGTTCCTGTGATCACATCAGGTAGATCACATCTGGAATGTTGTGTACAAACATTTGTTTGCATAAGAAAGCCAGGTACTTCCCCCACTGTTTCTTACCTTATGCATACCTCCATGCATGTAGACAAGACTCTGCCTCTCTCCCAAGCCCTGTATGGGAAAGGGGTGAAATCCTGTCACCCTTGCAGCAGAAAAAAATGGGTGGGGTGCAGAGGAATCTCTTGTTTTTTCTTCTCCGCACTGCATCCCAAACTGAAGAGACCCTGGGCTCTTCCAAAAGCCCCCTTTGCTTGCGTCAGAGGTGTGGCAGTGGGGATAAGATAAAATTTGTAGTGAGAACAGGTAGAGGTTTATCTGGTAAGCCAAGCTGATATTTGTAGACCCCTATTCATAACAAGCATTTTGCTGACTGATTGTTGTGACTTTGCCCACATGTGTTTGAAAGAACCCATTCTGGGATCTGTTGCAGATATTTGTGGAATTTGACCGGTGCAATTGGAAGCAACACGCCTGGGTGAAAGTTCATGCTGAAGAAGTGATCGTTTTGATGCTGGAAGGGTCTCTTGTTTGGGCCCCTCGAAATGACCCAGTTCTGCTTCAGGGAACTAGAGTGTCAGTTGGGCACTGGCCTGCGTTGGTGAGTATCTTCATTTAGCTTGTTACCCTTGATAAAAAGCATTCCTTATGTCAAAGTCTGAATGGTGGATTGTTTTGTTATGTGTCTCAAGGCCTATTTTTTCCAAGTGTCTTTGTTTCTTGTAATTCTTATCTAGGCCATTGTGAAAATGTATTCTAATAAATGGAAACATGTAAGATTAAACCTTAGCTGAGGATTTTTATCCAGCTGAATAATACGGTTTTAGAAACTTTTTAACTTGAAGAGTTACTTGGTGTGCTGTTGTATCTATATTAACACCCAAGTTATGAAATAAACTCGAGCTTCTGCTAGATAGTTGATTGATTCCTTTCAGCAGATGATGGAGTAAGACTTTTTCTCGGAAGCATCTAAGGAGGGTAAAAAGAGTGAGGAAATACCAGTTATAATAGCACTTTTAAGAAATAAGTATGCTACCTTCTGTTTTCATGCAGTCGTGTTTTTTATATTCTCATTCACAGACTTTCACTCCCTTGGTTGATAAGCTTGGCTTAGGTTCTGTGGTTCCTGTAGAGTCTCTTGTAGACCGAGACTTGAGATTCCTGTCTGATGCCACTGGACTACGTCTCTTCCAGGTATATTGTTTGTTTGTTTGTTTGTTTAGTTATTTTAGTTATTTTAATTTATTACCTGCCCTTCACCCTAAGGTCCAGAGTGGGTTACAACAATTAGCAGTGTTAGAGGTACATGTGGTAGAGGTATCATGACTTCAGCAATATGGTCCTGGAATTCTCTCGCTTTTAGCATTCTCTTCCATGCCAGTTAAGCAGGCAAAAAGGGAAGCAAGGCAATAAGCAGGCAGAACACTTACACAGCTAATTCCATTAGACCAAGAGGACTAAGGTCTGACAAAGGTCCGTATAGTTAAAGCTATGGTTTTCCCAGTAGAGATGTGTGGAAGTGAGAGTTGGACCATAAAGAAGGCTGATTGCCGAAGAATTGATGCTTTTGAATTATGGTGCTGGAGGAGACTCTTGAGGGTCCCATGGACTGCAAGAAGATCAAACCTATCCACTCTTAAGGAAATCAGCCCTGAGTGCTCACTGGAAGGACAGATCCTGAAGCTGAGGCTCCAATACTTTGGCCATCTCATGAGAAGAGAAGACTCCCTGGAAAAGACCCTGATGTTGGGAAAGATGGAGGACACAAGGAGAAGGGGATGGCAGAGGACGAGATGGTTGGACAGTGTTCTCGAAGCTACGAACATGAGTTTGACCAAGCTGCGGGAGGCAGTGGAAGACAGGAGTGCCTGGCGTGCTCTGGTCCATGGGGTCACGAAGAGTCAGACACGACTAAACGACAACAACAACACATGGTCAATGGCTTTTGATTTCAAAAAGTGGCTTGCAATATGGCATGAGGATCTGCAATGAAAACAAAGGCATGGGAAAATCCCACCTTGTTGTGCCTAAAATAGTTCTTTAGATTACGAATTTAATTTAAAGCACTTTAGTGCTAATGAAATGAAAAACAGTTACACGTACCAAACTTAGCTTTGTAGGCCTTCATAGTTTTTGATGAGGTAACTGACACTCAGGACTACTTCTCACATCATTTTGTGCTGGAAAAGCCTCTTCTGTGTGATGTGAATTTGAGCAAGTTGTTTTTCTCTGTGATAGGCAAAGTACTTCCAAGATATTTAGTATATGTAAGACCAGCTGGCTTTAAAATCTTGCATTATGGAATGTAGTAGTTTTGGGGTTTGCACTGGCTGGGGTATAAATAATAAAAATTATAAAATTATAATGCAGTGGTGTGTGCTGTAGAAAAGTAGCCTGAGTATACTATGTTTCCTCATGTAGACCAATCCCTTAGAATTTAAATGCAGGATAAACATTAAGAAATAAATCCATACATTTCTGTCACCATGGGGAAGGAACATCAAGAAACAGGGGGAAAAGAAATCATAACAATCTAGGCCATATAAATTATGCTTTTACCCTGTTCTTGAACAGCTATTACATATTTTAAAAAATTGTTTGCAGATGGCAACTGAAAGTCAGAACCAAATTCTCCAACAACAGCCAATATTGAGGGAAGCTGTCAATTCATTGGTCAGTGATCAGAAGCTTCAGGAGATATTTAGCAGAGGTAAGATCAGCTGGTTTTAGTTTTTTAAGGAACCTAATTGGTTCTCCTGGAAATTATATTCAGCTTACAGCTGCTTCTTAAGATCCTAAGACCTGTTCCAGCTTTATCATAGGTCTGTTACATATGAAGTTTCAAGATCTTGAAACTGAGGAATTAATTGAGCTTTGCTGTGAAGGAGAAAGCTCAATTTTTCCTAAATTTTCATTTCCTTAACACTCTGTTTTCTTGTTTGAATCAGTTTTGTTGTTTGAGTATGAACTTTAGCTACCCTTTCAGGAGAAAAAAATGTTTATAGTCCTTATTGTAACAGTACTCTGGCATGCTAGAGGAATGCAAGAAATCAGTAGGGTAGAGCAACTATATTAATCTTAAGTCAAGAGACAAGAAGAGAATCAGCCATGGAGAACCACTATCATTAGTCAAAAATTAATGACTAAGACAGTTGTTATTAATCAAAGGTTAATAAAGAAAGACATTGAAGAACGACTATATTTAGTTATATATTATTAAAATAAGAGTTGGAGAGAGCTATTCAGAGGAGCTTAAAGGTTCCTGACTGGCTTAGATTTGAAGGAGTCGATTTCAATGACTATCAAATGTCATATTGGAGCTATACGATTGACGACTAGTATTACATGTTTAGCATAGAAGGGATCCAGAATACTCTGGCCAGAGTATTGATAAGGGGTTCTGATCAGAAGTATGTGATCCTCTTGTTGGAGCACCTCCTCTAGATTCCAGGTTGTTTTTGGGCACAGTTCAAAGCATTGGTAATGAATTTGAAAGCCCTAAAAGGCTTTGAATACCAGTGCAAAAAGATCTGAAGGAGAGATCCTTCCGGCAACACTGGATTTGTGTTTGGTGGGGATACAAGAGAGTACCTGGCACCAAGGTGGCTGCACCAAGGCCCTGGAACTGCTTTCCTTCCTAGGAACAGCTATCCAGCCCGCTCTCTGGCCATTTTCTGACAGCTGGAGTCCGTGTTCAGACAGACCTGTAGGTTATTGAACTGAGGGTACAGTGGTGCCTCGCAAGACGAAAAGAATCCGTTCCGCGAGTCTCTTCGTCTTGCGGGTTCTTTCGTCTTGTGAAGCAAGCCCATTAGAGGTTTAACGGCTTAGCGCTACAGTATTAGCGGCTTAGCCGGCTTAAAGATCAACTGATAAGCGGCTTAGCCATCAGCTGATAAGCGGCTTAAAGATCAGCTGATAAGCGGCTTAGCCATCAGCTGATAAGCGGTTTAGCAGCTTGGGAAAAAGGGGGGGAAAAGGAAAAAAACCCCGCAGGAACTCGCAAGACATTTTCGTCTTGCGAAGCAAGCACATAGGAAATTCGTTTTGCGAAGCACCTCCAAAACGGAAAACCCTTTCGTCTAGCGGGTTTTCCGTCTTGCGGGGCACCACTGTATTTTGCTGCTGCTAGTTTTTAATTTAACTAACTACTCTTACTCGTTTTGCTTCTATTTTTATCTTCTCATACGTTTGTAACTGTATATTTAGTTCGTTAGCCTGCTGCATTGGGCCACTTACTGTGGCAAAGGAGGGCTTTCTCCAAGCATTCATGGAGTAGTCACAGATATCGAGCAGCTATTGTGTTTGCACAAATGGTTTGTTAACTTGTAGGTGTAAAAAACAAAAGCAAGAAGAATTCAGAATAAACATATCCACTCTTTGCTGGAATTTTAGAAACAGACATGTAAATGAAGACACAGAACTCCACAGTATTGTGGTGATTACTTTTGTTATCCCTTGTCCCAAAACATATCCTAATAAAGCTTTATTTGTGTGTTACATTAAGAGACCAATGCTTTAGGTCCATGCTCACTTTTAATTCTTGGTGCAGTGGCACTGGTTTGGCTGATAGCATTCTCGCTTGGGGTTCTTTCCCAGGTCCTTGCAGCATCCAAGGTCAAAGAGTGAAGGTGTACCAGCCAGAGGAGGAAAACAGCTGGGTCTCTGCTGTTGTGAGCTGTCAAGATCCTATCACCTGTCTGATGGAGGTGGTTTTGACTGAGGTGTGAAGCTTTTCTTGCGGTTTCTTGATGCCTGATTTCCTTTCTTCATTTAGCTACCAACAGTTATTTACATGGTCTTAGTTATGTTGCGTGGACTGTGACATTTAATACAAGCACACTCAGCATGAGCAGAACTCTGACAGTTTTCAGCATTTAAGCAAATTCTAGTCTTTTATAGTTGCAGCCAAGAAAAGCAGTCGGAGTGGAATATCCTAATGGTTAGGGAATGCATCATTTTCAAAGTACAAACATCACCTCCTGCCTTTCTACCATCTTACATTTATTTCCAGTCTCCTAAGCTTATAGAGCCAGGCTCTTTTACAAGTCCTCCTTAAAGAAAAGATTGCGTTCTATATTTTGCCAAAATCATTTTTGCAACCATGAAAATGTATGTACTATTAAAATGGAATAAGTTATGTAAAATTACTTCAGTTACATTTATAAGATTGAAGACGATAAGGGATATGGAATGGGAGCACAGCTTGCAGGGAAAAGGCAGGTGAAGAGGGACATTGGGGAAGCTGCTTTTATGATCAGTATCTTACCAGTCTTTATGATTGACTTTGTCTTCTCTCCCTCTCCCCCTTTGTTGCCCACAAAAATCAGACTGGTGAAATCAAGTCAGTGGATCCCCGACTGATTCATGTAGTGATGGACACCTCTGCACTGAACGAGGTACACATACTGTGTTGCACCAGGTCATTATATTAGCAATAATGTTTTAAAGATCTCATCTCAAAAACATATTATGGCAGCTGTCTTAAATGTATCTATATTTTCATAGAGCTATTAGTTTGACTTCCCAGTTAAGGCTTCAGTCCGTTACAGACTTAAGTTGAGTAAATTCCATTGAATTCAAGGGACTTATGAATGAGTAGGTATGCATACTATCGTGCTATAAATCTTTTAGGTATCCTGGTCCCAAGCTGTATAGGGTTGTGCACACCAGTACCATCACCTTGCTCCTTGCCTAGTAGCTAATTGGCCCCAGTAGCTAATTGGCACTAGTTGCCCCAGTGAGCAGTCAAGTCACTGCATTCTGCAGTAACTGCAGCTTCTGGGCCAACCTTAGGAGCAGCCCTACTCAGAGGCATAGCAGTACAGTGGTACCTCGGATTACAGACGCTTCAGGTTACAGACTCCACTAACCCAGAAATAGTACCTCAGGTTAAGAACTTTGCTTCAGGATGAGAACAGAAATTGCGCAGCTGCCGCGCGGCGGCAGTGGGAGGCCCCATTAGCTAAAGTGGTGCTTCAGGTTAAGAACGGACATCCAGAACGAATTAAGTTCTTAACCCGAGGTACCACTGTAATAGAGGATAGCAGTGTGTGGACTACAGTGATCATCGTATCCTGGTCCAGAAACAGCCATAGCTGTCTTACCAGCCAAAGCTGGTAAAAAGCATTCCTACTCAGTGAGGTCACCTGACTCTCTAGTGACAGAGATGGATCCAGGAGCCCCCCAAGACTATGAACCTTCCTCTTAGAGTATACAGCTCCATCCAAAGCAGGCAGCTGATGAACTATCTGGATTTGGGAGCCACTCACTCATAGTGCCTCTCTTGCTTTGATTCAGCTCATTTTGTTGGCCCTCATCCAGCCCACAACAAAGTCCAGGCAGTGGTCCAGAGCTCTTGCACAGCCTCTGCTGTTTCAGATGTTACAGAGAAATAGAACTATGTATCATTAGCGTACTAGTGACACCTGACCCCTAAGCCCCTGATGTTTAAAGCAATGTGTTAATTGTTTCATGGCCAGGCTCATTTAAAACCTTTGGCACTGGCTTCTTCTTTGTAGTCATATGTGCTTTTATTTGTTATAGGGAGCTTCTCTAAAGGCAGCAAAATCATCAAAAGGAAAAAAGAAGAGAGAAAGTGTGGAAGGGAAAGATGGACGAAGGAGAAAAAATTCTTCCGATACTGGGTGTGATCATGCAACGAAGAAGCTAAAGGAGAGGGGTGAAGTGGATAGCAATGGGAATGATGGAGGTGAGGCAAATAGGGGAGCTTGGAAAGGATGCAGCAGCAGCGACGTGACTCTGGATCCAAGGGCCAAGCAACTTCCTCCATTTGTCCCTCAAGTTAATCGCAGTATTCGTTTTGCCACATACACCAAGGAGAATGGCCGAACTCTTGTGGTCCAGGATGAACCAGTGGGTGGTGAGCCACCTATGCCCTTTACTTCCTTGTCTTCAACTGCTTCCCAGGCACTGCTGAGTGGCAGTGGTAACCAAGAAATGGCAAAATCATTAGAGCAGGTCAGCCAAGTCCAGGTGCCTGCCCCTGCCATTATTCCTACAGCTGGGCCAACGCCAGCTACTGTGCGGATTCCAGATGCTGGCATGTCAGCAGCTACTGGACAAGAAAAACAGAAGGCAGGCCATTTGCCTGTTCAGGGAGAGGTAAGCCATTTACAGTCAGCAGAGTAGTGATAATACATAGCACATAAATATATATAGCACTTTGTATACCTTGTCTTGCTGTAACTCTTAGAATAGCTGTGTTAAGGCTATGTACAGCTGTACAGTTGGAGCATTGTAGCGGACTTGAGATCCTTACCTGTTATGATTGATGTGGCCATCTAGCAGGATGTGGAATACTACGACTGCAGACTTGTGATCTGGTAGGGTCTTACGTTTTGCTCAGTGTACAGTGTGTTCTTCTCCAAATTTATACATTAGGGAAAGGGTGCTGGGTTTCACAGTAAAGAAAACTTGCATTCATAGCCTCTGGTTTAGTATATCTTTATTGTCCATAAGAACATCCCCCCGCCCCAAAAAAAGTGATTTCTATAGCTACGGGGGGAAGCTCATGGGGAAAATATGGCAACTAAACTTACAAGAGAGATCAGTGTGTTTATATTTTAATCTTCTATAGATAGGCAAAACAATCCTACTTGGTCAAGGGAGAGAGACTCAAAGGCAAACAAAGCACCAAATCCAAAGCCCTGCTGGGCTTTGCAGAAAAGGGGAAAGTGTCATTCCTCTTTTTTTCCTCCTCCACTAGAGGCTTTTTTAAAAAATGATTTTTCCTGCTATTGGGACCATTGGGAGGCACAATAACTACGCTAGCCCCAGGGGTAATGTACTTTCGTCCTGTTTCAGGGGCATGTCGGGATCCAAAGCCTCCCCCAGTCCACCTGCAACACACTCCTCGAATACCCCCTTTTTGCTTTCTCTGCCATCAGAGCAAAAGCAAATGAATGACAGCCATGGAATTTTTGACACTTGCAAGGCAGCCCCACCCATAGCTCTCCCTCTTCCTCACATAAAGGGAGATCTGCAAAGTCCTGGGACCCCTGGGACACCTAGGGACCATAAGATGGTAGCCTAGAGGGAGCAGTCAATAATTTCGGAATGGTTGTTTTGATACACATGTTGCCATTTTAAAGTAACATTTTAGAAATTGAATTTAAAATATTGAATTTCATTTGTTTTTCTTTTCCATTATACCCATTCTTGTTAGCATTTTGAAGCAAGGTTTGCAGAGATACAATAAACTCATTTAAATTTTTGAAAGTTTTAAATTAATTTGGGCAGCCTGCAGAATCTGGGCATTTTGTCTCATGCCTCGACTGTTGTTGTGCAACATGTATATTTCTGATAAAGAACAAGCTGCCAAGAGATACTGCAAAGGCAGTATATTGGGGAAAATAAAGCAGGCTTCGGGAAAGTGTTTTGTCCTCTCTTGGGAGAGGAGAACAACTGACTGGTTTCCTGTTTTGTTTCAGATTTCCCCCAATTCAATGTTGGCTTCATCAGGGTTTGGAGTGGCACACTCAGCTGGTTCCCAACCTGTGGTGTTTGACAGCGGGCGAAGCCAGTCCAATGGAGTAATAGCTCCAGAGAAGAAGCCTGTTGGATTTCCATTTGGTAGTAGCACTGGTCATGAGGTCCAGAAAGACTCTGATTTATCAAATAACTTGTTTTTTCAGTGCATGTCCCAGAATCTTCCCTCCAGCAACTACTTCACAGCCTTGTCAGAGAACCTGGCTGAAGAGCCCGCTAGTCAGGACTCGTTAAAAAAAAATTCAGAGAGCCTGAGTGCGGGCATCTGCAAAGGTAAAGCTCTTGCAGGAGAAGCTAAAGCTGGGACTCAATTGGGCAGTTCTGTGGACCGGAAACTGCCAGCGGAATCTATGCCCACGCTTACTCCAGCTTTCCCCCGAAACATTATGAGTACTCGACCTCCAGAAAATCACGAGAATCTCTTTTTGCAACCCCCAAAACTCTCACGAGAGGAGCCCTCAAACCCTTTCTTGGCATTTTCAGAAAAATCAGAACTCAGTCCTTTCAGCAGCTTCGCCTCTTCCTCTCAGCCAGGAGCAACTGCTACTCCTTCTTCAGTTCTTGGTTCCAAGGCAGCTTCTGGCTGGCCAGATTTGCACACTGGAGCTGACTCTTTAGCTAAAAAGAAAAGCTTGTTTATAACGACTGATTCTTCCAAGATCCTGTCCAGTGCACCTACTTCAACTCGCTTTCCCGGTGTTCAGAGTTCATCTACTCTGGGGAATGGCCGTTCCACCTCACCTATCGGAAGCTTGACACAACCTATTGAAATGCCCACGCTCTCCTCCAGCCCAACAGAAGAAAAGCCATCTGTTGGGCCTGGGCAGCAGGACAATCCTCTTATGAAAACCTTTTCTAATGTGTTTGGCAGACATCCGGCTGGCTTTTTCTCTTCACAGGCAGAGCTGGCACTGGAGAACAAAAACCCCTTTGAAACTGTGAAAAGGTTCTCTCTAGATGAGCGCAGCATGCCGTCTAAGCAGGATTCTGATTCCAGTACCAATAGCGACCTCTCGGATATGAGTGATTCTGAGGAGCAGCTGCACACCAAAGCTTGTCTGAAGGGAATCCCAGAGCATCTGATTGGGAAACTGGGTCCTAATGGCGAGCGGAATGCGGAACTACTAATGGGCAAAGGAAAAGGGAAACAAACCCCTAAGGGCAGGCCTCGCACAGCGCCCCTGAAAGGTGACAGCTTTAAAGGAAGGGTTATTTGAGGAGGGCTGAAGGAGGGCTGCTTTTTGTTCTGTACTTCCATATTATCTGTGCGGTCAGCCGTGTGGTGTGTGACCTTCTGTCAAATATGTCCTCTGTGCATGTAGCCAGAAGCAAGGCATCAGAAGAACACACCACCAACCTGAGAGTCTTACATCTGTCTGCATGTACTTGCAGTTCATTTTTTGGGTGAAAGCATTATCTTGCATTCTTCACATTATAGAAAAATGTTTACTCCCCTATTTTCAGGAAATTATAAATGGATACAATCTGGTTGCTGTCAGAAGTACATGTATGAACTGAATGTTAACTTAGAAGGACTGCTTAGGGAGCACAGCAATGTATGCTACTGTACTAATGTGACTAGATGTTTCTGCATCTTGAAACCCCTAATTAATATTGATACTTTAGAGCAAGTTTAGGAACCCTTGGTATGAATTCTTAAGTCCCATGCAGACTTTTTTTTTTGATGGGAAAAGACTAAATGCAGAGTGGGAGTGGAATCATGCCTGCTCCTGCTTTTGCCTGGCTGAAATTAGGAGTGATAGCCATCTTTACTCAGTTCAAATAGAGCCACTGAAAAATGTGCACAGAGTACTCCCATTGAATCAATGGATAAGTTACTTGAATTTCACTTAACTGCATATTACCTTATGTTTGCTGAAAGGCATGTAAATATGTAGGCCTGATCGAAGCACTGTCTTTGATATGTAGAGATTATCTGTATCAGGCTTGCATGTCCAGGCCCCTATGCTGATGCCCAGTTTACAAATGTCAAGTACAGACAAGTCCAGTCCTGCTCTCTATCAAACTGAACATCGGTACAGTGCTACATTCTATAGGAGTCAGCATTAAATAAGTTCTACTTGGAATTTGACATCCTTTCCCTCTGTTGTTCTGTTGAATGCCTCTAATTGTTAACTTTGCTTCATAGTTGGCCAGTCTGTACTGAAAGACATGAGTAAGGTGAGGAAGCTGAAGCAGTCAGGGGAAGCATTCCTCCAAGATGGCTCCTGTATCAACGTAGCCCCTCATCTGCACAAGTGCCGGGAGTGTCGGTTGGAACGCTACCGGAAGTTCAAGGAGCAGGAACAGGACGACTCCACTGTAGCCTGTCGCTTCTTCCACTTCCGCAGGTAATAAAGCTCCCTGAGCATGTCTTGTTGGTATACTGTGCTTGTTGCTGGTTAATGTGTCACTTGGCTTTTAAATATTTTAAATATTAAGATAATGCTAAGTAATTTCATCTCTTCAAAATTGTACATCCTTGCTGCAATGACAGTTGCAATTCCTGCTGTAGCTTCTGAGGGCTCCTTGCAGGCATAGAACTTTCCATTGAGCAGTGATCTCTGAACCCACTGGCACTTCTGTCCACCTGGTGCTTTTTCTTAGGATCATAGAATTGTAGAATTCAATCCCCTGCAATGCAGGAATCACAGCTAAATAATCCCTGACAGACCTCTGTTTAAAAACCTCCAGTGGAGAATCCACCACCTTCCAAGGTAGTCAGTTCCACACATCATCTGGAAACTGGCCTGTAAAATTGCACCAGAATAACAGGATGGCCATTTAAAGCAAGATTTTAAGATTTAAAAGCAAAAACAAAGATGGATTTTTAATTTAAATACTATGTTTTATATTTTTAAAAAACATTTCAGGTACATTGCACTTTAAAAAAAACACTTTCATTCATATTTTACTATAAAATCATTTAAACAAACTGGTTGAATTTTACACTTAAAACCCAATGCCTCTGTCAGGCATACTGAATTAAAACCTGGTTTTTATATCATAGAACAAACCATGAGATGAGATGAAATATTTTATTTTTGAGGCAAGCAAGCGTTATACTATGGGTACTGCATTATTATGACAATTAAAAAATACTGAGTTCTTACCTGCTAATGTGAGCATTTACTTTCCCTGTTACAGAGAGAGATGGTGTTCTTAAAGTGGTATCTAATAGGCCTCCACTGATAGGAGACTCTTTGATCTCATGTAGGTCCATCAAGGAACAAGGAGGGGGGTGATTTTTTATTATCCCCCCCCTCACTAGCTCTCCTGCACCCCCCCAATCTGTTCTGGAGGATGGGAGGGTGCAGGAGAAAGGGGAAATTGCCTCCCTTCCCTTTCCCCTGGCAGAAGTTCCTGTTGGATCAGAGAGACTCTGGTAGTGATGGGATACCAACTGGATACAATCCATAGTAATTACCCCCCTTACTTTTAAAATGTTCTGGGGAATTGGTCCATGGACCAACATACCCAGCTGTATTGGATTGTGTCTCTTGTGTTAAGTTAACAGTTTTGCTTGCATGCGAGCAGAAAACGAAACAGAAACCTATTAATGACAAAATGTTCCCCCTTTTCTAAACTGATAAAATTGTGTGATACAAAAGGCATGTTGGTTGCATGACCAGAGACCAGAGACTTTGAATTATTCTCATAGATAGTACTGTAACACTAAGTACTGTAGTGTTTGAGCTACAAAACAAGATGTGTTGATTATTATAGCAAATAATAGGTGTGTACTCTTATTCTGGAAATGCTTGTATTTAGTTGGGTTGTATCCAGCTAAATTATTGCATACACAGAAGCTTCCCCCAAGCTGCTGGAGCAGATCTGGGTGTGGTGCAGGAAGGAGGAAAGCTCTGTTGTGGTTGAGGAAGCTGTTCCAGACATGCAATTATTTAGTTGAATGCAGCACCATGATCTACATCCATATTTTTTCTTGGTGATTTAAGCTGCATATTAAAATCACCTTGATTTAAGAAATCCATTCTGAAAAATAGACATCTGTTTCATAAGAGGGTGGTTACATGCAGGCATTTTGGAAACCGTATGAGTCTGGCCTCACAGAGCTTTAGATTTTAGTGTGCATTCATGAAGGATGTTAATTGTATAAGACACTAATATGTAAAAAAGACTAAGTTGCTTGGCAGGATGTCAGTGTTACAGAAATGTGGTTAAACTGGCTTGGAACTAGTTGAAGTGGCAAAAGATCATGGATGCATAAAACCCACAGTGATGCATACCCTGCTTTAAACCATACTTCTCTGTACATATTAGTGCATGTTGTGCTGTTGAGTATCTGTTAACTCATTTGTGATCTAGTGAAGAAAAGCGTGGGGAAAATAGTAATTATTATTAAGAATTTTGCCTTCTAAAAATGGCGGTGTGCAAAATGAAGAAAATAGTTGATTATAATGTTTGTGCATCCTAAATAATATTGCCTCTTTTTGTTTTGTTTTTAAGAATCCCTCTGAGGCAGGGGGAAAGCATTGCTCAATAGCAGGACAGCCGTACATGCAGAAAGTCCCACGTTAAATTTCCAGTTAAGACTAGCCTAGATAATGCGCTCATTTTGTGGGTAGGAGCTGTTTAGGCAGAGTGAGTGAGGTGTTAGCCAAGGCCTAACCATTTTAAGGTAGTTTATATGTTCTCTGAAAGAAATGGTGACAATTTGTTTTGAAATTCAGAGTTCCCCACTTTGTTTGTAAGGAGTACTTGCTTCCAAGCCCACTGCCCATTTATTCCCTGCTCTTTAACCAGTTACTGGACCATAATACGACCTGTCATTTTAATCCCATTATTGCTTTGGTACTCAATAGTTTTTGGTGTAGGGCTTTATCAAAAGTTTCTTGAAAGTGAGTGGAATTGGACTCATCCTGCCCCACGTGCTCATTGGCACTGTCAGATAACTCTAAAAGGTTAGTTTGCAGAAGCCATGCTTGTTATTCAGGAAGACTTGCTCTTTTATATGCTTCGTAATTTTTATCTTTTAGAAATGCTGTCTACCAATTTTTTTCAGAACAGATGTTAAGCCAACCAGCCTCTAATGATACTTTCTAACAAAGGTTTCTACAGCACCGTGTCTTCAGGAACAAATCTATCAATTGTACTAGTTCTAAAGAATAGTCATGGAGGAAACCTCCATTTCATTTGTGTTTTGAAGAGATTGTAGCTAATGTGCTCTTTTAACTAGCTCATAGTTTTGTTTCAGACTGATATTTACTCGGAAGGGTATACTACGAGTAGAGGGATTCTTGAACCCCCAACAGAGTGACACTGACGCTTTGAGCTTGTGGATCCCGTCTACTGCCCCTGCAGAGGGAATTGACCTGGAAACTTCCAAATACATCCTGGCCAATGTTGGAGACCAGTTTTGTCAGTTAGTTATGTCTGAGAAGGAGGCAATGATGATGGTGGAACCACACCGTAAGTTGGTGTTTTCTTTTAATGCGTGTGTGTAACTGGAACTCGATTATTGAAGAAGATACCCAACCCATTACTCTATGGTTTATTCTGCAAGTATTTGAATACCTGCAAGTGTTGAATAGCTAATGGAGTTGCCCTTGTGGAGTTTGGAAGTGGATGGTGGCCTCTTTCTCACATACTAGTTTGTCCAGCCAATGATCTAAAGCAGTGGTTTTCAACCAATGTGCCGTGGTCCCCTGGGGTTCTTTAAATGATGGTCAGGGGTGCCGCGGGCAACACTGGCCTCTATCCCTCTTTCCTTCCCTCTCTCCTCTGACGCCGTCTCACGTCTCTGCTTCCCAAAGGCTTGCTCAGCCGTTTGTTGCAGCTGTCCTGGCTACAAGCTCCGCAGGTGAATGATGCCTCTGGGGCTGACCAGGGGGTGCTGGTTGCCAGAAGTTGAGGTGGCCTCGGAGTAAGCAAGCCAGCCAGTCCACCAGCCCTTGCTGTTGGGAATGGACAGACAAGTTCTAGGCCCCCGTGGGGCAGTGTGAGGAGGCACCTCTCTTTCGAGCAGGGGCGGCAGCTCAGAGACCAGGAGCAGCAGCTGTGGCTGCTCAGAGGACTCCCAAGGAGAGGAGAGAGGGAAGGAGACTAAGGGAGCACTCCACAAGGGAGGGTGTTCAAAAAAGGGTGAGAGGCTGCCAGCTCTGCAGGCAAGGGGTGACATAACTGGGCTCCTGAGCCCCACAGGGCAGGAAGAATGTAACTGGTCAAGGGAGCCATGCACTGAAAAAGCTTTAAAACCTCTGATCTAAAGGATAGTGATATTCATTTTTCTTTTACATATCACTTTTCTGGAATGTATGGAATTTATGAAAATGTCTTAATAAATCAAACCTTGGCCTACTAATCTGTTAGAGGACCAATTTTCTTAAGTCCCATTTTTGCATTATATGCTGTTAAGGAAATTACTCCCACATAAGTCTTCATATAAAGGAATCTCTTAAAAATTGGCAATAAGAGTATAGGAAAAGCCCTGCAGGATCGGACCAAAGGCCCATCTAGTCCAGCATCTTGTTCTTACATTAGCTAAACAGATGCCTGTTGGAAGCCCTCAAACAGTACCTGAGTACACCACCACTTTCTCCACTTGTATGCAATTGGTATTCAGGGATATGTCGTCTCCAACAGTGGAGGTGGAACATAGCCTTCATAACTAGTAGCCACAGCTAGCCTTACCCTCCATGAATTTGACTAGTCCTCATTTAAAAACATCCAAGTTGGTGGCCATCGCTGCATCTTGGAAACACCCCCCCCCCATGGTCTCCAGAACTATTGCATGAATTATCCTGAATCCAATACTGTAGATGTATGAGACTGAGGCCTTTTCTGGAGTTTCTCAAACTCTTGTCTCTCAATACTACCATCACTTCTCTCTCTCAAACACGTTTTCATTTTGAATTTGAACCACTTTTAAGAAATTATTGTAAAACCAAGAAATTGTTGTAAACCAACTTTACAGCATGGTTGTAAAGTATAATCTGTTAACATGTGCCTCCTTGATTTTATTTATTTTAATAGAGAAAGTGGCCTGGAAGAGAGCTGTACGCGGAGTGAGGGAGATGTGTGATGTATGTGAAACAACACTGTTCAATATTCACTGGGTTTGTCGCAAATGTGGCTTTGGGGTGTGTCTGGACTGTTACCGTCTCAGAAAAAGCCGTCCACGCAGTGGTGAGTACTTGTTATTTGTCCAAGAATGCTGCAAAGTTTAGATGGGCGTTCTGCTTTTGGTGGTAGGATTGGGGAGGAATTGTTCTGTGTGAAGGCTAAGTGATCAGTTTGCTGTGTTGCTAGATAAGATAAAGGATGATATGGATTGAGAGTATTGGCCTAATTTCCTCGGCTGCTGCTTCATCCTCCTGCTTCCTCATGGCAGCATAATACAGAATTATCTTCTATGTTGAGCTTAGCCATGCCTTCAAGAACAGGGATGGCATGTATAGGATCATCATGTAGAATGAGGACAGTTGGAATAAGGAAGAACATAGGGAATTGCAGGTAAAATTCCTAATCTTGCACTAGGGATAGCTTAAAGAATTCACCAATGTGTTCTTAAGGAACTTTCAACGTGGCACAGTTGACCTTTGGAGTAAAGCATGTCATCTAATTGCTAAAATAGGCCTTTAGTTATTTTCCAAGTGTCAGGTATTACCATTAAAAAAACCCAAGGTTTGGGATATTACAGACCCATCAGCCAGGAGCTAAGAAGGTCTTGTATTGAAATAACTTTGGGTTCTTCCATTTCATGTTTCTTTACCGGGTGGGAGAGCAAGGGGGAGGTGTGTGAATCTCTCTCACCCAGCCTCCCTGGAGACAATTCTGAAGAAAAATAACTTCTGAACAGGTTACAGAAGGCTTTATGGTTGTGATTCATATAACAATCCTTGGTCATGCATAATTTTGCAATGCTCTAGGTGTGCTTTTGCTAGTAAAATTGAAGCCCTTGCTGGAGTAGTTTTTACTTCATTAGAGAATGCAAGCCCTTTCAATGCTTTGAAACTAAAACAGGAACTGTGTGCTGACTAAGGACAGATTGGAACAAGGGTTTCTGTCTGATTTTTCTATTTTGTCCTGTGAACTGTCCCAACCTATCATGTCTTTTATAAAAAGGAAAATGAATATAATGTTTGAGGCAGGATGTTCCATATTTAAGAGGTAATGTGATAATCTAGCAGAAAAGCAAGCATAAGGCTGCACAAATACACGTAATTGATACACATATAGATTATGGATGCACAAGCACATTACTGAAAGGAGTTGTGGAGAGTTTCAACAGAGCTTGAAAAAACATCTTCCAGTGTGGAAATAGGACAGAATATTGATTCTAGGTTTGTGTGTTCATGTTTTAATCTTGCATACCTAACATTTGATGCATTGACACACCTTTCATTAGCACAGCCTTCATTACCCCTCCAGCTGTTTTGGACTGAAACTCCCATCCAGCTGCAACTGTCTCTGAAGGGTTTTAGTAGCACATTAAGCACCACAACAGACGGCTGTTGCATGTTTTGTTTGACTATGAAGAGAGTGCTCAGCAAAACCTGCCACCTTTGAATTTATTAGTTTGAAGCCGTTGTAGTACTAGAACATGCAAGCAAGCATTTAGAAAGTTAAAAGATCTAATTGTCTTTCTATTTCAGAGACAGAGGAGATTGGTGATGAAGAGGTTTTTTCATGGTTGAAGTGTGCAAAGGGACAGTCGCATGAACCAGAGAATCTCATGCCAACACAGATAATCCCTGGCACAGGTGAATCTATGTCCCATCATGTCTCTCTTCTTTGACAGATTTTATCCTGCTTTTCAGCCACAAAGGTTCCCAGATCAGCTTGCAAATACCAATAATAAGATGTCCTTCTCTCAGGCTTACAATCTAAAAGACAAGGGGAAAGAGTTGGAGGGAGGAGGAGAACAGCAACCTTGGGCATGAGTTCATAGTAACAAATTTCTTATCACAATCAGCAGGAATGGAGAACAGTTTGCTGACAGGAGCAAAAAGTCGCTGCTCTCTTAGCTGTGCCAGTGGCATGGCTCTGCTTCCCTCATTTTCCTCCTCTCTGCTACAACAGTTGGTGGAAGCAGTGGCCTAATGGTGCTGTCTTCTCAGCTGAGCTTTGTAGGATCCTGCTTCCCTTCACTCCCTCTCTTACAGCCTGAGGTAATGACTGTTGCCAGGTCCTCGTTAGGTCGTGGTTCGTTTCTGCCATCAGATCCAGCCAGGTGGATTCATTATTTGAATGCATTTTTGTAACAAGAGTGCACCTGCAGTTGCAGAGTTCTCATCGCTTACAAGGATGCTTATTAGGTTATTAAAGCTACTTGAGGCAGCTGTTAAAGAGAGTGTCCTAACAATTAGTGCCATTAATAGTATTGTCACAACAAAGGTAATGATTTTTATGCAGACAGAGGGTCTCCCTTCCCAGCCTAAAAGCCATACAGTGGTACCTCGGGTTACATATGCTTCAGCTTACATACGCTTCAGGTTACAGATTCTGCTAACACAGAAATAGTACCTCGGGTTAAGAACTTTGCTTCAGGATGAGAACAGAAATCATGCTCCGGCGGCGCGGCAGCAGCAGGAGACCCCTTTAGCTAAAGTGGTGCTTCAGGTTAAGAACAGTTTCAGGTTAAGAACGGACCTCCAGAACGAATTAAGTACTTAACCCGAGGTACCACTGTACTCTTAAACATAGGTTCACGCTTGTAAAAAGCCTAGAAGATCTACCATTTCAGCTGTAAGAAAGATACCAGTCCCTGCATTTTAAGACTTTCAGATTTTGTTACAAAATTTGATACTAAGGTTTCTCACTTTTCAGCACTGTATAGTATTGGAGACATGGTTCATGCAGCCCGTGGCAAATGGGGAATTAAAGCCAACTGCCCATGTATTAATCGGCAGAATAAATCTGTGCTGCGACCTGCTGTCACCAATGGAATTTCACAGGTATGTGAACTTTTATTACGGCCGAAATCTCTTATGTGATCCTGATAGAAATTGTCTACTTCCTCTAGGCATCCTGACCTGGGCTGTTGTTTTTAAAAAGAGTTGTTGGTATTTTGTGTGTTGAAATATTTTTTTGCTATTGCTTTGTGCAATTTGAAGTGCTATGTTAATGAAAATGCAGATTATAAAGAAAAAGCCATTACTAAAGATGTGGTATTTCATACTTATTTTGCCTTTTTACATGGCCTTAGATAGTATGTCTACCAGTGGAATATTTATTTTTTTCTGAGTTTGGAATATACACAACCTGTTAGTGTCAAATGTTTTTTTGTTTGTTTTTGAAATTTGAAAGAATAATAATGTACCCTGGTCTCCTTATCTAATATATTTGCTTGTATCCAGAATAAGCTCATGTAATGGGTTCATGGAAGCTAAGTCCCCCATCCCACTATTCCCAATTGCAGCCCTCCACCCCAGTGTTCTGCCAAGGGTTAGGGAGACCCTTCTGAACTGGGGGGAAGATGGACTCCCTTAAAATATTTTGAGTTTGTCTCATGCTTGTGTCTAGTCTTAATATTGCTGGTTTTAAAAAAACTTTACATTTGTCTCAGTTGTTTAAAGAAATACCGTATTTTTCGCCGCATAGGACGCACTTTTCCCCCTCCAAAAATGAAGGGGAAATGTGTGTGCGTCCTACGGGGCGAATGCAGGCTTTCGCTGAAGCCTGGAGAGCGAGAGGCATCGGTGCGCACCGACCCCTCTTGCTCTCCAGGCTTCAGGAAGCTATCCGCAAGCCTTGCAAGCCCGGCGGGAGTTCCCGCGGGCTCACAAGGCTTGTGGGCAGCAGCCTGCCACCCGAAGCACAGGGAGCCCTCCGGAGTGCTCCCCGTGCTTCGGGCGGGTGTCCGCAAGCCTTGCGCGCCCGGCGGGAGGTCCTGCCAGGCGTGCGAGGCTTGGGACGGCAGCCACGGCTGGGGGGGTTAATAATTTTTTTTATTCATTTCCCCCCCAAAAAACAAGGTGCGTCCTATGGGCCGGTGCGCCCTATAGGACGAAAAATACGGTACTTAAGTTTCAGTTACCACATTTTGACTTCCCCACGTGTGATCCTCTGTTTCAGCAGCTTCCCAGTATGAATCCCAGTGTATCCACACCTGCAAATGAAAGCGCTTTCTCCAGTGGCACAGGGACAACAGAAGGAGGGCAGACGGACACTAATGTTATTCCTAAGTCAGAAGCTACAGAGGACAAAGCTGAGGAGCCTATAAAGACAGAGGCTCAAGGAACCAGTAACAGTGGGGAGACAAAACCTAACAAGTCACTATGTCCAGAAACAAGTCCCTCCTCAGCACTGCATTGGCTTGCAGATTTAGCAACACAAAAGGCAAAAGAAGAAACAAAAGGTAAGTTCTTGGGGAGCTGAAGATTTTTGCTAGAGAGCTGATTATCACCCTGGAGAGAGAGGGATGTTTTTGAAGATGAGAATTTAGAAGACCGAAAAAACCAGGGACACTCCAAGATGCCTGCTTTTTGCATGTCAAGACACATTGTTTTAATTCTCTTGATGTTCATAAGCCACACTGGGACATCTCTCTTTCTTAACCCAAATGGCAAACAGATAGTTCTGTGAAGTTTCAAGCATGTTGAGGGATTATTTTTGGGTACTTAGCTATTCAGGGATGTTTAAAAGATTACAGCACTAATAAAACAAATGCAGCATGTCACTTTCACATACGCTGCAACTGCATTGGAAAAATTACTTTTTAACATCTGTTGTAATTTCACAAGTGCTGACATCATTTATTTGATGTGAGGGGAGTCATATCACATGGAATTCCATGCCTGTCTGAAAATTTGGTAACTATCCAAACAGTAGTATTGCACCTGCATTTCAGATAGAATTGTAGAGTTGGAAGGCACCACAAGGGTAATCTAGTTAACCCCCTGCAATGCAGGAATCTTTTGTCCAACATGGGCCCAAACTCACAACCTTGAGATTAAAAGTTATTCTGGACTAACCTATCTGTTTTGGCTTTGTAAAACTGATACATAATTACTTGGTTTTGACCATTTCTTAGGCCATCTTAGTACATCTTAAACTGGTAAAGAACTTGCGTAAAGGTGGGGTTTGGGTTTTATTTTGCTTGGATTTCATACTGAGACCGCCTTACTGCATTTTTTCCACATGTGTTTAATGATCAAATGTATGAGTGGCTGGTATCTGGACAGCTACTAGAATTTTTTTGTAAATCTTCTGGAAGATTTGTGTCCTAACAAATTTAAACTGTTGCCGGCTGGAGCATCGCTAAACCTTTGAAGGTCACACATAAAACACTGGCCCTTTGACATTAAGACATTCTATTCCATTCTATTCCATTAGTATTTATGCAATCTTTTATTTTCTCCTTCCTCTCATACTTGCTATCTTTTCCCAATTACAACTGCTATTTTGGCTTACTTGTTTTGTGCTCATAAATATTGTAGTGGTAGTTATGATAAGTTTGAGCTTATGAAATCTCTTGTTACAATTCATAGCCTCACTTCCCTCCTCTGTGATTGTCAAAATACTTGCTTTTGGGGGGGGGGGAATATACGTCTTCTCATGGTGCCTTTTTTGCTTTTTCACAGAAGCTGGATCACTGAGGTCAGTGCTCAATAAAGAATCTCAATCACCTTTTGGATTGGATTCCTTCAACACCAATGCAAAGGCCTCCCCTTTAACTCCAAAGCTTTTTAATAGTCTCTTATTGGGCCCAGTTGCCTCAAGCAACAAGACAGAAGGTTCCAGTCTTCGCGATTTGCTTAACTCTGGGCCTGGAAAGCTTCCTCAGGCTTCACTTGATACAGGCATCCCTTTTCCTCCTGTCTTTTCTGGAGCTTCCACTGTAAGTAATACTATTTTTGTTTAGAGGTATAGATAGTTGCTTCTTTAAAGTGGTATGATCTCTTTCTTCGGGAGGAAAACCTATACCGAATTTTTCAAAATAAGATTTATTTAGGCGTTTTATTGTTTGTCCACTGGCCCAAAGGTGGGTTCGTGGGAGTGGTTTGGCTCAAGTATACCAAAGAAAGATTTAGAAAATTCCAGAGTGATCAATTCTGGTCCTTTATTATAAGAAGGAAATGTAGACTTACAGTGGAGCCTTTACAGACCCAGTGAGAGGTTGCCATGAGTAATCCGCACCCAAGCAAACATTTATACATTCTTTATTCACCAGCACTTCGGCCAAGACTTCCCATCATTTCACCTGAGCAGATGAGGGCATAAGTGGCAAATATCCAAATCTTACAGATAGTTCCCCTTTCTGGCCCCAAGCCCACAGATGAACAAGCCAATTAGCTTCTATCAAAGCAAGTGAATGTAAACATACAGTGGTGCCTCGCAAGACGAAATTAATCTGTTCCGCGAGTCTCTTCGTCTTGCGGTTTTTTCGTCTTGCGAAGCACGGATATTAGCGGCTTAGCGGCTATTAACGGCTTAGCGGCTATTAGCGGCTTAGCGGCTATTAGCGGCTTAGCGACTTTAAGAAAAAGGAAAAGAACTCGCAAGAACTCGCAAGACGTTTTGTCTTGCAAAGCAAGCCCATAGGGAAATTCGTCTTGCGGAACGACTCAAAAAACGGAAAACTCATTCGTCTAGCGAGTTTTTCGTCTTGCGAGGCATTCGTCTTGCGGGGCACCACTGTATATGAGCTCATAGTTACAACAACTACCAATTAACTGTGGTGTTATCTTGACTACCAAGATGGCGTTTGGAGAGCTTCTGGAACAGTTCCCCTTTGGTTCAACACATTGTTATTCTTTCCTTGGCATTGTTTTAGCCACTTTAGTGTGCTAACTTTTCTAGAAAGTGTTTAGTTGGTTGAAAGATCGGAATCTGTGGCACAGGCAGTATATTCTAATTCTTTACCCAAGACCTGGGTTGCTATGTGGATTTGTGTCTTCTAGGGTGCTAAGAATAAGGCCAGCTTGCCAAATTTCCTTGATCATATTATTGCCTCAGTGGTGGAAAATAAGAAGACGTCTGATGCTGCCAAGCGAGCAAGCAACGTGGCTGATACTCAGAAAGAAGTGAAAGAGATGGTAATGGGATTAAATGTGCTGGACCCACACACTTCCCATTCTTGGCTCTGTGACGGAAGGCTTTTGTGTCTCCATGACCCCAGCAATAAAAACAACTGGAAGATCTTCAGGGAGTGTTGGAAACAGGGCCAGGTAAATAAAAAGTTTGTGTGGACATCCTTTCTGCCTATGGCAATATTTTCATTGTACCTGAAACAAACTAGCAGCTATTTAATGATACTTATGTTGGTGCAGACTTTGTTAGTAGTTTAAGGTTGAAGGACAAAACACAGTTAATGGCACTCGTCTATGTGTGATACAAGCACAAAAATTCATTTCTGGAACAGGACGTGGTACCCTTAGAACCCTGGGATTCAGATAAATTACAGCAACAAGTTTTGGGCCCTTATGGTTGGGAAATTGAGCTAGATAGAATATGGATAATGCCATTCAGAACTTGGCTGGGTTGACCAGGATTTCCAGCAGCCAGAAGCTTAGAATTCAGTGCTTCTGTTAAAAAGGTAAATATATTGGGTATTATCAAAAGATGGCCATCAGCCCATAGATTTCAATTTGTATAAAGCTAGAATAGCTTTTCTTAGCACAGAAGTTGGACTTTGATTTTTTAATCCATACATAAATTTACGAAACCTACCAAAATATTAGAAATACATAACCTATAACAACATATAATAGTCTTAAAATTTATCACTATAAGGTATTACCTACTTAATTTGAATTTACATTATTTAATTTTTCTTTTTTATATTGCATTTATACAAAAGGATATCTTAGCAACCAGAGCATATCTGTTATTACCTCTATTTTGTTGTTTCATACAATCAGTGACTTCCATAGTTGCTTCTGTTTCTGTTGGTGCCTGTAATTATTTTTGCTGCTGTTAAAAGGTCTACTAATTCTGAACGCTCCCTCCTTATAACTTCTTTAAGGCAGCCAAGTAAAATATACAGAGGATTAGTGGAGAATATATGTTCATTTTGTTTATCTGAGTTGCAGCCTTCCTGCAGAAATTGTTGTTGTTTTTCTTCTTAAACAAGTCCATCATTTAGGAATCCATTTTTTAAAAACAACGACAACAGCTTGGTCCTTTGCCAACATTTCCATCTCTTACATTTTCAGACCAGAAAATCTTTAACGAATAATATTGGAAACATAGTGGTTTCTTATTTTCATTTTGTCTGGCTATATTTTTATGAAAGATTATAAAGTAGTATATTTAAAAAAATGCCTTCTACGAGTTGTCATTTTGGAATAATACCTCCTCTTTCTTTTCACAGCCTGTTTTAGTTTCTGGTGTTCATAAGAAGCTGAAGCCTGAACTCTGGAAACCAGAAGCCTTTAGTCAAGAATTTGGAGATCAGGATGTAGATCTGGTCAATTGTAGGAACTGTGCCATAATCTCAGATGTGAAAGTGCGTGACTTCTGGGATGGCTTTGAGGTCATTTCTAGTAAGTGCCACCTAATTCTGTTGATATTACTTGTGAAAGGTTATCTATCACATCAGTGTAGTCTCTGCCCCAACTTATGACACTATTAATGTCATAGCTGAACAGGAGATTTAAACCCAGATCTCTCATTATGGATTTAGGTTTCATTCTTCCCTCCCCTACTCCCAAAAAATCCTGAAGATTTCATAGGAAAAGCAAACTAATAGCAATAGAACAACATACAAGCCAAGTAAAACTATTTCTTTTCAGAACGTCTAAGATCTGATGATGGACAGCCCATGGTACTGAAGTTAAAGGACTGGCCTCCGGGAGAAGATTTTAGAGACATGATGCCGACAAGGCAAGATCCCTTGTTACTCTGGGTCTGGGCCTCTGTGAGAATTGTTGGTGTTCTAGCAATGTATTCTTCTTGCCTTTGCCAGTGTCTAACATGGTACTTGCCCTTTTCAGGTTTGAGGACCTAATGGAGAACCTTCCTCTCCCAGAGTACACTAAGAGGGATGGAAGACTGAATCTGGCATCAAGGTTGCCAAGCTACTTTGTACGACCAGATCTGGGTCCCAAAATGTACAACGCATATGGTATGTAGACCAGGAGAGCATAATTTTGTCCCTACTCATAGTTTGTGTCTTATGAAAGTATATGGACTGAGAAGTAAATGAGTTAGATGGATTATTACCCATGTTAGTCATAAAATTAATTTGTTTCCTTTAAATCTGTTTGCTTCTAATTAAAAGTATAATGTCATTAGAAGTGGAAGATAATTTGGTAATTGTAGACTAAATGGAATCAGACAGTGTTGTCAGAATCAAAGAGAACTTTGTAAAATGAAATGATGCTGTGCAAATCAGGTAAGAGAACTCAAGGACCCATGCCCATCAGACTGAAGGGCAGATGAGTTTTTACACTACTTTACGTATCCATATTCAGTTGCATCCATGTGCTCTTAATCTGTAAAAGGACTGTTTTCATCTGCTCATCCCAGTGAGAGAAGCCCCTGAGAATCGCTGTGATCAGTTTGGAAAATATTTTGCAGATAAAATCACTCACATCTGCTCCAGCTTGGATTCCAGTGTTGGTGCAGATCTGGGTATGGGATTCAGGAGCATCTGCCTGTCCAGTTTTGATGAGCAGGTTTCAACTACTATTTTCCAAATAAATGGATGTGATTCTTGGGAGAAGAATCCTCAACCCTTGTCCATCTTGGCTGGTAAATCTGCCTGGCCCAAGTTCAATAAGCTTTTGTTGGCTGTAAATAGATCACAGAAGAAGGGGCTATTTCCTTAAGGGGCTAAAGGAAGCATTGATCGTCAACTCTGGAAACATGTTTTGATGCCCCCTTAGCCTTGGGAAAACCTGATGTTTCAGAATAGACTTTGTTATTGGCTGAAGGTGATTGGCCTGGATTTTCCTTTCTGCTGGTGTTTCTAGGACACCTATTAAGAGCTGAGTCCTTAGTGGTTTTTCTGTGTGCATTTTATTTTTATCAGGTTGTGTGCCACATCGAGTGTGGTAGTGGCTGTGATAAAAAATATTCAATGAAGTGCATTTGTTGATTTGAAGCAGTGGACCATATCATCTGTTTGTACTAAGTGCTGCAATTACAAAGTGATAGGGAGTTTGCACCTTAAGTCTGGCTCCTTTTATAGTTAAACATGCATAGCAGATGCCCTTATGATGCCCTCCAGATGTTGCTGGACTACATACCCCTTCATTCTTGACATTTGACCTTAATGTCTGGGACTGGTGGGAGTTAAGAATCCAGTAACATCTGAAAGACATCATGTTGGCTACCCTTGATATCTAATCAGCAGAGATCAAGTATCTCTGCTACTGTTCACATTATCATGGCTAATAGCTGAATATTCTCTGTGTGGTGATATACTTTGAATGTGGCATAAAAAAGCATACCTATAACAAGCAGCTTCAAGCTTGCTGTCATTGTCTCTTTCGTAGGACTGATAACGGCAGAAGACAGAAGAGTTGGTACAACCAATCTGCATTTGGATGTGTCAGATGCCGTTAACGTCATGGTGTACGTTGGAATTCCCATCGGGGAAGGTTCTCATGATGATGGTAAACTTCTAAGATGATCTTTTTCAAGGTTTAACTTAACTTCTGAATCTCCCCCTAGATATGCAAAATATTGCTTATATTAGGCCTGCACCATTTAATTTCTTTTTGTTTTGATTTCTTCTCTGTTCTTGTGTTGCTCTTTGCACATTGGTAATGCATATGAACAAAGGTAATCAGAGGACAAAAAAGGTAGTTCAGCTGCAAACTGGAATGCCTAGTCATGTGAATTTACTCATGAGTAGATGTATCAGTTTCTCTTCAAATAAGATACCTGTCTAATAATCATGCGGAACATTATAATAAGCAGAGTACTGCTTTGAGGCGCTAACTCTGCCAGGATGAAACTTGGATGTGGAGTCCTGATTGAAAGTATCACCTGTGCACAAATGCAAATATCACCAGTTTAATGCGTTTCTTAAGTTATATATTTGTGATATATGGATAGTGCAAACATAATATATGATTTTTAGGCATACATAAGCACCCTTGCAGGCTTGAAATGATGTGCTCTTGACAAAGGGAACAAATTTAGTGCTTTTTCCAGAATTATGAAAGATCATATGATTTGGTCCTTTCGAATTTCCTAACTGTCCTGTAACATTAAGTAGGATAACTTTCTTAGATAATTTCTTATGGCTGTAGTTTTGTGCTTCCTTGAATTCATTTGATTGTTACACATTACACTAGAAAGCCATGCAACTTACTGATGTGAATTTCAGAGGTGCTGAAAACGATTGATGAGGGAGATGCTGATGATGTTACAAAACAGCGAATCCATGAAGCAAAGGAGAAGCCTGGGGCACTATGGCACATTTATGCTGCTAAGGATGCTGAGAAGATCAGGGAACTTCTTCGCAAGGTGTGATGGTTGGATGTTTCAGGAGTTTAATATTTCACACATTATTCTATACTTTCTGATAAAACTTGTGTCCCAATATTTTAATTAGACTGCCCTAAAAACCTTGTTGAAGAGCGGGGTATTAATGCCCTAAATAGTCTGGGAATGGACTAGGGCAGCTGTAATATCTGCTGTGAGATTTGGATTTTTTCCTATCATACCTGCTTATTGCCTCAAAATCCACCTTAGCCAAAGCTAAGAATTTCATCATAAAGTAACTTGCGGTTGTTTGCTGAATACAGATTAAGAAGAAATCTGCAAGTAGGGAGCATTAAACTCTGATACATTTGTATTAGGTTGGTGAAGAACAAGGACAAGAAAATCCTCCAGATCATGACCCAATCCATGACCAAAGCTGGTACCTGGACCAGACCCTCCGTAAGCGTCTGTATGAGGAGTATGGAGTACAAGGCTGGGCAATAGTGCAGTTCCTGGGAGATGCTGTATTTATTCCTGCAGGGGCCCCTCACCAGGTGAGTGTGGAGTGCTAGGGCCCAAAAGAGCAGGGTAAAAACTTAAGAACATAAAACAAGTTGTTCATGAAGCGTTCCAAAAAGAGCACAACTTTAGAATGTGACAGGTAACAGAATTTTCAGAAACACTGTACAATTGGTTAGGTTGGTTTTCCTGAGCTTTTTCTGTTGGGGGGCGGGAACAAGTTTAGAGTACTGAAAACCTGCTGACTGTGCTTGGTGAAATTCCAGAAGCTGAAATAAGCACTGAGAGAACTCTAGTTTTCAGAAGTGTCAAGTTTCAGTACCTTACTATAGAGTTCCATGTCTACTATTCCTGGGTCTCAAGCTCCATATGTTTTTCTCAAAAATTTATTCCAGTTCTTGAAAGGGTTGGGGGTGGTCCACATTCCTTGAATACTGGAAACTTGAATAAATAATTAAAAGTAAAATATTAGCATATGCGCTTAGCATGTTTAGTTTAGTGTAAATTCACTATCTGGGATTCTTAGGTGAAGCAATAAAATGCTTGTTGTAGATTCTGGGTGCAGCTGGTTATTTGAGTCTAGCAAGGATTCAATAACTTTGTAGTGCCTAGCCACCCAGGTGTGAACCAATAATTTGTTTTCAAACTAAAACTGTTCCCTCATCCCAGCTCTGGATCTTGTCTGCTTGCTGCAGTTGTCTCCTTTTATTACTCTTATACCAGAAGTGTGGTACCTATGGTGCTCTGAATATTGTTCAATCCTATCAGCTCCACCCAGCATGACCAGTGGTCAGGAATTACTGGAGTTGTAGTCCACAAACACGTGGAGAACTGTGGGTTCCTCATTCCTGTTTATACCACTAAACTCCTGAGTATTCTGTGAGCAGAAGAACAGAATATAAATATGTTAAATAAGAATTCAAACTTCATTTACAGTGCAATTCTCCTTGCAAATTTTATCATGCACATCATAAAGCATAGGTGTACACTAAAGTGGTGATAATTATTTCTGCATGATTGCCAGTTGTTTCAGGAGGCAGTTAAGCAGCAGATGTCAACTTTGTTTGGCCTAATATGCCAAGATATGCACAGGCCTTCTGCTCTCACACGTAGCCTCCTTTTTCCTTCAGTTTGCAGAACACAGCAATTAAACTCAGAAATCCACAGTTAACCAGAGCTTGCTGTTCATCTGAACCTGGAAACTGACTCGTGCAAAGTGGCCCCACTAAATTATTCCAGTTTTCCTATGCTAGTCCAGTGAGTCTGTCCGTTTTCAGGAGCAGTTTATGGAGGAGCAGTGGGCCTTGGGGGTGGGGAGCCATAAAGCCCTGTTCCAAGAGTCGTCCTCTGGATTGAACCCTGTGCCTACCAGTTTCAGAACAGGGCAGGATTTTAAGCCACTATTTAAATATCTTTGTTTCTTCTGAAGCTGGTAACCATAGTTTCTTGGTTTGGATGAAAAAGGAAGTTGGTTAGTTGGAGACTTGCAAGTTGGAGATTGCAGAACGTCATAATGAGAGGAGTCAGGAGGAGTGTGTGCATGGGAGAAGGTTTCTGTGCATCCTGACTTATTTAGCTGAGAGATGATCATCTCACCATTTGGTCATCTCACCATTTGGTCATCATTCAAGGGTTAGTGAGAAATTTGTTTTCCAGAGTGATCCGTCCCACTCCTAACTTTTCTTACCCAACACTGTTTTTTTATTATCCCTATCTTCATTGTGAAGAACTGTTTTTCTCCACTCTTGTTTTCTCGGTTTTCTTGATCTTGGTTATTATTGTCATCTTGGTCTTCCTTTAAAAGTATTAACTTGAAGCCTCATCATTTTTTAAAATATAAAATGACCCTAGAAAAAATAATCACACATTTCCCACACGATCTGGCCTGATTGATGAAACACTGTTATTTGACTCATAGTGCGAAGTCATTATTTGAATGGAAGGCAGTTTGGAAAACTTACTTTGAACATCTGATCTCTTTCTATCTGTTAGATGTGGCTCATGAACACCTTGAAATAGCATTTACCAATCTTATTTATACTGCAGAAAGCAATATTTTGAATATATATTGGATTGTTGAGTTTTGATGTTTATCTAGCACCCGGTTCTGCTGCTTATTTTTTCAGGTTCATAATCTGTATAGCTGCATTAAAGTAGCAGAAGATTTTGTATCTCCAGAACATGTGAAACACTGCTTCCGCCTAACCCAGGAGTTCAGGCACCTGTCTAACACTCACACAAACCATGAAGATAAGCTGCAGGTAAGCATCTGTTTTCATGGAACAACCTCTAAAGCACATATCAGATTTGGCAGAAAGTACAGTGGTACCTCGGGTTACATATGCTTCAGGTTACATACGCTTCAGGTTACAGACTACGCTAACCCAGAAATAGTGCTTCAGGTTAAGAACTTTGCTTCAGGATGAGAACAGAAATCGTTCTCTGGTGGCGCAGCAGCAGCAGCAGGAGGCCCCACCACCTAAAGTGGTGCTTTAGATTAAGTACGGACCTCCGGAACGAATTAAGTACATAACCCGAGGTACCACTGTATTTGCAAAACTGCATAGGGTTAAATTTGACTAAAGTTATAAGCTAGCTGCTGGTCATGTTAGCTAGGGCTGCCATACATTGGCAGGGGGGTGAGGAATTGACGCATGGGAGGGAATTTCCGAAAGGTGGTGCTTTGTCCTGAATCTTAGGCAAGTCACTTGAAATATCATGGGGGGTTTTGGCATTTTTTTATTTTAAAAAATCAGTGAACTTGGGTTTTGTTTACTTTTTGAAATATGGCAACCCTGTGTTAGCAGAATGAATTCTTATAAAGTGGGTTGAACCTAAAGAAGGAGAAGAAGAACTCCACTGGGGCTTTCCTGTTTCCTCTTCACTGTAGCCCCCTGCACTTTGAAAAGACCCCTCTTGATGCTCTGGAATGGCTTGCAGTAGGTCATAAGGAAGGCTGCCTTGTGGGGGTGCTTTTCCACTAACACACTATACTTTGGGATGCAATCCAACTTATATCAGTATCAAAGGCTTAGCCTGTTGCTAGGAAAAGATCATCATAGTAGATGTGTACATGTTTTGCCAAAAAAGGGGGGGAGGGCAATTATGGGGTTCTCCTGACTTTGGTTTGAGAGTAGGGAGATCAGCATTCATATTGGAATGTAATATTTTATTGGATGCTTTTCGAGTTTGATCCAGTATCCTTGTAAGAAGTATTAGCAGCTCAGACATCTTCCCATATTCATTTATGAATACAGTGAATTAATAATTGAGAAACTCTGGCGTGTCTTACATAGTAGATGGAAACGACTGTTCAGAGTTTTGATTTTCAGTGTCTTCATTTTCTTCTGTTTGCAGGTGAAGAACATTATCTACCATGCAGTGAAAGATGCTGTTGGCACACTAAAGGCTCACGAGTCCAAACTGGCTAGGTCGTAGGAACTGGTGATTCCAAACACCCCCCCTCTGGAGTCATTTTTTTGCTCACAGTATAGAAGGGGAGCGCACATACCTGCCTGTGCAGGAGCCAGACGCTTCTCACTAAGAGATGCCATGGCATTCATTACACTCTCCAGCCACCGTCTTCTATGCTGCCTCAATACTAAGGAAACTAAAGGAAGGTCACTATAACATGCAAAGTTTCCCACCTAATGAAAGGTGCTGTGTCCCTTTCCTGTGGCCTTTTGCAAATTTAAATTGTATGGAAACCATGTGGTGTTCCTGCCTATTATGAATAGAACGTGTGAACCTTTTTCATGCCTAGTTAGTCTTTCCAAGAAGTTAGAAAGAATGATGTGAAGATGGACATTCTCTTGCAGACTTAAGTAGCCAACTCTGAAAGAGTGTGATCACCAGGAGCCCAGCTGCTGAAGCAGGTCCTCCTGAGTCTGACACAGGCCAAGGAAAGAAAGATGTTCTTCATGCTCCCTTTTTAAGAGTTCGCTATACACTGTAGAAACACAGAATCGCAGAGAGAAACCACTTTTTCCCTGATGGCTCCAGGATTTAAAAATGTGTATTTAGTGAAAAACTAGGTTTGTAGTGAAACAGTATTTCATGAAAGTAGATATTTTTAGAATTTGAAATACCACAACTGTTCCTGGGTTACAAGGAAAGGCACATTGTGTTTAGTCTTCCTTTCAGTAAAACCTTTCAAGAAATGGTTCTTAGAAATAAATCCAGAATAGCACAATTGGCCAGAGGAGAGCTAAAAGAAATTGACTTCCAACACCAGTTTCCACAAATGCAAGGGGGGGAAAGAACTTTTATGTTTTGGAGATGTTGTACATCTCTCCCTAAACTGGCAAACCAGGTAATAGTTCACCAGTTGTCAGTTCTAGATTGGGACTTATACTTCCCAGAGCTAATTTTCAATATCAGCTTTGTCCAGAAATATTTTCAGTAAAATGTTCCTGCTTGATAGAGTTGTATTCAGAATTGTCACCATTGAACTGATGGATTCCATTGTTTGACTGTACATTGGGACTATATCTACCTTCTATCCAGCTGTACTGTAGTGCCACCTGCAGGCCTGTTAATATGTTCACGGTTATTTCATTTTTTAAAAAATAAAAGTCATTTACTGTAGAATCTTCTTTAAACCTACACTGAATCTGTGCAAGAGGAATTGTGGGTGGGGCTAAAGAAGTGCCTTTGCTTCTGAGCTCCCACTCCTCTCCCATAACTCTGAGAGCTGCATTCATGCATATTTCTCAGAGGCAACTTCCAAGGTTTGCTGCACCATTTCCCTTCAGTACCTAGTAGTAATGACCTTTTTTTCAGGAGGCAGTAAAACTGCAACATGGTTTCAGCAGTGCACTAGTCAAGCAATCCCATGTGTATTTTATTTCTCTTATAGGTATGATGTGGTCAAACTTGACCCATGAAACACTCTGGCATAACACAGACTCTACTCCCCAATTCAGAACAGGCTAAACCCTGTAAGAGTTACTATGGGAGAGCAAAAATGTCATAGTTGTAATCACTTAGAAGAAACCAAGATGTAGCAAACATTGTGTTTTTCCACTTATCTATACTACTCAAACTGGGATAAAGTCTCTGTGTGTGCTTACTCTCAGCAATTTATCTGAATTGCAAAGCCCCTTCAAAATACCTTCAGTTTTCCCTTCAGCCACCAGCAAAATGTTCCTCATCCATTTACAGCTATAATTTCTTTGGCAATCTCACTTGAAATCTGCCTCATGCAACCAACGTTGGATACCCAGGTTTGGGCAGCTGGAACATACTTGGGCTCCCATACTTTTGGAGCTGCATTGGTGCAAGGCCAGAATCAGTGCCATGACATGCAGTTCTGGTCACATCTCTCCACATCTGTTGGGTGACTGAGGGGTAAAATAGCCACCCCCCGAGATCTATTCCCTCATCTCTACATGCATACTCCCCAACAATTCTAGTTCATCAGCACTGACCATAGGACAGCAGCTGAAATTCCTCTAGATTCCAGACTGTCAACATGGTCTCATCATTAGAACATAAGAGGCCTGCTGAATCAGACCAAAGGCCCATCTTGCCCTGCATTCTGGGGCCAGCCTGACCTATGGGAAGCCCACAAGCAGGGCATGAGCAAAACCACACACTCCAGCTCAAGATCCCCAGCAGCTGGTATTCAGACATAACATGTCTGTGATAGCTGAAGTTAATGCCGCCATTGTAACTACTAGCAATTGCTTTGTCTCATTTGCCCAACATTACTGTACTGGTTTTGGTGGGTGACATTAATGGTACTTCCTTTTCTGTATGCACCAGTAATTCTCTCAGAGCAGGAGAATCTTCTCAAGCAGGAGTTGATGCCTTCCAAACTACACATTTTATCATGGCTGCCAAGCATCTAAGCCTCAGGACAAAAAATGCTAGTGGAAATCAGCAATGATTTGAATTGCAAATCCATATTTTATTTTCGGTGGTTTCAAGCTGTCCTGGATTTTAACTTCTCTCATCTGTGCTCCAGTGACTAAGCATTAAAAATATTGCTATGTTGCACTGTATTTCATAGGATTTTTAATGGGAAATCTCAGCTACTGCTTAGATTTTGAACAATTAGGAAATAAACTTGAGTGTGTATAATAGTATCTGAATCCTGAGTCATGCAATTGCTACTACTAAAAACATATAGCAGCAATACTAGAGGGGCATGTAACATGCCCTCTCCAAGTTGTAGAAGAAGCCAAAGCAATAAAATTAATATCCCTGACCTTAGCACTATGTTGAATTCCACCTGTTTGGGTGATAGTCAACCAAATTTTGCTGAGTAGACCTATTAAAATTAATGAATGTTGTTTTATAGTGTGTCTGAACCTTTTGCTGGAGTTGTAATATTTATTTATGAATATGTGTTTAGCCTTAACCTTATGCCCCAAGAAGTTCACATGCAAAAGGAATAAAGAAAGATTGATTAACTTGAATATATGTGGCAAAATATATGGATGCGGCTTAAGAAAGCAGGTACAAATACAAGCTGGTTGCAAATTGTACAACACAAACATACCTTGGTCTAAAGAGCAAAGAAAGATCTCTATCAAAAGCTCAAAGAGAAATTAAGTGTGACATTTGTCACAGTACCCACGCTAAAGCAAAGAAAGGGAGGGAGGAAGAATGGTGTCCTGAAGCAAAGCATAGTGTCAGGCTGGTCCTTGAGAGTAGTGTGAAAAGGGTCCATGAAAGCAAACCAGTCACTGAACATCTGGAGTTTTTGTATTATTCTGAGCCAATGCTAGGCTATGGAGAGGGAAGGGGGTCTTTGGGATTAGTGATTTGTCATAACACCTATATTCCATTGTTACATTATTTCCTATTAAGTTCCTGTCTGTTCCTCATTTTGTTTATTTTGCTCATTTGGTACTGAAATGATGTTCCCTTACTGAGAAATTACTAAACTAGTTATATTTGTTTCCAGAGTCTTAAGGTTTTCTTAATGTTGTGAAACCCATTCTTTTTATAGGAGATGTTAAAGTTTGCTGGTAACACCAGATTACTATGCTGAACTTTATGTAAAGTATTAGGAGCCCAGGAACATATTTCTGGGACACATTTGAGACAGTAACTGGACCAGGGTCAAGGAAGTTCATTTAGGGGTATGTTTTATATCAAGTTTATGCCAACTATTCCAGTGCCATGATCTAAAAAGTTCAGACTGGCACACACCATTACAACATAACTTAGTCATGTTCATTAATTCAGTGGGTCTACTCTGAGTAAAACTTAGTTGAATAGCACCCTTTGTCCTCTTTCATTGTTCTTCCTAGATGTGCTGGCCAGCAATTACAATTTTTTTGCTGAATAATCCATTCAGGAGGCATTAAGCAGGCCAGCCATGGGTAACTGTTAATCATTTCATCATGGGAGCACATCAAAATACTGTGGCTTTCAGTTCTCCTTTCACATCCTCATTCTTGTGCAGTGAAATGCTTTAGCCAGCCAACTGGCTGTTGAAATGCTTTGAAGGTTTCAGTGAACTCTCTTTCCCTTTTTGGCCTTTTGATAGGCACTTTCCAGCTCTTCCTTTCCTTCTTTCTTATGGCTTATTCAGCCACTGGGGAGCCAGTTAAAAGTAGTAAAGGTTTCAGTATCATTTTTTAGTACATGGCAAAACAGAGTAATTGACTGACCAAGATATTTCTGACACAACCTTACATCTGAGGTTGTGGTGTTGTTGTTGTTTAGTCGTTTAGTCATGTCCGACTCTTCGTGACCCCATGGACCAGAGCACGCCAGGCACTTCTGTCTTCCACTGTCTCCCGCAGTTTGGTCAAACTTATGCTGGTAGCTTCGAGAACACTGTCCAACCATCTCATCCTCTGTTGTCCCCTTCTCCTTGTGAAGGGGTCTTTTCCAGGGAGTCTTCTCTTCTCATGAGGTGGCCAAAGTATTGGAGCCTCAGCTTCACGATCTGTCTGAGGTTGTGGTAGAACATTTGAAAAGTGCAGACTCCAGTGAGCCTTTTCCTTTTTTACGCTTTCACCAATTATCCATTAAATATATATGCTAAAAACATTTTAAGAAGCATGGCAAGGCCACTGAGAATGCATGTACATTTTAACTTTACTTTCTTGGATGTCAGCAAATTGTAAAACAAAAGAAAACGAAATAGGGTTATCTTTTAAACTTCTGGTATCTTATTTGTTGTAGTGCTTTGTTTATTAAGGGGGTTTAAAAAGATCCACTAGTACAGTGGGATGTGTCTTAAATACTGGAAACGGAAGAACAAGCCAGTTTAAGATAATATGATTTAATTACATGATCTAAAAAACTACAAGAGGTATTCAATCTCAATTCTGATGGAAACGCTGAGGGGATTGGGTGAGAAAGATGGAGTTTTGCTTGCTTTCTGGAAGGGAGCAGGGGTACAAAAAGACCTTTCCAGGGCCTTTGGCTTTGGGGAGAGGGCCACCTGATAAGCATGGGGTAGCTGCTGCCTGAGACACCGATAAGAGCTGTTGGCAGAGGCCCAGACTGGTGTTTCCTCCGCATCCTCAGCCCCGTCCTGAACAAAACCCCAAGGATTTTAGGGATTCGCAATGGATAACGCGGCAACTCTGTGAAATCGAACAGTACCTGCAAGAGAGCCCCCCGCCCACACCAATATCCATTGTCTGCTTCTATGGCGGGGGGCCTTGCGGTTATTTCCCGGCCTTGCCCTTTAACCGTTTATTATAATAAACCCGGAGGCTCTTCTTGCACACGAAGATTCGAAATACGCAACTGGCTGGCTGGGGCCTGAGGCTGCCTATTCCAGTTGCGGCGTTGCAAACCAAGCAGGCCGGCTGCCACCTGAACCCCGTTTCCCCGAGAGTTAGCCGCACTGAACTCAACAGGACTTACTTCTGAGGAGGCGTGGCAAGGACTGTACCGCGAGCCCTCTAAAGCAGTGGTCCAGAGACAAACGCTATTGCGGGGCTGGCTCTGCCCTCTAGGGCGGGGAGCGTGTCGCTTGACGCGGGGCCTGGCGGAGGCGCCGGACCTGCTGCTCTGCCACGGAGAGATGACGCGAAGGCCCAGCAGCAGCAGCAGCCGCCGCCGCCGCACTGACGACGAGCCCACCGCCATGCGCCCGCTGCTCTATTTCCCTCCGACAGGCGCCGCTGGCTCCTCCCCTTTAAGGAGCCGGGGCGGGGCCGCGCTTGCTGCAGGAACCTGCCCTTTAACAGCGCTCTCTTTTCCTCGCTGGTGCCGCTGCCGAAAGCCAGCTCGCCAGTCCCCGCCGGCCCCCGGAGGAGCCTCGGCCTCGCCATGGTGTCCTGGATCATCTCCCGGCTGGTGGTGTAAGCGCGCGGCGGCGGCGGCGGCGGGAGGAGGGGGACGACAGCGACGGGGAGGCCCTCCTCGCCCGTTGCTAGGCAACGGGGGAAGAAGATGGGGACGGGGGTCGTCTGGACGGGCGGCTCTCCCGAATCCCACCCCGTCCGGTGGTGCCCACTGCGCCCAGCCCTCTTCTGGGCTCCTCCGCTCCTCCGCCTCTCGGGGGCTCCTGAGGCGGACGCCCCCCCCCCTGCCCCTGCTGCCACCCCGCCCAGCTTAGCCCTGACCCTGACAGGTGACAGGAGCGAGCCCAGGGGCGTCGCCTGGACACCGCGGGGCTCCCCCCCCCCCGCTTATTAAGCTGCTGTCCGTTTAACGGCCCCTGGGCGCCACCACCTGAGGGCTGCAGGTAGGACGCCCAGCGCCTCTGACGATCTGCCAGCCTTGCAGCCGCTGCGCTAGGCCTGCTCTGCGCTGGCAGTGGAAGGGGGGAAGAGGGTGGATGGGCGAGCTAGCAAGGACCGGGGATTCTCCGGCCTGGAACCGACTCTAAGCTGAATGAATAATCCCATGAGGTTTTTCTTCTTCCTTTCTCTTTTCTGTTTAAATAATGATAATAATAATAACAACCTCTTGTTCCAGGCTGGTTTTCGGCACCTTGTACCCAGCATACTCCTCTTACAAAGCTGTGAAGACGAAAAATGTGAAGGAATATGTAAGTGTGAGGCAATTAACCATACGCTTGGTTTAACATCAACCCTTACTGTAGCTTGTCTCCCAGTGGTGTGAAGATACTAGCGACATAGCTTGTTCAAGCAGGAAATTGGAATTCTACTGCAAAACGATGCTACAGTCCATGTCACCCGTGTTACACAACACTGAATAGTTCATCTGAGCATTTTCTGCCTTATTTGAGTAAAGAATGGTGGAATAGAGCTGAAATACCCATTCTTCTCAGTTTCGGTTTTAAAATTACATTATAGACCCATTTAAACACCAAGTGACAGAAACTTCAAATGTGAAAATTCCTGAGGTGTCTTCACAATTGACTTAAATACTTTTTTTAGCACCTACATATCTGTGATGTCTCTTCACCACAGCTCCAACTAATTTGCATTACCTCTTTGCTTTTTTCTGCAGTAAAGGTTACAGCTAGTGCAGCCCGCTTGCCTAGTCTGTAGCATGTGCTTCATAAATGGCAAAATCCACTTTCTGCATGGCTTTTAGTCAATTTAAATCAGATGGTTGCACATTTTGGCACATTAAAAACTATGCTCCTATCACTTGCGTGTTTGCACAAAGTGTGAAAAGTGTCATTTTAGTGTCATTTGTGAAAATGCAAGTGTTTCTTTTTGTTGCCACTTTCTATTTGCTGCAGGTTTCCCTGACACTGCTGTCTATAATACTGTGGCATTTTCAAGAGTAATACTAAGAATTCTTCTTAGTATGGGTTGTGCTTCTTCTGAAAGTTGTTGTACAACTGAAAGCAGCAAAGGCATTTTAAATCCAGAATGGATTATTTGTTTTTAAAACGTAGGCCCATCCTTTTAAAACGTGGGACCAAAGACCATCCTTACCCATTACTTGTGAAAATCCTAGCATAGTGAATTTAGGATACAGTGCAGCTCAAGCAAAATGATGTATGTATGTATAGTTGTTAAATGGGCAAGATATATATAGTTGAAAAGAATTTGAGAGGGAGTGAATTTAGTTCAAGGGGCAATGCTGCTTCATTTACTTATTTACCACATTTTGTTGCTCTGTGATTCAATTATGAAATGAAGAAAATTTATTTTTTAACTTCTATGACTTTATTACAAAAGTTCAGTTGTGGAGAAATTAACATATTGATTGCATTTGAAAATGCATACTGGGAATGCTTCTGAAGCAGTTTAAGAAAGAAAACCCCTCTTTGGTTTGGGTTCCAGTTTTGCAGAATATTTGAGTTAGATGGCTTTTTAAAAGCATTAGACAAATTCCTGAAGGAAAATGAATCAGTGGCTATTAGCAAATGTACCGTGGTGGGGGCCAAGGGGTCTTCAGCCCCCCAGTTTTTCAAAGAGGGGGCTGGACTCCCCCCAAATCCAGTGGCCTGCTCTGCCACCTCCACCCCACCTATGTCGTGAAACCCTGCTGATGTCATGTGGGGATGAGGAGGCTGAGCGGTGAGCCTGGCGGCCCCACTCTGCCGCCTCCTCCCTGACCAATGTTGTGCAGGGAGGAGGAGGCCAACCACGTTCCCCATTCCCCACCCGGCACACAAGCGACGGCATCACAGTGGGCGGGACACGTCACATGCCATGTAACATGATGCCTCACATGATGCACCTCCGCAATGTGGGGGGCAAGTGAGTGCCCTTGGCTGTTAGCCATGATAACTAAATGGAACATTCATGTGTCTGAATATCAGTTGCTTGGAATCAAATGACATAGAAGGACTATTGCCTTCATGCGCTGTTTGTGGGCCTTCCAGTAGCACATGGCAGAACATTGTTAGAAATGGGGTACTAGACTAGAATGGAGACTGTCGGATCCAGCAACTTATGTTTGCTCCACCACTTTGGCAAAAAAGGGAGGTTTAACATAAGCCTTCTGTTTCAGAGATCCATGGTGAGATTCTTCAGCAGAGATCTCACTATTGATTGTTTTAATGTAGCAGATATTACAGAATCCCATAGTGAGCATAGCATATAGGCTTTGTAACCTTTCTCTACTTCTTACAACTCCTTGCCTGCCTGCCTCCATGGAGTGTGCCAAGCGAGCGATGGCCAAACAGTCATTCAGCAAGAGGGCCTGGGACACGGCAGCAAGGCCAGCCTGGGCTCTGGGGCCCAGAAACCCCAATGGGGCTTTTATTAGTCAGGGAGGGCAAAAGTTGAACATACATGTGGTATGCCTCACTCCTCCAAGAATTCTTCCCGCCTCCATGGATTGCAGATGTATCCAAAATAACTGGAGGTGTGAAAGATACATCTGGCTGTGCCCTCACTATGATACCCAATTTGGAATGGATGTGAGTAGTTTTTTTCTGTGAAGTGTTTAGTGAACAGGTCACAGTGAATTACTTGAGTGGTCCTCCCCCACCTTTAAGGCCAAACATTGATCACTTCTAGTTTCATTGGACAACTGAGTAGATTCAATGGTGGCAGAAAAGTCTGACTTATTTGCTGCCATCACCACCAGGGTGATGAAAGTGAGCTCTAGCCTGTGTGATCACATTTGTCACAAGTCTCCCGCTATCGTCATTCCAGTTGTTGCCAATGTTGTTTCATTGCCTTAAGTTTCCCAGACCCATTAGGGAGAAAATTTGGCTCTCTTCTGCTTTCCATGATTCATGCACAGTGATGATACAAGTTCAGGGATTCAAACAGCCTTGGTCACAAATAAAGAATGTTTGTTGTAACTATTATTTTAAGTTGACAGCCCTTCCCCAACCACTACTAAATCCCAGTCTCCCTTGCTCACCCCTGTTCAAGACTGCATGGTCAGTTATTGAGGGGCTACATGGAGAGCAAAGAGTCTTGGCCATTGTCCTGCATGAATTGTGTGTACCCTAAAATACCCCATCACTTCTGTGTAGCTGTGCACTGAAAGGCAAATTTGTTAACAGCAAACAAGCTGTTTTTTTACTTTGTCTGCCATTACTGATCATTTTGTTGAGGAACTTCTGATAATATGAGGAACACAATTCGAAGGAAAGTACTTTAAAATAGCAGCTATACTTGGATTTGGTGTCTCTGGCATTAGTTGGTATTAGCTGAAAATACATGTTAGTGTCAGTGGGAAAAAGCTGTTTGGATATCCTCAAGCTTTAGTAAGAATAAAACAAGAGCATCAAAAAATATTTTTCAAAAGATTAGTAATAGGGATGCCAAATGTCTGGGCTTTACTGGACACATCTGGGAATTGCTCAGAAAAATGGCATCCAGGCATATTTTTGCTGAATTAGCAAAATGTTGGGGAAAACCTGGACGTATGGTAAATTTTGGCTGTTTTTATTTTTTAAAATGTTCCTATAAAAGGCTCAACAACTCGGTCTGGATTTTCACTTTGGGGAATATGGCATGGGCAACCCTTATTAATAAAGGGTAGACGGTATGAAATCTAAAAAGAAATATTGTTCATAACCATAATACAGAGTGAAGTGGCTAAAAATGGACACTTTCAGATTTCATCGTACTATAGAAGTGCGAGTCACCCAGGTATTTGGAAGGAATTGCAAGTTCAAAGTTACTGTTTTAAGAACAAGCTGCTTTTCAGGAGCTGCTTCTAGCCATATGTTGAAAGCCAACACCAATTTCAGTGGCAATATTTTTTTACATAATGCCTTGTAGTTAAGGAACAGCAGGGGGAGCTAGCTTCTCTTTCTAGTGTGGAACACACTCGTTAAATTGTTCAGACAAAGATGAGGGCATAATCTTGGCTACCAAAATATTCGTACGAGTATTAAACTTTACTGTTGCAAAATTGACATGCTGTGATAAAGGTCAACTCCTCCTTTTTGGTGTGGGGATACATTGCATTGTTTATACTATTATCCTGGTAATCTGCTTTGATATTGGTAGTCCATCTTATAATTAGGTGGTTCTGGACACCCCCAACTTTTTTTGCTGAGGATTGTTGATTTGTGGGTAGCAACATTATTTACTCATAAAATGTATCTCTCAGTTTCCTGTGCTGTCTCTTATCCTGGAAATGGTTAAGACTTCCTAGTGAAGATCAGCACAACCAAAGCAGGAGAACAAGGGATAGTAAAATCAGACATGAAAGACTGCCCCAGGTCACACATTGTGGTAAACTATAGTTAATAATTTACCATGAACATGCCAAGCAGGACTGTTTTGCTCCTCCTGGCACATGTTTGGAGGAAACAAACAATTATATTTAGATGAATGTTTAATCATAGTTTGTTCTATTCTATTAAACCATGATCAGTAAGCCATGATCAAACCTTAATTACAAACTGTGGCTTGTTGGAGTTAAACAAGGCACAATGTATGATTCAGACGCAATGGAAAGCTAGGAGTTGTTGTTTGTTTCTTGCTTGCATGAGTCAAGAAGAGTGAAGTAGGAGTAATACAATTCTGCATGATAAGCCATCACCATGATGTGCAAACAAGGTCTCTATTCTCAAGCACCAGTTGTAAATAGGATGTGCAAGGTTTTAAATCCTTTGTGAGGTTAGCACAATCTGGTAAAGAGAGATGGTTGTTCAGAATCTGTTACAACTGCCCAGGTTCCTTGATGGCGTCAGTGTAGATGTTAGAGGAGAAATGTGCATTACACTGTGAACAGGACTATTGAACTATGTATATCTTAGATCTGCACAAATTGTTCACGAAAGTGCAAAAATTCCAAGTCATTTGAATTGACAAAAAGGCTGTACACATGGCCAAGTAATGATAAGACTTAAGTGTAGTGAAAAGCTATAGGTGTCTGAAAATTATTGGCGGGCGAACCTTAAAGCAGAATTCTTGTTTTTGGAACTTTCCTTGATGTCTCTGCTACTAGACACTGTTGAAGAGAGAGACCAACTGTTTGAAACCCAGAATTGCTGACATTTGGACATGGGTATAATTATAATGAACTGCTTCAAAATCACAAGATTTGGCATCAGTCAGGAATTTGTTTTAAGTAGGTTGCAGCTTTCAAATGATATGTAATGGTGCTGGCTGTCTTGCAGGTCAAATGGATGATGTATTGGATTGTGTTTGCTTTCTTCACCACAGCAGAGACACTCACAGACATCATTCTCTCTTGGTAAGTACCCTGCCACACTTAGGAAGTAAGCGGGGGGAGTACTGGATACTTCGATTATTTTTCAGTTATCCATCTAGAATTGGCTGCTGTGAGGCAATTTGGGAAGGTATTCAGCTTCCCTGTAGTTATGCTGTTCTTGAGAAAAACAAACATGGTGTTGTTCAGGTTTATTATTTGAATGTTCTATAGTAAACCATATACACAATGACTGAAAGTTGTGTTGTTGGCAAAAATGTGTAGTTGTTCTGCTTGTCCTCCCAACCTAGAAAAAAAAGATATAGGGTCTTCTAGAGCAGGGGTCAGCAGTCTAAGGCCCATGGGATGGTAACGGCCCACGAGGCTTGTCTAACCAGCCCATGGCGACCCCTGCCTTCCCCCCCCCCTTACTGGCGTGGTGTGGCGCGGGGACCGACTTCCGGGTTGATGGCACCTATGCGCATGGGTGCTCCTCCGACCCAGATGTGCACCGGAAATAGCATGTTCACACACGTGTGGGATGGAGAAGCGCCCATGCGCATGCACACACACTATTTCCAGCGCACTTCTGGGTTGGAGGAGCACCGGAAATAGCGTGTGCGCACATGCACTGCTCCGACCCGGAAGAGCGCACATGCTTTGGCTCATCCTCCGACGGATGGAGTGTCGACTGGCCCATCCTCCAATTAAGGTTGCCAACCTCTGTTCTAGAGAGCAAAAAATGAATGAAGAATGGGATTCTAGTTTTACGAATCTGGTTTGTGGAGTGTGAGGGAGAAGCTGAAACCTAATGGAAACTACAGGGATAGTTGTAGAGTAATCTTTGAATATTGTGATTCTAGTTCTGATTAAGTGTTAGGTTCTGACACTATTGCATGTCTTGTGCTTTGCTAACAAATTTCCAAAGATTTGTTCTCAACAATGTAAATCCCTGTTAGGCAAACATTGAGCTGTATTGTGCTGACTTACTTGTCCTGACTAGTACTGAGGACAGAGAAGATGTCCTAATCCTGCAGTATCTGTGTTCAAAACTCCTAGCTGCCACTTTGTCCAGAAGTCTAAAATGAAGGGGGTAATTGCTGGGTTGGAAATATCAGTCATTCCCAGGCAGAGGGCCAGTCCTGATGGAACATCCCAGTGTTACTCTCTTCCCAATGCCTCTCTTCACAAATACTTGAGTAGTGCAACTCCTGGGACATAACTCTGTTTACAGGGTTGAGGATAACTTTGGATAGGGACTTATCAAGGCTATGGCGAAAACTTAAAAAGAGACTTCAAGAAGATACATCCAGTAAAGGGTATGTGTGGCCTGTTCAATAGCTGGCCTTGTCATGTTGATTCTGTTCAATCTGTAGCTTCTCTCTTCTTCCTTCTGCTTATCTCATCTTTGCTGCTCTCTAGACTGTCAGTCTTTGTTCATCTCTAACCTGAGCCTGATTCTAGCTTTTCCATTTCTCTCAGGTTTCCCTTTTATTTCGAGCTGAAAATCGCATTTGTGATCTGGCTGCTCTCTCCTTACACCAAGGGCTCCAGCGTGCTCTACAGGAAGTTTGTTCACCCAACGCTCTCCAATAAGGAGAAGGTACTTCCTTCAGATTGCCCTACATATAAATCCTGGAAGTTTAGTGACATGAGATCATGATAGATTGCAGAAAAGATACTGGTATTAGCTCTGTCTGTGCTTGATATTAATCATGCTTATGCCTGCTCATAATAGATGTGTGGCAGCTGCTGCTTTTACAGAGCACTAGTGAACTTTACAGAGAACTAGTGAACACTAGTGGGACGCGGGTGGCGCTGTGGGTAAAACCTCAGCGCCTAGGGCTTGCCGATCGCATGGTCGGCGGTTCGAATCCCCGCGGCGGGGTGAGCTCCCGTCTTTCGGTCCCAGCTCCTGCCCACCTAGCAGTTCGAAAGCACCCCTAAGTGCAAGTAGATAAATAGGTATCGCTTTATAGCGGGAAGGTAAACGGCGTTCCGTGTGCTGCGCTGGTGCTGGCTCACCAGAGCAGCTTCGTCACGCTGGCCACGTGACCCGGAAGTGTCTCCAGACAGCGCTGGCCCCCGGCCTCTTAAGTGAGATGGGCGCACAACCCTAGAGTCGGACACGACTGGCCCGTACGGGCAGGGGTACCTTTACCTTTACCTTTAGTGAACTCCTAGTTTGTAACCTGATGAGAATTTGTTAGCTCTAACCTGAATAACGTAGCTTTAGAGTAGCGTTCATGGCTCCTAACTGTGAGCCAAAGGGTCATGCATGGAGAGTTTGAGGGACTTTTTGGAACAACCATTTGTTGCAGGGCAGGGGGCTATAACCAGAAGAGAAACTACAAACTTTTTCTGTGTGTCCAGAACTGCAGTCCATTCATGCATGAGGCAATTTGGATTCTAGCCAATGTTTTCAGCATTTGCTGCTGTATTAATTGATCCTTTATTAATTTTGGGGACCTTTACTCTTTGTAGTCTACACTGTGATTAGTGGTAGATGCATAATTACTCTCCTTCATCTCATGTAGTTATAGCACAGGGCAAAGTATAGACATGGTCATTCATTTAGTTTGAGCCTGCAGATAAGGGTGACAGTCTCCATCCACATGTAAATGCCTTATGCATTTTTACCTTAGGACAAAAAATTTTTGAGTAATATTTCAGCCTTCTGGGAGTAGCATTCACTGGAATATTGAAATTCCTTCCTTTCAACCACTATATGTTAGTGCTGGGCAACACTTTGGGAGACTCAGAGCACTTGCTATATGATCCATTCTGCTGTGCTATCTAATATGTAATGCTTTCCTGGATTTCTGGATTTTATAGTTGGCTTCATGATGTTGGTGCAAGAAGGGGTTAGGATTTCAGGCAGAAGTGTCTCAAGATTCAGAAAAATTATGGATACATGGTCATAATGCTAAAAAAGAAGAATGTACTGCACAAGGAAACAAGTTCCATGTGCAGCTTTAAATCACATGAACTATATTTAATCCTTTCTCTGCTAATCCCTCAGTGTTGCAAAAGAGAGCTAGGCAGTCCCTAGGAATTAACAGGCCAAAGGCTGGCTGGCTCTGTCTGAGGACTGCTTCTTACCATATTTTTTGTAACAATATTAGTATATCTGCCTTGTGTCAGTTATGATAGCACATGTATGTTTAAATGATGACTGTTATTCACAAAATAAACAGGTCTGATAATTGTGAAATGATTAAGCTAAGCTAATTCTCCCTGTATTTGATAGGGATCCCATGGATCCATGAAAGGCAAAGGTATACTAACACAAACATTCTCCCAGTCTGCATTTCTTGAAAAGCACTGTACACCTCTACGCTTTTTTGGGGGGGAGCACAAAGCATTATATTCAATCACAATGTCTTTATGCATACATTTAGTTAAGCTTCCTCTAGCACTGACTGACTTCTCAGACTGGTGCTGCTTTTTCATGCTGCTTCACATTCCTTCTTGAAATTCAGACTTCTGTATTTCTAAAGAGATCCAGAGCATGAGCATAGCAGGATTTCAAAGTTTTATATTTTTAACTAAACGTTAAATCTGTTCCAAGCATGGGACTGACTAGGACAGTCAGTATCAGACATTGGAAGATGTGGATATGGTGAATTTCCCACTAAATAACACTAGTTTGCACCCATAAGGACATTAGAAGAGCCTGCTGGATCAGGCCAATGGGCCATCTAGTCTAGCATCCTGTTCTCATAGTGACTAACAAGATGTCTGTGGGAAACTGAAGCAGGGGCTGAAGAAAAGAGCACTCTCGCCTCTTGGAGTTTCCAGCAACTTGATGTTAGAAGCATTGCTGCCTCTAACTGGAGGCAGAGCATAGCCATCATGGCTAGTAGACATTGTTAACTTTATCCTCCATAAATTTAAAAGCCACTCAACTTGGTGGCCATCGCTGCCTGCAGTGGGAGCGAGTTACATGGTTTCACTAGGCACTGTGTGAATTAGTACTTTCTTTTACAGTGGTGCCTCGCAAGACGAAATTAATCCGTTCCGCGAGAGTCTTCGTCTAGCGGTTTTTTCGTCTTGCGAAGCAAGCCCATTGACGGATTAGCGCTATTAGCGCTATTAGCGGTTTAGCGGCTATTAAAGGCTTAAAGGCTTAGGGATTAGCTGCTAAAAGGCTATTAAAGGCTATTAAAGGCTTAGCAGATTAGATAAAGGGGGAAAAGCGAAAAAAATCTCAAGACTCGCAAGGTATTTTCGTCTTGCGAAGCAAGCCCATAGGGGAATTCGTCCTGCGAAGCAACTTCAAAACGGAAAACCCTTTCGTCTAGCGGTTTTTCCGTCTTGCGAGGCATTCGTCTTGCGGGGCACCACTGTATCTGTCCTGAATCTTCCAGCATTCAGCTTCACTGGATATGAGTTCTAGTGTTATGAAAGAGGGGGAAAACTTTTCTCTAGCCACTTTCTCTATGGCATGCATAACTTTAAATTTCTATTGCGTCACCTCTTTCTTGCCTTTTCTCGAAACTAAAAGTTCCAAAAGCTGCAACCTTTGTTTCTCTTTCCCCTTGGTCATCCACCTGCTGGAGTCAACAATGACTTTTGCACTTGGCTTGCTAGGTCATCATAGTTGTGATACAGAATGCAAAATCAAGAAAGGATTCAATTGCTGAGTGTGGAATACCACGAGTGGATATTTTTGTCATGTGTGTCTGAAGTGTGGGAGGTCTTCTAGTAGAAGAGATTTAAGAAAATTGACCCCAGGAAGTAGCTTTCTTTCCGTGGCAAAGTTTTGGTATATGTGTAATTTGTTTTCTCCTTGATGCTGCTAATGTTGAGGAAGATTGAAATTGGCACAACGCTGAATTTGGCACAATGAAACACAATACAACAATTACATGAGCCTTGATGTTCATTTCTCATTTAAGAACCAAGGGTACATGCTTTCCATTTTTCTCCTGGGGATCAGATTTCACAATAGCAGGACACAGTGTTTTTTTTGCTGTGAAGAACCTGTGTCTCTTCTCTTGAGTGGCTAATCATTCAAGTTCTCACTGGATATTAGTATGCTCTTGTGCTCTAAAAAAAAGGAGTACGAGCCAAAAGGTCATGGTATACTGCATTGGCCTGAACATAAGCCACACTTTCCCCCCAAATTCCAACAGTGAAAAGTTAAAGTGCGGCTTATTTTCGTGACCTCAGGCTGCCAGCAAAGCGGTGCGGCTCCCCCCAGGAAGGGGCCCAGGTATTGTCTCTCCCCCCCCCCCATTTTAAAGGTGCGGCTTATTTGCGGGTGCGGCTTATATTCAGGCCAATACAGTATCTGTATTCTGATAAATAGGAGAGGTCACACTCTCAATACTTCTAACAAACTGATGAGGGTCTTGATTCCACTCAGTCTTGGAAGAGATCCCCCCACTGTTGTTAAAACTAAGAATAATGGTCCTGAAATTTCTCTTATAGTTAATTGGTTAATCTTTCATAAAATTTGGCTATTTTAGGATCATACTAGACATGACAAGTGCAGCTATTTTTGCTTATTGACCTGCTAGCTATGTTTATGCCTACAGGTGAACAGTGAGTTCCAAAGTCCATACAATTCAATTGTTTCTGCAGATAGAGTGATTTGATAGCAGCCACCTTTAACAATAACCAGTCCATGCATTTAGAGTCTATCAGGGCTACATTCTCTCCAGGTTGGATAGACAAAACATTCTCTCCATTTCAATAGACTAAAATGCAAATCAATCAGTGACAAAATTTTCACCAGACTCATAATCCAGATGAGTTTAGCCTAGCCTCTGATGTGTGTAAGTCATTGAACCAGTGGTGTAAGAATTTTTTCATGTGTGTGTTTTTGGAATGACAGTGGAGGAAAAAATTTCCATTTCATAAGGTGATTAATATCAGTGAATAGTATTAGACAGACTTAGAAGTTTCCAAGTTTTTAGCTTTGTTTACTAAATGCATATAAAATAAACATGGTAAATTAGATAAATTTTCTGTATGTCCTAGAAAATTTCCAGTGCAAACAAAGTTTTCTATTGCTAATTACCCAAAATTGCATAGGAAATTTTCCAAAAAGCTTTCCAGAAAAAAAAATCCAGAAATGTCCTATTTAACATTTACTGGAAGTCAACATGTTGACATTGATGTTGACATTGAAGCCAACATTTACTGTTATGTCATTGTGATGGGATGATGAGCTGCTTGTGCGTAAAATCGTATCCCCTCAGAGTTTGTTCAAGTCCACAAACCTCTGTCTGTGACGGAGCCCCTCAGACATGGCTCCTCTAGTCACTAGTTGATTCCGACAGTGGTTGCTTTCGTAATCGCTTCCAACATAAAAGCTCCTTAACGGAAACACGTCTTCTGGACTCTCTGCGTGACAGTTTCCGGCGAGGAGTGGGTGTTCTTACAGGAGGTCCTGAAACCTCCCCACTGTTTTCGCTGGAAGTGTCTCTGAGCCATCCCTCCAGCTCACTTTCTCTCCCCCTGCTGGTTCCCTCTTCAGCTGCTGAGTCTCTCCCAACCTGTGTGAGCCCTTTCACCCCCCTGCTGGTTCCCTCTTCAGCTGCTGAGTCTCTCCCAACCTGTGTGAGCCCTTTCACCTCCCTTCCGTCCGATGGCAGTTCCCTGACATCCACCTCCCCTCCAGGGCCCCCGTCACCCCCTCTCGCCCCCTCCTCTACGGGCGGTGAGGAGGCAAAACCCCGGAATGAACTTCCTTCATCTTCCGATGTCTCGAACACTTCTCTCCACCTGTTGCGGTTCCTGGTCTCGAAGTACTCCTCCTCCTCAGAGTCCATCTCCCTTCCCCTTCCGAGTCCGGGAATCCTTCCAACTCCTCCCCTCATCAGTGGTCCCAAAGTATTCCCTCCGGAACCTCTCCACAGGCTGAGGTTTCCTTGGGAACCTTTGATGGAACGTTTCTATCAATACCTCGTCATTGATATCTTCGGCCATTACCCAAGTGTTTTCTGACTCCGGTTCTCCTTCCCACGCTACCAAATACTCCACCTGATCCCCCTTCCACCTGGCGTCGAGGATTTCTGCCACATGGCTGCTGCATTCTCTTTCTTCTATGACCGGTCCCCGAGTGGCCATCCCTTCTCGTCCCCTTCGTACGGTGACAGTAACGACCTGTGAAATACTGGGTGCAGTTTCATGTGGTTGGGTAACCGGAGCCTGAAAGCCACTGGGTTGACCTGTTGAATGACCTCAAAGGGACCCAACCTCCTGGGTCTTAATTTCTTACAACCTCCTTTGAACGGCAACCCTTGGGTTGACAACCACACCCTATCTCCCACCCTTATGGTTTCACCTTCCCTTCGATTCTTGTCTGCCTGCCTCTTGTATTCTTCCTTCGCCCTTTCTAAGTTGAGTTGGAGCTGACGATGGATTGCTTCCATTTCTTCCACAAAATGCTCGGCTGCCGGGACGCCCCATCTCTCCCCATCTCCCCCTGGGAAAGCCCTGGGATGACACCCATAATTAGCCAAGAAGGGGCTCATCCCTGTGGACACATTCTCGGCATTGTTGTAGGCAAATTCCGCCAGCGCCAACTTTTCTACCCAGTCATTCTCTCTGTCATTGACATAACACCTCAGGTATTGCTGGAGGACACCGTTTGCTCTTTCCGCCTGCCCGTTGGTTTCAGGGTGCCGGGCAGTCGAAAAATTGACCTCCACCTGCAGTAAGCTCATGAGCTTCCTCCAGAACCTGGAAGTAAATTGTTTTCCTCGGTCTGAGACCACCCTCAATGGCACCCCGTGCAACCTAAAAATGTGTTCTACAAATAACTTCGCTGTCTCTTCCGCCGTGACTGCATGCGAGCAAGCTACAAAGTGGCACATCTTTGTTAGTAGGTCTACCACCACCATGATGGCTGTTTTCCCTTTGGACTTCGGCAGATCAGTCATAAAATCTATCGACACTGCCTCCCAAGGTCGTTCTGGGGTTGGTAAGGGTTCTAATAGCCCCGCCGGCGCCCGCCTTTCCCCTTTGGCTCGCTGGCATTGCTCGCACCCTCTTACATACTCACGTACATCTTCCCTCACCTTAGGCCACCAAAATTCCCTGGTGACCAACCACATGGTTTTGTGTTGTCCAAAATGCCCCGCCGTAGGGCTGTCGTGCAACTGCTTGAGTACCCTCCCCTTAAGTCTCCTTCAGGGATATACAGTGCCCCTTTGTAATACAAAGCTCCATTTCTTTCCTCGAAACCCCTGGTTCCTCTCCCTCACCCCTAAGACCTCTGAGCTTATTCTGGGCGTATTCATCATTCTCTGTTTCCTCTACCAGTTCTCTTTGTCCCACCAATGCCGCCCCACACACCCAGCGGTCCTCTGGAATGACATGTCTCTCTTCGGGTGCTCCCTCCTCCAAATATTCAGGTTTGCGTGAGAGAGCGTCCGCCCTAATGTTCTCTGGGCCTGGCACGTAACAAATCTCAAAGTTAAATTTGGAGAACTCCTGAGCCCATCTCACTTGCCGTTGGTTGAGCACTCGTGCCGTCCTCCAATACTCTAGGTTCTTGTGGTCAGTGCACACTTGCACCTTATGTTGTGCGCCAATTAGCAGATGCCTCCATCTCCGGAACGCCTCATGAATGGCTAGTAGTTCTCGGTCATACACCGTGTAGTTCCTCTCGGATTTGTTCAGCTTTCGCGAAAAAAAAGGCACACGGTCTCCACTCTGACTCCTTCTTCCCTGGCTGCAGAAGCACCGCCCCAATCGCTCTGTCTGATGCGTCAGTTTCCACTCTCATCGGTTTTTGTAAATCCACATGCAGGAGTTGTTGTTCCGAGGCGAAGGCCCTTTTAGTTCCTCAAATGCTCGCTCCGCCTCCTCAGTCCAAACGAACTTCTTCTTACTGCTGAGACAGTCCGTAATGGGCGCCGTCAGGTGGGCAAAGTTTCGGATGAACTTACGATAGAAGTTCCCAAATCCTAGGAACCTCTGCACATCCTTCCTTGTTTTGGGTGTTTTCCATTCCAGCACCGCCTGGACCTTGCCGGGATCCATGGCCAATCCCTTGTCTGACAGGCGATACCCCAGGAATTCCACCTCCTTGGTATGAAACTGACACTTCTCCAGTTTCACCCACAGCTGGTTGGCTTGCAGCCTGCTCAACACTTCTCTGACGTCTCTCACATGCTGCTCCTCATTCTCAGAATACACCAACACGTCGTCTAAAAAGGCCCCAGGACGTGGTTCATAAACGATTGAAATGTTGCGGAGCCTGCTTGTAGGCCGAAGGGCATAACCAAATATTCAAATGCCCCTAAAGGGGTGAACATAGTGGTTTTCCATTCATCCCCTTCCTTATTCGTACCAGGTTGTACGCCCCCCTTAGGTCCAGCTTTGTGAAAATCTTTCCCTTCCGCACCCTTGTCAAAATGTCGTCAATCCTGGGCATAGGGAAGGCCACTGGTTCTGACACTGCATTTAAGGCCCTGAAGTCACACACCAGCCTCGGCTTGTTCGTGTTTTTTATCCACAAAAACACTGGGCTGCCCCCACCGCCCTGGACTCTCTGATGAACCCTCTCTTCAGGTTCTTGTCAATGAACTCTCTTAGCTCCTGCATCTCTCTGTCTGACATGGCGTACAGCTTGCCTACAGGGAGCTGTGCTCCAGGGAGTAAATTGATTTGACAGTCAAAGGGTCTATGCGGGGTAGTTGGTCAGCTTCCCTTTCGCTGAAGACGTCACGGAGATCTGCATATTGTCGTGGTACCTTCACGTTCTCCGTTACTTCAGTCCCTGCTAGGGTGGCTTGGGCCCCTGCCAAACCCTTTCCCTCTTTGCAGTGTTCTAAGCAATGTGCTGAACCAAAAGAAACCACTCTCTGATGCCAGCCCACCAGCGGATCATGTAACGCTAGCCAGCTCATCCCCAATATAATGGGAGCTCCTCCCAAGGTGGCCACATTAAAGGCTATCAGTTCGGTGTGCCTTGCTACCTTCATTATCATTGGGACGGTCTGCAAGCTGACTTCTCCTCCCAACAGCTCCCTGCCATCGATCGTGGTCACCTGCAGGGGATTGCTTAAAGGGATCGTCTGTATCTGGTGTTCAGCTGCAAACTCTTTGCTCATGAAATTGCAGGAGCTGCCTGAGTCCAACAGCGCCTTTATCTTTAGAGGGTGTCCGTTTGGCAGCTCTAGCGTCACTTCTATCACTAGGGCGGGTTTAGGAGGTTCTGGCGTGGGCACTCTCACTGCTCTTTGGCCTGGCTGCTGTGCCCCGACAGTGGCAGCCAGGCGTTGGCTTTTACTTGCTCCGGTATTTCTTCCTCTCTTCCATCCACAGCTCCTACCATCCCTTGCCATTCCTTCCTCTGGGGGCAGACTCTGGCAAAGTGGCCTGGCTGTTGGCAGAGATAGCATTTCCGGGCGCCTTTTCCCTCCTTCTTTCCCCCCTCACTGGGCTTTGAAACTGCGCGCGCGCTGTTCCGAGTTCCATCGGCTCTGCCGGCGGGAAAGTTGGCTCTGGAATGTCTGGAATGCGGACCTCCTTCCAACGATCCACCTTCCATTCCAGCCTCTCCAATGCTCTCGCCTCCTGGCGCGCTCCTATGGTCAGCGCTGATTTGGTCAGCTGGTCCATAGACTCCGCCCTGGGCGCCCGGGAAAGTTCGTCTTTCACAGCCGAAGAAAGCCCTTCTTCAAAGAGCATTTGAATGGGTTCCGCCGATAAGTCCCACCCCAATCTGTGAACCAGCATGGTGAACTCAGTCCAGTACTCACGGACAGATCGGCTCCCTGTTTGCAAGCCATTAACTGTCTGCGCACCACTCCCTGTTCAATATCGCTGGAAAACATCAGATCCATGGCGCGAAAGAACTTCATCGTGTCCTTTAGGACGTCACTATTCGCTGCCATCAGGGGTCTAACCCAGTCTCTCGCACCCTTTTCAAGATGCTCAATCACGAAAGCCACTCGTGATTCCTCATCAGGGAATTCATCAAACTGCAGATTGAGGGCATATTGCATCTCTGTCCGAAAGCCATGATAGTCTTTGGGCTCCCCCCCAAACTTCTGCACCAATCCTGGTACCTTTCTGACGAGCTGGGTGGCTTTCCCCTTTTTGTCTGCATCCTGAGCCCTCCTCTCCTCAAGCCTCGCCGTCTGCATCGCTAGCTGGACCTCCAACACCCGGTACCTTTCTTCCAGGCTTGGACCCGCTCCAGCTCCTGCTTCTCCGGTTCCGGCTGGGTTGCTCATGATGCCTTCTCCTGCACAAGCTGCTTTCAAAGACTGTCGGAATGCTGTGATGGGATGATGAGCTGCTTGTGCGTAAAATCGTATCCCCTCAGAGTTTGTTCAAGTCCACAAACCTCTGTCTGTGACGGAGCCCCTCAGACATGGCTCCTCTAGTCACTAGCTGATTCCGACAGTGGTTGCTTTCGTAATCGCTTCCAACATAAAAGCTCCTTAACGGAAACACGTCTTCTGGACTCTCTGCGTGACAGTTTCCGGCGAGGAGTGGGTGTTCTTACAGGAGGTCCTGAAACCTCCCCACTGTTTTCGCTGGAAGTGTCTCTGAGCCATCCCTCCAGCTCACTTTCTCTCCCCCTGCTGGTTCCCTCTTCAGCTGCTGAGTCTCTCCCAACCTGTGTGAGCCCTTTCACCTCCCTGCTGGTTCCCTCTTCAGCTGCTGAGTCTCTCCCAACCTGTGTGAGCCCTTTCACCTCCCTTCCGTCCGATGGCAGTTCCCTGACAGTCATGATACTTTAAAACTGACCTTTAGAATTATGCTTCATTGCTGCCAGAACTAGTTTGTGAAATTCCTCTCTTCTGTTCCATAAAGACAAGTTACTGCTTGATCTTAGTCTTACTTCCATGTGAATAATTGTTTAAGCATGTTTTTCTTCCCCTCTTACTTGGGTTGCCTGTGTTAAGATGTGTTGGGTACTTCTAAGTACATGATTCTCAAAATGAGAGGTGTTGGTTTTTCTGTTACTTGTCCTGCTGAACTATTTTTGTACTCTGTAATCTAGTGTATTGCTAATTAGTGCAGCTGCATTTGTTCTGTTGTGTGTATAGGCATTGATGATCCATAGGTGATTCTTTTTCTCATTTCACCATGCAAGCTATCGATGGATAGTTTATAACCTCTGGAAAGATTTACTTAGTCATTAGAGAAAGTTTGAAAGGTTTTATAATTAACAAAAGTAAAACATTATGATGACTTTGAGAACTTCTGTTCTGTTTTGTTGTTCAAACCCTATGGACTTGGACCTTTTTGCGTTATACCTAGTTGGACTATAAGTCCATCTAGCCAAGTATTGTGTACACTGACTAGCAGCCCTTGCCAGGGTTTCAGACAGGCAACATTCCCAGCCCTTCCTGGAGGTACTGAGAATTAAACCCTAAGCAATTCAGTATTCAAAGCAGATGCTCTACTACTGAGCTTCAGCCCTTCCCCAAAAAACTTCCTCTTAAAAGCTTTTGTGTGAGTATGTATCATTCTTGAGGGCTATAGCTATGCAAATAATTTTTTAATGTGGCCTTCCCCACCAATTAAATCCTAGGAAATCGATGAGTATATCAGCCAGGCCCGTGACAAGAGTTATGAAACTATGATGCGAGTTGGCAAGCGAGGATTAAATTTGGCAGCCAATGCAGCAGTTACTGCAGCTGCAAAGGTAACTCCTTATATACCTATGTGCCATATCAACCCTGTTCCCTTCTGTTGGACTTTTGGTGTCATAACTCTATCCCACTTCCCCCCCTCCATGCTGTCTGCTAAGTTGTTCTTTCAAGTTAGACATGAGACAAACTCATCTGCAGCTTGCCATCTGATTGGATTTTATTCTGATCCTGATCTGATTTTAGGATGTATTTTAACTGATTGCCTGATTTTATGTTAATGTGTTATACATTTGATGTTAGCCGCTCAGAGCCCGGTTTTGGTTGGGGAGGGGGGTATAAAAATTATTATTATTATTATTATTATTATTATTACCTGACCCAAGCTGTGTCCCTCTCATCTAAATTCTGTCGCGTGTTCTTTTCCATTGGAAGCTTTTCTGGTATGTCCTCTGATGTGTTCTGAATGGTTCAACTCATGGGAATAGTTACAACTAGAAATTATGTCTTAAAGGGCCAAGGAGTTTTATCTGAAAAACTACGGAGTTTCAGCATGCAGGACTTGACTTTGATTCGGGATGATGACACTGTGCATTTACGGAGCCCTGAGCCACGCATGCGTACTTCTGCTACTGGTCATCTTGAAACTGTTGATGATTCAGGTTAACAGCAATCCATTCATATTATTTAATGAGGGCAGATGTCTAAGAGTTGTGGGCTTGGGGCAAATATTGAAGCGTCTAACTTCAGTGGTAGTTAGCTATGTTTATGTTTTGAACTTGGAGTGCATGCACACCTATATTTCATGCAGTACTCACAATTGCAATGGACATGCTGCTTAAAGAAAGAATTCACATTTTCCCAGCAGCAAGATATTATAGTTTGGGCCACACTACTCATGACAGCAGCAGGCCCGTATTTTTAAATGTGGGTATTTTCCAGTAATATATAAAGCAAGGCATGGAAGCATAAAAGGAGGTTTCTGTGTTCACATACACAAAACAACTTCTTTTATCTTTATCTTCTATACCTCTCTGTAATTTTCATTCAACCAGTGATCCTAGCTAGAAGATAGACTGAGGGAGGGGAGAGGATGTGTGCAAAGGAAGGGTTTGATCTCCTCTGCAGCTGGGCACCCCTTCTTCACTTTACACTGCACACCACCAATCCACACTGGTCTGGATTGGGGGAGGAACCAAACTCCTGTTACTTTTGTTAAAAGGGGGGGGGTGAAACCCAATAAAGTGATTCAAAGAGTCATTTAAAGACGCAGAGTCTTTTGTCACCTTGACAGTTTGATTCTCCACAACTTTCCATAGACATCTGAAGTCTCCCCTTTTTGGGAAGTTTTTAATGTCTGATGTTTCACTGTGTTCTGTTATATTCTGTTGGAAGCTGCCCACAGTGGCTGGGTCAACCCAGTCAGATGGGTGGGGCACAAGTGTGTGTGTGTGTGTAATAAATTATTAGTCGCCTTAGTATTAGTATTATTTATTTTCTCCTTTCCTTCAAGAACCTTGGCATCAGAGATGGTATTTTCATTTTCTGCTCCTCCTCCATATTAAAAAATAAGGGGCATCTCTGTTTTTGGTTTTCTCCTCAGGTGCATCCTGTTATTCCTCATCGGAAGAGATGACTCCGTCTCAAAGACATAATGGGGCCCAGTCTGATGCCAGAACAGACCCATCAGATGACGATACAGGAGACAAAGTTCCCAAACGGACCCAGAGCCTTAAAGCTCCTAAAAAAGTGACAAAGACTGAGGTGAGCTGGATGTAATTGTTTGGAAAGCTTGCAGCTGGATCGTGCCTCATGTACAACTTGTGTGCTTCAGCTTGGCACATAATCCCTTTTAATAGCTGCCCCTCCCTTGCAAGTGTGCTTTGCTTGCCTGCCAGATATCTTTCACTACATTTTGAAGTATTGGACAGGATTCAACTAATGGGTCCCATCAGCAGAAGCCTGTACAAGAACTTCAGCTTGTACAAAAGGGCTTTCTCCCCTGCATCCCCCAAAATTGGCTCGGAGGGGATCAGGAGAATACCCAGAACTGCTCACGGGAAGGAAAGAGGGATCATTCTGTTTGGCAGGCTGAAATGTTTGCAGTAACAGAACAATCAGAAGAGTGTGATGTTGAATTCCTCCTGTTGTTTCACATTCCTATTCTGTCAATAATTTAAATGCCTCTTTAGTAAGAATTTAAGGCATTACTAAGGGCTGAAAGTAGATGTGATGGCAGTAGCAACTTGTTTGTTCATTTGCACCATTGCTATGCCAAGCAGAGAGTGGATAGTGTCTCATTTTTAAATGAGAATGTGCATGACCAGCTGAATACTTCTTCATTCATTTGCTTACCTTCCCATGCTCTATTGTCCCCACTCCCCTCTTGCAGTACTGGAAGTTGGCTGAGCTTTGAGAAAGGGCTTGGGGTGTTGGAACATGGGAAGGAAAGGCAGAGGAGGGGAGATTCAACTTCCTTCTCTTATGTACTCCCTTTTGATGTTAAAGTTGGACTCCCCTGCTTCATTTGTGAATGCATAGGCACATGAATGAATAAACATGAATGTGTTACTGCCACATCTTATTTGGCACTCAGGATGCATCCAGTTTTATGAGTTTTTGCATGATCTGCTGCTGACATTAGGGGCACAGCCTGCAGACATTCCATCAGCTGTTTTTGTTTGGGCTCCACTTCTTGATTTTTCCAGTGCCAAAATATATTATATAGTATGGTTTTATGTTGCAAACAACCGGCTCAAATAAGATTTTCTGTGTGCGCAGTTTGTTCACATGTCCACGCATCCAGTTTTTAATCTTAGATTTTTCGTAGGAATTCCACTGTATCAGGTCCACGCCACACCTTGAAGAAATGTTTCCATGCTGTGGTTTTCTGGCCTCTCCCTTCAATAATTGCTCCCTTGTCCTTCAGTAACCTTTTCTGCTCTGGGTATATACACAACTATATGGGGATATCAATTTTCATTTTGTTTGTAAAAATCAAAATTAAATTACTATTTTTAGGGGGAAAGGCCCAACCAAAAATGCACTAATGAGCTTCCATATATATTTCACATTAAGAGGGAATTTGGATTAAATGTCAAAAAGCATAGGCTGGCATTTTGGTGACGACAGTCTCCTGTGGACTGTGCAAAAACACTTGTGTGCATGGACAGCACCAGTTTCACAATAAACCTTTATCTGGAAGCACCCCTTGTTAAAGAGCTAAAAAGTTTCACATATTTGACATTAATTGAAATTTGGTGGTGGTCTTGCTGGCCACATGCAGCACATCAGGTCATTTAGTGTAGAGTGCTTTAGCTGTCCTGGCCCCCAGCTAGATTACAGCTGATGATATATCATTGGGTGGCAGGAATTGGCTGTGGCTGGCTTCCTTCATGAAGTTTTGGGTTGTATCTGAATCAAAGGTTTCCTACACATCTGGACATGCCTTCAAGAGTAGCTGAAATGATACTGGTTATTCAGTTTGATTGCTCAGGTTCTGTTTCTGGAAATAATTTTGAAGGAGCTGGTAAAGAGCCAGGAAATGGCCGTGTAGGAGAATAACCTATTTTATTTGAGTGCCCTCTGCTGACTGCTTTATAGGTTTGTTTTATTTTTTTGTCATTTTCTGTTAGTGCTACTGTACCAGAAGTATTTCTTATTCTGAGGTTACTAATTGAATTGATTCATTAATAGAATTACAGAAGTAAGAGGGCTTAAAATTGGATAGCAATCAGTTCCTTTTGTTCTGGAAGCAGGAGCTCAGGGAATGATCTGAGGTCTCAGCAAAAATTTCATCAAAGCTCTTTCTTTTTTTAAACTCCTTCTCCTGCAACTAGTTTCATGTTATTTCTCTCCTCTCTTGCTTTCCAGCCCCCACAAAAGACTGTCAAAGCCCGTCCCAAGAAGAAAGTTACAGGTTCCAGTGCTGCTGGCGAGTCAGCCTAAGGACACCCCAGCCTGTCTGTCCTAGGGCTCTTCAGACACTTTGATGAGCACTCTCCAAGGAAAGGGAGCTGAGATCATGTACATAACAGCTACTGCTTTGTAGAGCTCATTCCAAGGCAAGAGGGTGACTGAAATTTGGCACACAGATTAGAGGATGGCCATCCTCAGGAATTATTTACACTTCATCTCTGTGATGAAGAGAATGCTAATCTGTCTGTACATAGCCTGTTGTTTTGGGATTCCCTCTCTGTGCGTAACCCTAATAGGGAAACTCTTTGCTGGAACAACACTTCAATTAGGGTTAGAGCCATCTTTGACAGAGAGGCTGGAAGAAGAAAAAATCAAGACGGGTGCCACTGAAATTCTAATTGGAGGTGGGGAGCTCCCCAATAATATTTCAGCATTTCACTGGTTGTCATGCTGTAGCTGCTGTGGGGAATTGTTAGGAAGTGCCTGGAGCAAAGTGACTGGTACTGAGGGAAAGTGTTATCTAAACTCATTTGGGCAGAAGCAAGAGACAAAAGTGTAGGTTTGCTTGGTGCTTTGCTACATGGGCAACTGCTTGCCTGTGGGATTGGGTAAAGTGGTGTTTTTTGCAGGGAGTCTGCAGATGTTTGGGAGAGGGGTGGAAGGTGAGAATGCAAGCGGCTGGCTTCTTTACCACTATCTGGTGCCTATTTCTAAGCAGCCTCTTTTGCTTGGTTGGAAGTGTTTTAACTCTGCTCATGGTAGATGTTGCGAAGGTAGAACTATTTGCATGGTTTTTTTCAAGTAGAATAAGGCTGGGAGGAAGGTGACGAAGCTAAGAGGACCACGTTTGGAGCAGGGGGTGTGAGGATGCCTCGGCACAAATCAGTCTCTCCAAAGAGTTGAAATCCTGAATAGCCACTGTCTAAGAACCAAACACTTTGGCCCCCTGCTTCAGAGTTGCCTTTATATTTTACAGGTCAGTCTGTTTTCTGTAAGAATTGTTTGGAAAAGGCATGTGTATGGAAGAAGCTGGAGGAAATATGGATGGTACCTTAAGTTTCTGCTGTGTTTTTAATTATGCTTTATTTGCACTGGCAATATAAGGTTGGAGCTCGATCAGTGTAGCCTGATAAGTAGGCAAAAAGTAGCAACCCTTCTTGGAGCTTTTCTGGCATTTTGTAATGAGGTAAGTAAGTGATGGGACATTCCTAAATGATTCCATGGGTGGATAAGGTATAACGTTACTTGGCTCTCAGGAACTACTCATTTCTGCCACCACTGACTTCCATCATTCCCTTTTAACTCTGGTTACATTTTGGAGGCAATATTATTTAGTGTCTGAGGCTATCATAGAATTGTAGCATTGGAAGGGACCCTGAGGATCATCTAGCCCAACTCCTTGCAGTGCAGGAATATGCAGCCGTCCCATACAGAGATCAAACCTGCAACCTTGGCATTATTAGCACCACTCTCTAACCATCTAGCATTCTGTGAAAAACCGAATTCAGTTTTGTATCATGCTCCAATCAAATGGATAGATAAATAATGATAAACATTTCTGTTCCAGACAGTTTAACATATACAGATGACTGTCCTGATCTAGGACTATAGTGCAGGGATACTGAGACACATAGTATATAGATAAACCCTGCTGTTCTCTAACCTAGCCCTTTAATAAATTATCCAACTTCTGAATATGTGCCAAAGCCACTAGTCTTTTAAACAGTGGAGCAAATATATGAGATCTAACAGTGCTGGAAACAAATTTCAGTTACCCTTATCTACTATAGGTTAATGGCAAATTGGGCTGATGTTGGGTATGCAACATGGCCACGCAGCTGCTTCACTATGCAGTTTAAATCCTGATTTTTCACTACAGGCTGACATGTACTGCTTCCTAAATAAGTTTTTTAAGAAGCTAACCTCCATTGAGTTCTGTGAGACTGCTTCCTAACCAGTGTACTTTAGGATTGCACCTTTAGGCACATTTTTTAATTTGTATAGCTTCAGAGCAGAGAAGGCTTATCATTAAGATTACATAGTTGAAGAGACTCCCTTTATCGTCTTCCAAATCAGTTACAAACCTGCACTCGTGTGCAGTACTTCTCTTCTGGATACCTGATAGTTCAGCCTCTGCAAGTACAAAGAAAATGAATCACAGCATTTTTGCCATTCTTTTTGGCAGCGGCTGTTTAATGCCAAAAAATTGGCAAGCTATAATTACAAATTACATTTTGTAATTTGTCAAGGATGCAGACCCTAAATCTCAGATTAGGTTTTTACTATTTGGAAGGTACTTTGGTTTGCTGAGTGTGAGAATGTAGAAACATACTGCACTTTTTACCCAGCTGATCCCTCTCTCCTAGTACCATGCAATTAATCTTCAGTAGTTTTGTTTGAATCAAGTATGGGTTTACATGTGCAATGGCTGCACTTCCTTATGCTTGGAATATGTATGACTGGGGAAAGTGCATTTGAATGCTGGGCTGGCTGTAAGTGAGACATTTGTATTGCTGTAGTATATGAAGGGGAAAGCCTTTCTGTTTCACAGAGAAAGCAGCACTACTTGTATCAACTTGCTTGCTTTTATCAACTTGTGTTTCAGCAGCACACTGTGGTTGTTGCTTGTAGATACTGCCTTGTGTTTTTTACAGCACATACATCAAACTCTTCCCAGCATCCTTTGTATGAGGAAGTACTTTTGCATAGAAGTTGATAAACTGGAATCAGGGTTAGCACTTCTCCTAGAAGTGTGCACAGTTTTTCAGCAGTGCTTCCAGTGAAGTATAAGGATGGGATGATGCTGAATAACTTGAGCCCATTCCCAGAGATGCTTAAGTCCTGAGGCAGTTTCTACCTTTTCATATTAGCCTGGTCTGCTTCTCAGTCCCCATCTTCTCACCACATCCTGTTGGGTCAGTTTTAATTGTAGTCCAATTGGGTGTTTTACTTTTATTATACTTATAAAAGTATTTCTAAACCACTGGCTCATAAGAAAATATCAGGATGGTGTGCAATGTGTAAGTATTCAAACAATCTAAAATACAGAACAATTGACCTACACTGAATCAGATTAATCCTCTGAAAACAATTGTCATAAAAGAAACGTTTTCAGCAGGCAACAAAATACCTAAATTGTTAGGCGTCTGGTTTTTGTTGGTTTGCTTTTGTGTAACACCATGTGGTCTTTTCATATTTGTGTCCCTTAATTATTTTAAATTTCCTATCAGTTTTATGTTTAAGAACATCATTATCCTGCAGCTGGGCTTCATATTCAGCTTGATGATCAAATATATATGGGAACCTGCCAGAGGCCCAATAAACTTATTTTCGATGCATACTTCAGGCTGCAAAAATTGAGTCAGAGGTTAGATAGCTGGCAGGCCCTCGTATATGGCTGGTGGGCTGCATTTGGTCTGGTGGCCTATGCTGCACACACCTGTCATGGGACATAATATTCCACATGTTACCCTTCTCGGTTGTTCTTCATAGGATAGTTTCTAAGATCTTGATCCATTTATTTACTGTTCTGTCAAATATGGGAGGAAACAGAGTGACTCAAGATACTTCACATGACTGCTTTTTCCCTACTCCCTTTTTCTATACCATGTATTATTTTATACACCTCCGTAATATCTCCCCACTTTTTCTCCCTTTTTTTGAAACAAAAGCTCCAAATGCTGTAATATTTTCTCATATGGCAGTTTCTCTAGCCCCTTGATCATTTTAGTTGCCCTTTCCTGCACCTTTTTCAACTCCTATGCTACAGTCCCAACAAAAATACCCCCCACTCAGCTGCTGTTTGGCATGGGAGGAAAGCTTCTGTTGGCAGCAGTGAGAACTCCCCTCATATGCCAAATAGCTGTTTTCCCCCCTGGTGAGGGCAGGTATCGGAACTGCAGTGTGGAAGAAAAGGGTTAAACCTCCTCCCCATGCACCTGATCCTGACCAGTGGTTGCTATTTACAATCTTTGGAGCAGGAGATATGCAGGATGTTAAACCATGTGATTAACATCATGTGTAGCTGGCCCTTGGGTAGCCTGTTTAACAATTCATGGGGGGAGGGGATGATAGAGCTCCTTGAATGGAGATTTTCCTCTCTATTGGCTGCTATTATTCTTAAGAGACTTTATCACAATAAGGCCATGATCCTATGTACACTTGCTTGGGACCACTAAACATCATAAGACTTATCTCTATGTAAACATTGTAGGGTTGTGCCATTAATGGCTCTGTGATGAAAGAGTCTGATATTGAGACTATCATAGGACAGATCACCATATAAATAACATGGTAATCTGAATTCTTTTCTTTAACCTCTCTTTACCTCTTATGTGCTAGGAAGTCCACGATGGAAGAATTCAGAACTTGTTTTTGGTCAGGTGCAAAATTGAATTGCCACTTAGTCAGTTTTGCAGTTTTTTCTACAATCAAGCATTGTATAAATTTTAGGAAATAAATAAATAAACTTCATTTGTAGTACAGAAAACCTTGGATTTAGGGTGTGGTAAGAATGTGCTCCTATTTCTGCATCCTTCCCACAGTCTGGCTTTGCTGTTGTGTTTTGGTTTGTAAGATTAGAAGAGTAACAGCAAGAGAACCCATGCAGCTAGCAGAAAGCTCTAATAATGCTGCTCTTCAGAGGCAGAATATAGCTGGAAAAGACTTTTATCATGAAATCTGGGCTCTTCCCCATTCCAGGCAAGAGTGTCTTTCAACACTGTGTAGCGCTGAAATGTTTCTTGTTTCTCCAGGAACTTGGGGGGGGGGGGCTTTTGTTTTCCTTTTCTTGTGTTGTCATGTTTGACATGGTATTTAGAACCTCTTTGGGATATTATCCTTGCACCAGGACAACAGCTGGTGTTATCTGATGGCCTTCTCTTCAACCAACATCTGTTGAAGTGCCAACTCCTATTGGTTGAACCCTTCTCTCTCAAATGTAAGCAAATACAAGCCTTGAAGTTTCACAGAGCCTTTCCATTGTGAGCAGCTTGCTTACTGACTAGTCACTCCTCTGTCACTGTTCTTACGTAGATCCAGTTCTTCAGCAACAGCAGTCTGTGTTTGCCTCCTTTCATCAGGATTCTTTTAATCTGAGCTAGCCTTAGTACTTGCATTCTCTGATTTCTGCTGTGTAAAGGGGACAGTGCTGCTGTCATTCTTTTGCAGACATTCGCAGTGACTGATTTGAATTTGCATGGCAGGTCTGGAGCAAAGCCAAGAAACGGAGACTCATTATGTTGAATGCCAGCCATTTCCCTTGTTTGTTGAACAGGCAGCAGTAGACCTGACAAGGATAGGACGCTATACCAGTGTATTCCCTTCTGCCTGCTAGAGGAACAGCAGTCAGTCAGTAAGAAGTGGACAACAAGATTGGGTAAAGCAATCTTATTTAAAGGTCTTAATCCTGCTGCCCAGTCAGTCAGATCCTTGCCATCATAGTTCACTTACAGCTGTCACTGGCAGCTCCAGTACCTCTTCGGCCACTGTGTCAAGTCTTCAGTGAGTATACTGGCTGAGGGTAAGCAATAGCTTTTCAGAGAACAGGAGGCAACATTTTGGAGTGACCATTGCCTATATGACATACCCTCTTCTTCTGATCTCTGGTCAAACTAGTTTTGCAGACTTTGTAGCATTTCAAGCGGTCTAGGGGAAGTTGAAGCAACCTCTTAGCAGAAGAAACACTAAATATGCCCATTTTAATGTGACCTCTGTAGAAACAACATTCGTTATAAGGAAATGACACTCTTTCAGAGCCTGTTCTACCATTAGGCTAAGTGGGGATACTTCATCAGAAAGCAGATTTTGGGTGTCCTGGATTTGCAACTAATTTTTACTTCTAATTTATTATTGTATTTTGACTGCCAAGTAGAGGTGATTGTAGGATTTTGTGTCTCTGGTGAAAAAAATAACTTGGTCAGCCTTGGGTACTGCACACTTTGTTTGGGTTGGAGGGTATCTGCTGTTCCACCTCAGGCAGCAAAATAGCTTGTGCTGAGGGAAAAAAATATTTTGTTCTTATAAAAAATAAATGTCCCCTTAGGAGTGAAATGGGCTAGAGCAGAAGATCGGGTCTAGTCAGCTTTACTCCTGCTTGGGCTTGTAGGGGACTGTAGGAAGCTGCCTCTGTCAGGAGTTAGACTCCAAATTGAATAAACAACTTTTCCCTTCTCAGCAGGGCTACCTTCCTCCCCACATGTTGTTTTGTGCTGTTGTCAAGCTGCCAGTGTTAGTAGCATTAAAAAAGGGGGGGGGACTGCTTGCATTGCTCCAGAGAAAGAATAATCCGTACACAGCAGCTATCTATACACTGGTGGAAGGATGAAGAGTATCTTGACTTATGAACAAGGCAGGACAGGACAGGGTGCTGTTAAGCAAATGACTAGAGGAGGTCCTCCCACAGGATTTATGTGACTAAACTGAGAAAAGGAAAGGGGATTTCCAAGGAGATGGGATAATAGCCAGTTATTCTCAGGATCTGGTGAGACTCCAAGGATGAGTCAGCTACATGAACTAATAGAAACATATCAGTAGGCAATCTGAGTGAAGCCATTTCCTTGTCTTACTGAGAGAGATGAGCCCAGCTGCTCACCCTCAACCTTATCATGTTTTGCAGTTTAATGGGAAATGAAAAGCTCCTCCACCATATTGTATCTACCAAGGTATTACTTAAGAATACTGACTATGCTAAGACTGCCTGTTGAGATCAGATAGATGTTCAGGAAACAATTCATCCTGGATGCTGCACCATTCTTTGTACCCACCTTACTGGGAGCTGCTGTTTTCAGACTTGGATTGTCACCTGCATCTTTCATCTTGTAGTGAGCTCTTCACGGTACCGCTCTGTCCAGCACAAATTATTTCACTAGCCCTGAAAAGATTGCCCCATGATCTCTTGCTTCCCTAGGAGTCCATGTTCCGTCTCACTGGAATTTATTCAGAAACATGCATCTCCCCACCACCACCTCATGAATAGAGGATGTTCACAGTCAGGGGCACCTCTTAAGAAGGAAGCTATGTACCTCAGCACCCCCCCCCAAAAAAAAACCTATTTCCTGCTGCCTTGCAGAAAAATCATTGATCTCCTATGGAGAGAACACACAGTTCTCTTTTATCGCTGGATATGAAGATGCTGTATTACAGAAAAAAACTTAGCCCTGCTCTGTTCCACCCTCTTATCCCTGTTCTCTTTTAAGTGGCAGTCTTGTTACCTGGTTGAGCCATACCATATTGTAGCCATTGTGCAAATGCTCTGGAATCTGTGCTTACACTTCAGGCACCTGTATCAGACTCTGGGAGTCTGGGTGTCTTGTTACGTATCAGTGTAAGTATCCCAGAGCCTCTGTGTACATGCATTCATCAGTATTACTTTGTGAACCCTAAGTAGTATTTTATCTGGTTTTTTCAGGCTCTTGGTGACTCGCAAAGGCTCATGCTAGATGACCTTGTATAATTTTACTCTACCAGAACAAATTGTTGTTATTCCTACTTAAGCCCTTTATAAAGTTGTGATCTAGTAAGAAGAGGTATCTAACATATATTTGGGAACAGATTGCATGGTTATTTGAGTGTTTTTACACTTTATGTACTAACTGAAATCATATCACATGAAAGGTTGAGGAGAGCAACACCAATTGCATTAAAGGTTTGTTTGAAGGCCATGGAATGTACGTCAGTCAATCAACTGGCCTCCAGCACAGCTTCTGCACCATTTCTCACTAGGTAGATCATGACTATATTCTGTGTCTCTTCCTGTTTTTTCACCCCAAGCAGGCCTTGAATTCTCTTCATTAGAATATTTGTCACTTCAGGACAATGGTGGTTGAATTTCCTCCTTCCTCAAAAGAGTATCGTAGCTGCAGAGAGGTTGCAGCCTGGGACCCAAGTATTGGGACCAGTGGGACCAAATGCAGTAGGATTCCAGAGGAGAAAAAGTTTACAGCAGCCACCTGAGACTGTGAAATTGACCTTTCCTGGAAATTCTCTGGCCTGGAAGAATGAACTTTGATGTTAGACCTTTGAGAATTACAGATATTTGAACAAGTGTTTGTAGCAAAGTCCAGTATCAAAGCTGCTACTGTTTTATTTGCAATGACAAACTGGAATCAGAAATAATATGGAATGTAGACAAATATATATTGGCCTCTTGTCTCTTTAATTTTTTAAGTACAGTAAACACGAATCTTTCCCCGTTCTTGGAAGGGCTGTTCGTAACTTGCTTCCTTCCACCAATTATTGTATTGTATTGTGTTGTGATTTCAGAATTTGGGCTCTTTCTTTCAGGAAGCTACTTCCACACTGGAAATATGCCAAAGACAAGTTGTTCAAAATGAGTAATCAACATTGATTTATGAATGTTTTTGCTCTTTTACACAGAAAATAGGGATATGTGAGGAGACCATCTTTCCCTGCCACTATTTTCTATTTTCTATGAACAAAATTGTTCATAGGGCTTTCATAAAGATTCCAAGCAAGAGCTCTCTTTTCATGACACTTTTCAAATTCTATAAATCATGTACTAATAAAAAAAATCCAAAGCTTTACATATAGTATGAATTTTATAACTTGTGAGCATTGCCATTGACTATTTTTATATGTCTGTTGATTCAACAGAAAGGCAAGAGGCAATATGTCCCAAGTTTGTTCTTCCCATAGTCCAGTGTTGGCTAACCTTTCTTTGGCTGAGGGCCACATTGAGGATTGTCCAAGTTTCAAAAAGCTCCATGCCAGCGGTGGGTGTGGCCAAAGTACTTTAACTTTCTTATGGACATGCACTTGCACATAGAAAGCACTCATGCACACAGTATATTCCAAAAGGTGTTTCATATGTTGCATATTGCTTTTTACAAATATACACCCCCCATTTACAAGTCTTAAGCTTCACCTCTGAGTCTAGCATCTGAATGTTGCTGTTTCTGCAGCTGCTACAGGCAAAAGATCTGCAGCACCCTAGTGTATGACTGCCATCATTTTCTCTTGTATAGCAACCCTGAGTTGGGGCCCAGTCAAAGTGCTTTTCCATGCTAGGCTAGTGCCTGGAACGGAAACAGTCAAGAAATATCCTGACAAGATGTTCTAGCTGTTCAAATACTTTGACTATTGAACTTGATTGTTATTCTATTGTACATCACTTCTAAGCCATTGCCTTAGCATGCAAAAATGGTCATAAGGTCTACTCACAACAGTTCCCAAACATTTTCCCAGAATGCCTAAAGTGGAATTTTGGTTTAAAAAACAAACAAACCCCATAGTGATCCTGAATTCAGCCATTCCACCAGTTTATTAAGTGTTTATAGGTCACCCCATAACAAAATTCTGAGGGCTGTTCATAAGAAGAAAAAAATTAAAATTCAGTAACAATAGAAACTTAATAAAGTACAAAAACAGAAAGCACAGAGGGGAAATGGAGCTTAAATCTAAGACAGTGTTAAAATCCTGGGGAAATTAAAAGGTTATTGCTTGATGCCAAAGTAAGCACCTTTGGTGCCCCTTAGATGAGGGAATTCCACAACCAGCACTGACAAGGCCATATCTCCTAGACCTACCACACCATACTCTGGAGGGCCCTCCAAGGGTCTGCATTGGTGTGGGGAAAGGTGGTCCTTTGGATACTCTAGTCCCAAGCTGTGAAGGGCCTTAAAGACCAAAACCAACCCCTTGAATTGAATCATTCTTAGTGCTGTACCACTCCTAAAACCTCTTCAGGGGGCATGCAAACTCCTGAACCACTATTTGATAACTACCATGGGAATTTTTGGAGAGAGGAGGAAGAAACTTGAGCATATCAACTGAAGGGAGTTGGGTATTATGCTGCAAAACAATGTTTTGCATTCAGTGATCTGGTGATTAACTCATCTGAAAAAGGGCCTTGTAAAAACAAGAGCCTGGATGAGAGGAAATATAAAAGCTTTGTGAAGGCAAAACATAATGTGTGCCAAAGGGAATGTATCTTCTTCTTCTTTGGCGATCGCTCGTAGCCAAGTAAGATTGTCTTCCATAAACACGGTTTTAACAGTGAGTCCGTAAGTGACTGTGGAGGCCAATTCTGGATCCACACGTCCTTCCACAGCGGGGACATAGGTTTCCGGGTGGGAGTTGATCACGGTGTGGATTTGGCAAGCATGCCTTCCTCTTAGCACATTTCTCCCTTGCATCCTGAATTCGAGTGTCTTCAAAGCCCATGACACCTTTGGTAAAGGCTGTTCTCCAACTGGAGTGCTTGCAGGCCAGTGTTTCCTAGCTGTCAGTGTTTATACTACATTTTAAAAGATTTGCCTTGAGACAGTCTTTAAACCTCTATTGTTGACCACCAGCATTACGCTTTCCATTTTAAAGTTTGGAATAGAGTAGTTGCTTTGGAAGATGATCATCAGGCATCCGCACAACATGACCAGTCCAACAAAGTTGATGTTGAAGAATCATTGCTTCAACACTGGTGATCTTTGCTTCTTTCAGTCCACTGGCATTAGTTCGCCTGTCTTCCCAAGTGAAGTGTGAAATTTTTCAGAGACACCATTGATGGAATCTTTCAAGGAATTGGAAATGGTGTTTAAGTGGTCCATGTTTCACAAGTGTACAGCAAGGTTGGTAGTACAATGGCTTTGTAAACAAGCATTTTGGTTTCCCTGTGAATGTCCCGGTCCTCAAACACTCTGAACTTCAATCGGGAGAAAGCTGCACTCGCAGCTTAGGGTGAATAACACTGCCCTAATACCAAATACAGGAATATGGGATTAGAAAATGATCATTACAAATCAGTCCATCTCTGATGCTTAAGGTAAAACCTCTGCCTATCCCAGGAATCTTTGTGCTTTGCTTAAGGCTTGGAACTGATCAGGGTTACAAGCCTGAGAGTTACAAGTGGGGAAAACAGCCATTGCTTATTTATTCCAGAATTCTAGGTGTGTAACCTGGAACCTGTCTGCAATCCCTGTCTTGGAACTGAGTCTACAAACTAACCCCATAGCTACAACATCAGTCTAATTTTGGTACTCCTGTTCCCCTGCGCTGCCCCCTGCATTGTGCAACACCTTGCCTGTTGAAGAGTGCTGGAGAACTTGAAAACTTGCTACACCTTTGTAACACTTGGTTCCAACTTGCCCAACTAAGATAAAATTTGTCATCTGTGAGATAAGCAATTGTTTCCTGGCAACAGATTGCAGAGCTTTTATTAGCATAGAAGAAAATAACAGCTTGTAGAACTAGCTTTAAAGGTTTGGAGAACCAGTTCTATAACATGAGAGCTAGTGTTTTGAAGGAGTCCTTTGTCTACCCTTAGGTTTAACTCTGTCACCAATGAAATATAATAACGGTACTTAAGATAGTATGAGTTTTAGTCAATTGCTGTATTAAATCTGAAGAAATGTACATGAGAAAATAGTTGTAAAGAACATGAACTGGTTTTTAGATTGTGCATAAATGTGTTGCAGCAGACATCATCGCAGAAGACTGTTAAGTTGTTATATAATATAAGGCAAGGTTACTTACTTTGCAGGACCAGAACAAGAGGCTATCTATTGATCAACTGCATAGAAAAATGAGCTTTTTTTTTAAGCTTGCAACCAAAAACAGCATAAAAAGTAATGACATGAAATATTTAAAAATACATAATGTCCATAATTTGGTTGTAAGTCGCTTTGGGTTGCCTTGGACAGGATAAAACGATGAACAAATTTAATAAATATTTATTATTATTGTTATTATTATTATTATTCATTAACAATAGTAAGGCAGCAATACCTAAAACCTTCAAAATTACAGCCCACTCAAATACATGTATACTTTGTGGTAAGGTCAAATGAGCTTGATGGGACTTATTCCTGAGTAAGTGTGTATTTATGGATTGCACCCTCCATTGCTCAAAACAGAATAATTAAATATCAAACCCCCATTTAAAAAGCTTTCTTTGTAGCCCTTGGAGAAGTTGAGAGGTAAAGAAGATTAAGTGGGACTCCTGGGGAGGCCAATTCCAGAGCTTATTCACTAGACAAGGTACCCCCCCCCCGCCTCACTTCAGTATTGGATAGAAGTGAGAACAGCCCTCCTTCCCAGAGAACTCAACAGGCCAGAACCATTTCTACAAGTACTTGAATTTAAATACCGTATTTTTCGCTCTATAAGACGCACCAGACCACAAGACGCACCTAGTTTTTGGAGGAGGAAAACAAGAAAAAAAATATTCTGAATCTCAGAAGCCAGAACAGCAAGAGGGATCGCTGCGCAATGAAAGCAGCAATCCCTCTTGCTGTTCTGGCTTCTGGGATAGCTGCGCAGCCTGCATTCGCTCCATAAGACGCACACACATTTCCCCTTACTTTTTAGGAGGGAAAAGTGAGTCTTATAGAGCAAAAAATACGGTAATTATTTTAAACAGCTGACTGATTTAAGCAGGGACATATTGTAGTCTGCCAAATCTTTGTAATCGCATAACTAAGTAATTGACTAAACATTTGCTGAGTGCCTATAAGAATTAGGTGGTGTATAGAAACTTGTTTTTAAAAAGACCAAGCTCCACACATTGGCAAGACTTTTATTAGGACTGACAAGAAACGTTGCAAAATGTGCGCATCCGTAAAGTTCTCCAGAATGTTTCGTCAGTGTTATAAGAAAAAAACTGCTCTTTTTCCCTTATGGGGTACCCAAGCGCCCATATAGAGTCCTCTTTTTAGGTTCTCTATCGGTAGGAGAAAATAACAGAGGCCAACCAGAGAATATTGAGAAGCAAGGCAGCTAGTAAGCCTGATCTTTATTAAAGCTGTTGCAACATGGTGCTTCACAACCACACGCAGGAGAGAGGAGGGATCCCAAACAATGGCGCGCAAGCCCTTATATAGACGTTTTAAATTGCCCACCTTCAAACTCCAGACCACCCCCAGACACATCATACACACATCACAGAAGGGGTGGTCTAAAATGGAATCCTGAGTGTGTTGTTTATCTCCTGTCTGGCAAGTTATCCGATTGCATTATCTGGGTTTTGGCCATTCTTTTGTTATTATAACTACTTAATTCCTGAATCTAGGTCACAGGTCACAGGCTCACCCTGTTCATATCTTGAATGTGCCCTTAAGACAGGATTTGTGAGGAAACGAGACATTGGGGAGGTTTCCCACTTTGACCTTGCAGAGAAATATTTGAGGTCCATTTGTTCAGGACTTTTTCTGTGGGGTTTCAGACATGTGGTTTATATATACAGTTATGAACATTTTATTTATATATATATATAGGACCTTAAAATTCTTATAACAGTCAGGCTGGATGTTACATGAAGCAAAGGTTTGTGAGGCAGATAAGGGGGCACCCCCCCAAAGTCCCAAAAATGTGCTAACTGTTGAAGTCTTGAAGCCTGAAGATGGAGACCGCAGGCTGGCGGAATTAGTCCCTGCTAGGTGCTTGAAGGTATCGAGTTTCACCCAATGGCTAATCTCCATTTTGGAAAAACCATAAGGCCTGCCCTTTATTTTTCCCAATTTGAACTATAAAATGGTGATTTTCTTGATTACCCCTAAACATTTTTTTAGAAAAAAAGCACTAAGTATTTCTATTGTTTTACTTGGTATTGGGGGGGGGAAGCTGCGCCTCTGCCCTCCCCCTTAGCTACGCCCATGGCTTGTGTGCTATTTTGTGACATTTTAGTAGTCGTAATAAAAGTATTACCCAGCGGTAGATTCTGGCATTTTCTTTGGACCAACATGGTTGTCTTGGGATTTGTTTTGATTTGTTTGGTTTCTGATGAACTTGACAAAGGACAGAACGTTCTACAATTTTAGGCAGCATTCTAAAACAAGAGAATCCTGCCTAGAATTGTACAGTGTTCTGTCCTTTGTTACGTATTCTCCCATGGATGTCTGAACACTGAGCTGAAACCACACTGAGCAAAGCCTGAGTAGGGCAATAATTTGAAGTAAAATAAAAGAGATGCTGCCTCTTCTGAAATTCAGTTAATCCCCAGTGACTGGAAATTGGACAGCCCTAAATTAGAATATATGATTATTCTTTATACTGACATTGAGGAATTAAGGTTTAAATACTGTTTATTATACCTTAATCACCTGCCTGTTGTGATTTGACTGTTATCATTCACCTAAAAATAAAGCAGGAAAACTCGGGATTGTTATCTTTTGTCCACCAGAGGGAGTAAGTATCACACCTGCTGAAACTTTGCTCAAGTGCCCAACAGCCTGGAAGTAGATGAGAGTGATTTGAATAATGATGCAGGCTGAGAGTCTGAAATAGCTTTTATGTAAAGACTGTATCTTTATGTGTAAAATTACGGGTTTGAAAGTCATGGAGGGACTGTAGTTTCGCCTTTGGCTACAAAAAGCCTTTCCAGCTTTATTGGTGCTGTTAATGAAAGGCTCACCAGTTAAGCATACTTAAAGTGTTTTTCATTCCCATTATTCCACATGTTTCGTTCCAGTAATATCCAATCAGCCTCTTGGATGCCGTCTCTACAGGGAAGGGCATCCTGCAAGGATTTGTTTGTCTTGTAACCTACTTGCAAATGCCGCTTACACTTGTAACTGTGGTGTCATTGTGTGTGCCCCGGCCCAATGTGATTCCCTGGGACAGGGTGGGAGGGCAATGCTGTTAACTGTATCCATCTCCTATGGGAAAGGAACCAATTGTGAAATTCTAAAAATATAGAAAATATCTAATGGTTTCCAGGGTAATAGGTGACCATGGTAACTAAATGCTAGCTTTGTGATCTGATGGAGGACAGTTAAAAAAAGAAAGGAAAAGGCATAGCCAATTAACTGTGCAGAAATGTTTCTGGGGAAAATATTTTTGCATTAACCCTGCAGGTGCCAGGGAGGCAGCATTTATGACATGCTCAGATTGAAATATTGTGATGCGGTGGCTTTAAATTGGCGTCTCGGTGTGTGTGATGGCAGGCTGTTTGCTATGACGTTGGTTGGAGAGATTTCTCCTCTTGGATCATATCACCCATTTAAAGCTCGCTGTTGCCTCTCAACCTTTTGTTGATGCTGTAGACACTATACACACACACACCTTTCCAAGCAAAATTCAGAATTTTCTTATTGCATTGGAGAGCAATAGAGAGGAACATAAATTCTCTTAACAAGATCACTGTATTGTCGCCGCATTCCTTTCTGACCTAGATATTTATTGAGAACAAGCAAAAGAAAATTCCAAACCACAATTAGGAGATGCAGTTTGCTATAATTTCCTGCACCACTAGAGATACGTGCTTGCATAAATGGCACTCTGCTTCTCTGAACACTTCTGAGCAGGGAAGCAAAGATCGGGCTTTTTTGAATAGGAATTTTAAATAAGAATGTTTACTCTCTAGTCCCACTTCTCATAAAGCTGCTGTAAAACGTGCTGATAAACTACCCCATCAATCTGAAACCAAATGATTTCAGATTTGTGGAGTAGTTTACCAGTTTACAACTGTCCTCCAGCATCTTTGATGTGATGCACCTTAGGACTGCTTCTGATGTTAGTTTTCTCTTTCTTATACTGAAAAGCAGTGTGTGGGATCAGATAGAAAAGGGTCATAGATGTCCATCTTCAAACAGAATGGGAATGCTGAGATAATGATCTCAAGGGCAATTCTAAGTGACAGCAATGCTAAAGAGGTACCGGAACTCAGTACCGGTGAGTTCCAACTTGGGGGGGGGGGGGAAGCCTTGCTAAAACTTCTGCTATGTTTAAAACAGGTTTTTTTCCTCCTTCACTTTCTCTTTTTGCTGTTCGCCTTCTTCATTTTCTCAGCTGCCATTTCTCAGCTGTGAGAGAAAGGATGCTGAGTACTTTATTCAAACCTCTGACATTGTTTAAAACCACAGTTTTCCTCCCAGTTCCCTCCATCCTTTAGTCAGACTTCTGTCATTGTTTCAAACCACTGCTTTCCCCCTCTCAGTGGTGCAACCTTCCTTCACTTTTGCTCCTTCTACCCCGCCGTGACTTCATGCAAATCCAGGACTGTGATGCAGCACTACAAATCCCCCAACAGAGGCTGTGTGATGACATTCTTACATTTTTATTAGATAGAAAGAGGTAAAATAATAAATACTATGTGTTTTGCATGAGATGTTAGATTACTAGACCCCTTAGCTATGAGAAACACACCTGTCCATTTAAATAGCTGAAATACAGACAGGTATAGTCAGATTTGGCTAAATGCTGCAGTTGTTATATGTAAATATTAGAGATTCACTAGTGTTCACTAATTTAAATGGGGGTGGGGTGGGAAATCTAGTCCACATTTCCAGAGTTCTTCTGTAGGTCTGAAGAGGAATTCCTATATCCTTCATTAAACATGAATATTCTGTGTACAGGAACAAAAAGGAACACAGAGGTAGAGGACATAATTTAAACTGCTGCCTTTCAGTGTCCATAATGGGGCGGGGGGGTCTTTGCCATAGCCAGCCAAAGAGGAAGCAAATAGATTTGTGTGTTGTGTGTTGCGTAAGATGGCGTGCTGAGCTGCCACACTGCGAGTCAATGGATGGAAGTTACTTACAGCCATCTTGGGCACTTTCTCTTGATTGAGCTGGAATTCCTTGGCTTTGAAATTCAGTCTAGGGTGCTCTCTATGAGCCTGGCTTTCCCCTAGAAGCTTGTATAGAAGTGGAGACCCTTTCCCAACCTGCTCTTCTCTGTCACTGACTGTTGCCTCATGTCCTTTCTGTTGGATGTGCCAGCTTCTCCCCTCCACAGATGTTCTCACTGTAAGGAAGCAGGTGTGCAGATGTAAGAAACAGAGTTCACAGCAATTGCTCCCAACTGAGAGAGGCAACCTGCTTAAGGGAGCAAGCCAATGCTTTGGTGCATTTCCTCTTGGCAAGTGTGCTAAGTGGGTGCATTTTTAATGCATTGCATTCATGGGTGTGTACATTTGGTTCTGCGCATAACACAGATGCACACAGCCCCAACCCAAAAGCATATCCATTTTTTAATGCACACACATATTTACTGGCATACTATAATGGAATACCTCTGGACATTCAACATCCAGGGACAAAACTATCATGACTCTATATCGAGCAAGATGAGAAAACTGTAAAAAAACAACAACCCACCCCCATTTGCTGTTGGACTCCAACTCCCATCAGTCTCAGCCAGGGATGGGGGACAAATTTGGTTCTGTTTACATTTTCAAGCCAATTTTATCAGATTTGCACTTTCCAGAACAGTATGAGAACCAAAACACAGCCATCCTTCAAAATTAGCACTTATCCAAATTCTGTGATGCACTTTAACAACCAAGCAGTGTTTATAAAAATGCATATATTAGGAGGAAATGCATTTTAAAATATATTTGTGAAAATAGCATACGAAAATGCTTTATATTAAGTTGTGTTCAAAAATGTGAAAATTGCAGGTACAGATGTGCGTGTGTTTTTAGGAGAGATTCGCACTAAAATACTGAAACATTTTCATGAGGACTTAAAAAAACAAATCCACAAATATGGAGAACTGAATTTAAGATTAGAAAAATGAGACGCTGAGAGAACTGAAAATGACAGATCCTTCCATACTTGGAGAACAGCCTTTACCAAAGGTTTCATGGGCTTTGAAGACACTCGAACTAAGGATGCAAGGGAGAAACATGCTAAGAGGAAGGCACACTTGGCAAATCCACACCGTGATCAACTCCCGCTCGGAAACCAATGTCCACACTGTGGAAGGACGTGTGGATCCAGAATTGGCCTCCACAGTCACTTACGGACTCACTGTTAAAACCGTGTTTATGGAAGACAATCTTACTCGGCTACGAGAGATTGCCGAAGAAGGCAGAGGCAAACTTAAGGGTTGGCGAAACCAGCCCCCACCGCATGTTTTGTGCCAGAAAATCAAGATGAATGCTCAATAAACAGGTTGTCAGAAGTTGGGAGTCCTTTCCTTATGGTAAATGGTTTGACCAGATAATACATGACCCTTTCTACTTAAAAGGTTCTACTTATGCTTTATCAGAACATTACAACATCTCTTAACATCTGCATTCAAGGAACATTTGCATGACTGTGGGTGAGTGAATGAGCACATTATACAAGCAATTCTGAGTTACTGAATTTGTTACAGGCCTGTTGAGTGCTTCTGTGGAGAAAATTACCGTATTTTTCGCCCTATAGGACGCACTTTTTCCCCTCCAAAAATGAAGGGGAAATGTGTGTGCATCCTATGGGGCGAATGCAGGCTTTCGCTGAAGCCTGGAGAGCGAGAGGTGTCAGTGCGCACCGACCCCTCTTGCTCTCTAGGCTTCAGGAAGCTATCCGCAACCCTCGCGTGCCCGGCGGGAGGTCCCGCCGGGCGCGCAAGGCTTGGGGCGGCAGCCTGCAGCCTGAAGCAGGGAGCCAGCTGCGGAGCCCGCCCCCTGCTTCGGGCAGATGTCTGCAAGCCTCGCACACCCTGCAGGAGGTCCCGCCGGGTGCGCAAGGCTTGGGGCGCCTGGGGGGGGGGAAATAATTTTTTTCCCTTTATTACCCCCCCCAAAAAAACTAGGTGCGTCCTATGGGGCGGTGCGTCCTATGGGGCGAAAAATACGGTACTCCTGTTCGTAATACACTTATCATTTATTGCAAATGTCTGGGGCAAGATGTTGGTATTTTCTACTACATTTATTCATTATTTGACAGATTTGGTATCATACGTGGTAGAGCTGCATCTGATTTTTACCTTCCCTATTCACATTCTGAAAATTGCTCCTCCTAAGCCAGCCTAGCAGTTCGAAAGCACGTCAAAGTACAAGTAGATAAATAGGTACCGCTCCAGCGGGAAGGTAAACGGCGTTTCCGTGTGCTGCTCTGGTTCAGAAGCGGCTTAGTCATGCTGGCCACATGGCCTGGAAGCTGTACACCGGCTCCCTCAGCTAGTAAAGCGAGATGAGCGCCACAACCCCAGAGTCATCCATGACTGGACCTAATAGTTAAGGGTCCCTTTACCTTTACCTTTAAGCTTATCAGAGCAGCACAGAACATGAATGAAGGAATGTAATTTGAGTGAGGTGAGCCCACTATATAAGTGCACTCACAGCATTCTGAGCATGTGAACAACCTGCTCCCTAAAATCAAGCTAAGAGTAAAGCTTGTTATTATGGGTCTCAGCAGAGGCTGGATTTGCACAATGCTGCTTAGCTGGTCCCTTGTGTCAATCACGAGACCTTTCCCTCAACTTCTTGGCACATGCCTGTTTTTCCCATTATCCATTCCAGAGCCAAGTGGCAGCCCACATTCTGCCCCCCTCCATTTAATTTTGATTTTGCCAATAGTGTGTTAAGGAGAGAAGGGAATACAACATAAAATCATGTTACCCAGCTGTGGATGTACTGAAGTGTATTGTGTGGGCCTTTCCCCTCCCCCCTGTGTGTGGTGATGTTTTCCTGGGTGTCGTCTATCACCACACCTTCTACTTCCATATGGGAGATACTCCTTGATGGATTACAGGTGGGTCTAGTCATGACACATACATTATTTTTTTTTTTAAATAACCCATTCTTTTGTACAAGTCTAGCATGTCAGAAAATTTGTTTCTCAGATATATTTTTTTAATTAAATTGGCCACCCACCCACGTAAATAATGCTTCTAAAAAACATATCAAATGTCATCTATTTATTTATTAAAGGAATTTGTACACCTGTTTTGCTGGTGTCCTAAATAGGTGCTTAGTCTGTCTACTGGGTAATCCAACACTGGGGAGATAGCATGTATTATCAGCTGGTTATCACCCTCAGGTACTGTTATCAGAATTTTAAGGTCATATTATTTTTTTTAAATGTTCATAACTGTATATATAAACCACATATCTGAAACCCCATAGACAAGGTCCTGAACAAATTGACCTCAAATATTTCTCTGCAAGGTCAAAGTCGGAAACGTCCCCGTTGTCTCTTTCCTCACTAATCTTGTCCTCACAAATCCTGTCTTAAGGGCACATTCAAGATATAAACAGGGTGAGCCTGTGACCTGTGACCTAGATTCAGGAATTAAGTAGTTATAATAACAAAAGAGTGGCCAAAACCCAGATAATGCAATCAGATAACTTGCCAGACAGGAGATAAACAACACACTCAGATTTCTGTTGTAGACCGCCTTTTCTGTGATGTAGGTATGTTGTATTGGGGGAGGTGGTCCTGGGCTACTACACCCCTTCTGTGATGTATGTATAATGTTTCTGGGGATTGTTTGAGGGTGGGCAATTCCAAAAGTCTATATAAGGGCGGGCACACCTTTGTTCTGGGTCCTCCTCCTCTCTCCTGCATGTGGGGGAGCACCCTGTTGCAACAGTTAATAAAGATCAGGCTTACTAGCTGCTTTGCTTCTCAATATTCTCTGGTTGGTCTCTGTTATTTTTTCCTACTGATAGAGAACCTACAAAAGGACTCCATATGGGCTCTTGGGTACTCCATGAGGGGAAAGGAGCAGTTTTATCACTTATAACAGGTACCTTGACTGTAAATCTTTCTGCTGAGAGAAGAGAAGGCAGCATCTCAGCTTAAGAGAAAAGCTCTTCCTGTAGATTCATTTTGGATCAGTTGAGAAGCCACCACCAGCCCCCCAAAACAAGCCGGCCAATTTTCAAAACATTAACTTCCCCTCTGTTAGCCATAGAAAGCTGTTTAGCAGGCAAGCTAAGTAACTGCAATATTTATAGATTCAATTTCCACATCAATTTCCCTGATAGGCAAATGCAGGCACAACGTCACTCCTATTAGGAATGCAGGCGGCAAACACACTGTTGCTATGGCGATTTTTGCCATCACAGCAAAGGCAGCCCGTGTGCATTGCTTGTGTATGAAGCTTTCTGGCAAAGCAGTTAGTCTTAATTAATCTGAAAAGGCAACACATTTAATAAATGGCGGGAGCAGTGATGGTGTTGGGAGGGAAGTATACTGAGTCAAGCAAACTTCTCTTCTGAAAAGGAATTGCTTGGAGCCCAGAATTTCTAGGAATGGACAGGCCTTGGACAAACTCTGTGTGCCAAATGTTGAAACCAGTTACATATCCGAGCTTGCCAAGGGGAATCTGTCGTTTGAGTGAGTGGCTCTTTACAAGATAGAGTACAGTGGTACCTCAGGTTAAGTACTTAATTCGTTCCAGAGGTCTGTACTTAACCTGAAACTGTTCTTAACCTGAAGCACCACTTTAGCTAATGGGGCCTCCTGCTGCTGCCGCACCTCTGGAGCACGATTTCTGTTCTCATCCTGAAGCAAAATTTTTAACCTGAAGCACTATTTCTGGGTTATTGGAGTCTGTAACCTGAAGTGTATGTAACCTGAAGCGTATGTAAACCGAGGTACCACTGTAATTGAAATGTGTTTCTTTATTCTTTATTTATTCATTCATAGTACTTCTATGCCACCATACAAATGAGGTTCTCTGAGTGGCAAACTTCATTTTAAACATTCAGTATAAAACAGTAAAAAAAAAAAATCCAGTTCCAGTCAATATCTTTGTGTGGGGTTAGCTGCACCGTGAGAGAGAAAGGAGGCATGCCAACCAACCAAATCAACCATTTCTTCTTATGGCCACCAAATGGATATCTCCCTGGCCAGGGGCACCAACTCCTGGGGGCTGAGTCCTTTTGGGTACCTCAATTTTTTGGGGGGGCAGGAGCCCCAATGTTCCAAAGGGGCAGAGAAGTCCAAACATGGAGCTGAGCGCAGCACAGCTTCTCCTTCCCTTCCTCTTCCTGCCATGGTAGGAAAGGAGCAGGTAAGCAGCTCCTGGCCGTGGCAGCAGCAGGAGGAGGAAGAGCAGCCGACCATTGAAGCCATGCTGCCCTGATTGGCTCCACCCCTGGCTCCTCCCAATGTCCTGATATCACATGCATGACATTGTCCCACCCCTTCTCCCTCAGAAGTTGGCGCCTCTGTCTCTGGCATGCACCCACACCCACTACACACCCACTCCTAAGGGATGTTTCCAGCTTTCTAGAAAACTGTTCCAGCTCTTCTAGCTGTTAGATTCACCAGTTCCAGCTTTTCCAGCTAACTACTCTCTTTAACATCCTGACCTATGTATCATATTTTCACTCCCCTTCCCACTCATTAGCCAGTCGGTAGAGTCCTGGATAAGTTTATATTTCTCCTCAATTGCCATATTCCGAGGATGACACTTTGACCTTCCAATGCAAAACTTCCTCCAGTGAGTATTTCTGACTGTGGTACAAAATAGAACGTATGTGCATTTTTAACCTTCCTGTGAACATTTGCCCCTCCTGTGCATTATATCATCCTGTGCTGAATAACCTTTAAAGCAAAGTCAACAATTTCATAAGAACCAAGCAGAATGCAAAATAGTGGAACAATTTCATTCCTGAACACCATATTTTGGACTAGTTGGAATTTCTGAAGCACTTTCAAATACATGTACAGTGTATTGCCTTCATCAAAATGGGGTACCTGAACAAGGATTATGGTAGCCAAGTTATCTCTGGGTAGAGTCACAGTTGGTTTGTAAGCCAAAGCTGATAAAAAGTCATCTGTGTCTCCAGCGACAACACTGGGTCAATTAGTACTATCCTCTATTTCACAGTGATGTCCAATGAGCCTCACCAACTTGGGAGAAATCCAAAAACACTCCTGCAAATGATCTCAGTGATTGAGCTGGGATATTTAGGTGGGCAGTAAGGTAGACTAGACCTAAGTTGTTCCAGGCTTTGCAAATCAGTACAAGGACCTGGAACCTGGCTCAGTAGTAGATGGGCATTGGCCTAATATTCATGACATCCGTCCCATGCCATTTTAGTTGTGTGAATTAGCAGTGACTGACCCTTCATGGTGTCTCACCTCCTAACAGACTCCATTCTGATGGTCCAAGCAACAATGCACAATGGATGTAGTACCAAGGGAGATGTCTCCCCTGAGTATCCTACACTGTGTGGCCAAAGCCATCTCTAAGGAAGATCTATATCTTTCCGAAAAGATGCCTAAAAAGAAAAAGAGAGAGCAAGAATTCCACCAAATACTGAACAAGTGTTGATGCCTTTGTTGATAGGCAATGAACTAGTAGTCTTCGGTACAGTGTACCTTGTTTTCTCATGTGTTCTGCTTTAAGGCACATGAGATGTTCATATAGCCCAAATTATTTTGACTAGTCTGTAGGAAGTGTTAGATTTGGAAGATTAGTATTGTTCTAGTTTGTTCCCCACCAACACTGCAGTTGCAGCAATTCTATGAATAGGAAAGAAAGCAAAGGTCATAGCGTGTGATTGTTTGACTCTAAATATAAGATCTTCCCCTTCATGCCTTTGAGTTCTCATTTTTGTTGCCAATACAATGACACCTTCAAAAGATGAATGCACTATGGTGATTTGTAGGTTGATCTGTCACATGAGCTGTTGGTTTCATGCTCTGTGTACAGCATTTATACTGCTATGTTGTTGAGCTAGTAAGCAGTTTCTATTTTGGTCTCCTGGTCTCTTGACATCACCATCTCTGAGCCTTTCGCTTCCTGTGTAACTCTCTCACAATGAGATTATTTTGCTAATCCCCCAGATAGCAGCATATTCCCCGCCCTTTATTCCCTAAAACTTTCCAATGTACCTTGAGTGCAGATCCTGAAATCAAGGAGATTCCAGCCAGCCACAGGATCTGCTTCCCTCCAACTCCTTTGGTTTGCCTTTCTGTGCTCCAAATTAGCATATATATTCCATTAATTGAATTCCAAATTGATTTCCATTCTTTTTTAGGCATTACATAAAAGAATGCGGGAGACAGGAGTGCCTGACATGCTCTGGTCCATGGGGTCACGAAGAGCCGGACACGACTAAACAACTAAACAACAACAACAACAAACATAAAAGAATAAACAGTTTATTCTGAACGCAACACTTTGCTGCATTTATCTTCACTTGCCAGGGCTGTGCAGGTATGTGCCCATCGGAGAAAAGGACACTATATGAGGACCATCTCTGGAATGAATATACCTAGCTCACAGGGGTCGCAGCAACAATGCGGTTCTCAGAATCTTAGGCAGGAGCTGATACTCTGAATGCAACAGGTGGTAGGTTCTGCTCTAGAGATCAGGTGGTCAGGCTCTTGGCAGTTAGTCCAATCTAAAGACCTAACACAGTGGCTATTGTTGGCATCTCTAGTTGCTCTGAGATGAAGCTGTAGGCTTGAATTCTGAGCACTTCACTAGCCTGAAGTGCTCAAGGCAAGCCTTTATTCAAGGAAGCCCAAGACATTTTGGCCCTTGAGGCAAACCGCAAAATGGTCCCCACACCAGCTTCCAGGGAAGGAGTGTATGAAGATCCAAATCAGGAATAAAGATCTGCATTAGGATCTGCTGCCCCGTGGGTCCTGCTGTTAAGGTGGTTGCCTCACTTTGTCTCATGGGGGGCTGGCCCTGCCTATATTGCTAGGCCTTGGCCAGAGTTGGTTTATGCAGGCCTCGGATTAATAGAAAAATGATCATACCCTCTAACATGTCTCCGATGGAAAAAGGGACATCCCATTCTATAACGATAATTTTACTATTTATACCCCACACATCTTACAGGGTTGCCCCAGCTACTCTAAGCAGGTTCCAACTTATATAAAAACATAATAAAACAGTAAACCTTTTTTTTTAAAAAAATACCTCCCTATACAGGATTGCCTTCAGATGGCTCGGGGGTCAGATAACAACATATCCTCCAACGTTTCTCCAGTGGAAATAGGGATATCCTAAGGAAAAGTGGGACATTCTAGGGTCAAATCAGAAACTGGGATGGTTTCTCTAAATCAGGGACGTTCCTGGAAAATAGGGACACTTGGAGGGTCTGAATTATTTTCTGTTAAGGTACTCAGTCCTCACAAATCTTCCCCCGTTTCTTTTTTCACCTACAGCCTTTTAATAAAACTTTTTATTGGTTAGGGTTGCCATATTTCAAAAAGTAAAAACCAGGAAACCACCCAAATTGTTGAGATTTTTTTTTACAAAACCCTGTGATTTTTCAATTGACTTGTCTAAGATCCAGGACAAAGCGCCACCTTTCAGAAATTCCCCCGGATGTCAATTCCACCTTTGAAATCCCAGTGATGTCTGGGAAAATCCGGACGTATGGCAGCCCTGTTAGTGGTATTCTTTTATGGAAATACTCACTGTAAATACACCACCTCAACGGTTGTGTGATTTATTTTTGGGAAGCTGGGATACTTATTTCCAGTGCTTTGGACCTGCTTGGTCAACTGCTACCTTGTACCTGAATGCCTGAGGCTTTGCAAGCAGAAAGTGGATCCTCAGCTCTTGCCTTGCTGAATCTGCAGTGACATCTAGAAAGGTCTGAGGGTCTCCTACCACAGATTGGGAGACAATAATGAGTGGTGGCAGTCTACTGTTTTTGGTAGAGCTTTGTCGGAGGGCTTGTGGGGTATGTGTGTTGTGCAGGCATAGGCCTCAAACAAGATTTTCCTGATTTCCAGAGCTTGGGGACCAGGTTCAGATATTGACAAAGGGTCACAATCTTCGAGATTCATAGTTCCAAGCCCAGGATTTCCTGGTATTAATGAACTTTTCAGCAGCTGACTGTAGATTGTTCATTTCAGAATTAATAAAATGTTCACTTCAGAATTAATAAAATGTGACTGAAATGCTGCAAGGGGGGGGGGGTGA